ATTTAATGTTAAAACAAAAAATCTAAAAGCAGAAAGCAACTTATTTTAAGTATTTCCAAATGATCTTCACTTAAAAATAAAATTTATTCATTTAACGCTAGACGTTTAGCTTTACAATTTTTTTATTTACTTAAGTCGCAAACGTCATTGCAGTGGCAGCGGCACATGCACTGACAACGCAAGTGAAAGGATTTAGTTATGGTTATAGTTTAGCTGACACAATTGGGACACTTTGTGATACCTTAGGATGCTTCGAGGTTTCCATAACTTCAAGATTATTATTAATCCCTTCTCAATAATTTGTTGGTATTAGAAATAAAAGAGGTTTCAAGAACTAATAGAGATTTGAATGTATGCAAGACTTGAGTATCACGTTCTAAGTGATAAAGCTATGACCCTCATACCCTATGTAAATCATACATGCCCAAACTTGGATTTTCATTGGTTTCAGTTCATAAAAGCAAGCATTTTTTTTATAATAAGCAAATTTTATTCCACGATTTGAAAAGTTATGTAAAAAGTAGGAAACTTACCCTCCGCTCAAAACGAATGAACAATATCTTTGAATGTGATTTATTTTCCTTTATATTTTCTTTTATAATATTAATACTTTTGATGCTATATAATAATTATTAAAATTTTCTTATTAATGGCAATAAGTTACTTGAGTATTATCAGCTACATAAAAACATTTAAATATTCNTTTTTTTTAGTAATAATTTCAACGGAAAATGTCAAATTATTTCCTTTGTGATCAAAAACATCTAAAGTACTTCTCTTTGTAGGAAAATATTTTAGAAAAGTGAAAGTTTTAAACAGTTATTGTAGAGAAAGTTATCTCTACAATTAAGTGTAAAATTAATGTAGACTTCGTGTCTAAGATACGATTATTAATGTTTAATTATTTGAAAAATGTTTTCAGCCGCATGTGTAAAAATAATGTTTTAGTAATGAAATATAAACATGAAAAACACACTGGCTATCAACAAAAAATTTTCGTACCTTAAGGGGAGAAAACGAGAAAATAGAAAAGATTTTTTTCGTTAAAAAGCGATGAAAAAATATTCCTACGGTTTTAAAATTAAGAAATTTAAACTTGAGTTAGAACAACAAGTGTGAAATAATATTTACATTAAACATGTAATATTGAAATATTATAAACTATAAAATATTTTCCTGAAAGTCTTTTAACATAGTGAACTGGAGTAATGTGAGTTACCGGAGTAGTGTAAGTGTGATTCAAGGTAATATTAGAAAATAATGATGTTATAAATAATAGAACACATTAGTTTTGTTATTTGTATTAGAATTCGTATAGAAAATTGGGTCCCACGTTCTGTTAATATCAGTTAATATATAGAGAGATGCTTTTAAATTGGACTCCTAATTTTAAAAATAAGTAAGTTTTTATCATTATTATAATATCAAATAAGAAAATTAAAGTATTTATGGCATTTAAAAATTACCCATTTTGTGTTTCTGTGATTTAAAACAGCTCCTTTGTATTCTATAAAATGAATAGATAATTGATGACAAAATGTAAATATGTAGTTATACATTTTCTAACAGGAAATAAAATTAATTCAAATATTTCTTTCTTCATAAGATCAAAAAATAAATACATTTATAATTTAATGTAACAGTTAATTTCTTATATTTGATAAAGTTCAAAGGAGGAATAAGTTTATGAATGTATTTAAAATTATATTTAAAATTATAATTGAATATATACTGTAAATATATTATTAGTTTTTTTCAAATATTAAAATATATTTTTATTGGAAGAAAAAAATAAATTAATACTTCTTAAATATCTATATTAATACGTGTTGAAGGTCTTGCAAAATAGCGGATAATTAAATATTTGGCTTGACCAAGGACGTAACAGATTAATTAAACCATTAATTGATTAATTGCGGAAAAATTACTGTTTATATAAAATGAATAATAGATTAGTAAATTACGCAATAATTTAATTACGCAATAGTTTCCTTCATTAACAGCAAATGACGGAAAACTATACGAATTCTCTGATACGAATAAAAAAACTAAAGTGTGTTGTTTCTATTATTTATAACATCATTATTTTCTAATATTAACTTGAATCACACTTACGCTACTCCGTTATTCCGGTAACTCACATTACTCCAGTTCACTATGTTAAAAGACTTTCAGGAAAATATTTTATAATTTATAATATTTCAATATTACATGTTTAATGTAAATATTATTTCGCACTTGTTGTTCTAACTCAAGTTTAAATTTCTAAATTTTAAAAACGTAGGAATATTTTTTCATCACTTTTTAACGAAAAAAAACTTTTCTATTTTCTCGTTTTCTCCCCTTAATGTACGAAACATTTTTGTTGATAGCCAATGTGTTTTTCATGTTTATATTTCATCACTAAGCCATTATTTTTTTCAATGGGGCTGAAAACCTTTTTCAAATAATTAAACATAATACTACATTAATCTTACACTTAATAGTAGAGATTTATGTTTAAAACTTTCACTTATCTAAAATATTTTCCTACAAAGAAAAGTACGTTAGATGTTTTTGATCACAAAGGAAATAATTTGACATTTTCCGTTGAAATTATAACTAAAAAAAATCCATTATTTCTTATGATATAAACTAAAATTATACACAGATTTCAAAGTACAGCTCATTCGATTTGGGATTATTTCTAATTCAGTTAATATTCAAATTTATTCTTTGTTTGTACAATTTTGTAGTTTCTAATAGAATCAGCTATTTTAACCACACTGAGCAACCCCATATTTAAAAATGATTTGTTTCAGGATCTTCTAACTTTTGTTTGAATAATTACTTTACTGACACAGGTTTATAGTACTTTGCGTTTACTTTTTAATAGCATATGCGAATTCACTCCACTCATTTCACTTTACTCAATATTATAGTTAAAAAATATATTGTGGTTCACATCTGCATTCATACTTTTCTTAAATTAGCTATTTGCACTAAATACACCCAAAATGACATTTACTATGATGTATGTGCAGCATAGATGCTTCCCAATTTGTGCTAACTTCTAGAATAATACTGTATATTATGAGTATTTAAATATGGATCCTCGTCCCGCACTCTGGATGGTTCACGGAACCAACGGAATCTCCTGTCTTCATGATTTAAAATAATGTTAAAATGATTTTATAGAAAATACTTATTGATCTAACTTAAAGTAATCATTTTAAAATCTTTAAGAACTAGGAAATATTGTAACATTTTTATTTCTTTTTAACAAAATTTTCTAGTTTTTCAGAAAATATATATATATTTTTTTTTTGAAAAATGTTCTATCTTCTAAGAAAATATTTTTGTTTTTTGTAAAAAATTTTCTCTTTCAAGAAAATATTTTTTGTTTTTGTAAAAAATCTGATAGTTTTGTAAGAATATTTCAAATTTTTTAGCAAAAATTTTTCTAGTTTTTCAGAAAATACTTTCATTATTGAGGGAAACTTTCTAATATTTCAGAAAATACTTTTATTTTTATAAAAAATTTCTATCTTTTGAGAAAATATTTATCTTTTTGCAAAAAATTTTCTCTTTTATGAAAATATTTTTGCTTTTTGTTAAAAATTTGGTAGTTTTGCAAAAATATTTCAAACCTTTTAACAAAATTTTCTAGCTTTTTCAGAAAATATTTCTTTTTTGTTGTTTCTGTTACTTTGTGAAATATATATACACACACACAATTTTTCTTTAAAATGTACATTCGTCAATGTAATCCTCTTAGTGCGAATGACTGCCTTGCACAGATTCAAGTCAAGGCATTCAATAAATCAATTTTTCAAACGTTTCGCAGCTTAAATTTCTCCTGACATTCTCAGAGTGTTGTTACACATACTGGGCCCATTTAGCTATTTTGTGAAATTCATTTTATATATTTTCAATAGGATTCATAACGGATGATTGTGGAAGCTACGTCAAGATTTTGAGAACTTTTTGCTGTTCTTTCATTTTTAAATAAATGGAGCAAAGTTTGTAAGTGTGCTTTTGGTCAATATATTGTTAATAGGAAACCCTTTGTCAATATACGGATGCCAGATAACGCTGCTTGATGTACTAATATATCTAAATAATAATTTTTTTTATACCTTGTGCTCTCGATATGACAGTTTTTTCTCCTGCAAAAATACTCCAAATCATCACGCTACCCACCATGTTTCACTGACTAACTAAAACAGTAATCATTTGCACTTTCACCAGCAAATCGTCAAACATAATGAGGTCTTTTAGTTCGGAACAATTCGAATTTTGATTCGTCGATCCAAAACACTTTCATCTACTAATCCAATACATACTTTAAAACTATTTTTGCTCGTTGAAGATGTTTTTGTTTATTTACAAACCGCAGCAAAAGTTTTTGGCAAGTTATGCGGCTAGTTAATCCAACACTACGTAATCACCTTTTACAGTATCAACTGATATTGGATTTGTCTTTATTGTACGCCACTCTTCTCAAATCATAGTGGCTGGAAGCCGTCTTTTTCGTTTGTTTGTTATTTTTTATCTTTCATGATTATTTTGCATTTTGGTATTCCTAAAAATTTTCTTCTTATTTTTTTTTTTTTTTTNTTTTTTTTTTTTTTTTTTTTTTTTTTTTTTTTTTTTTTTTTTTTTTTTTTTTGTGGAGTTAATTCCCATTGTTCTGAATCGAGCCAATGTATATGTTACATTTATTTCAGAATTTTTAATCTTCTTGCTTATTTATCTTGAGTGTAACTTTCTTCCTCTAATACTTACTTCGATGGACGAAAATCGCAAAACACAAAATTTTGATTCATTTAATGCCTGACTCATATGAAAATTGTGTTTGATTTAATATATATATATATCGATAAATAGATGTAAAATAGTATATATATAGGTTTTTGAAGAACACTTTGTATAAATAGGAAAAATCTTGTATACTAGTTTATATACTTGTTATGTATAGTTATGTTTGTTTTTATATTTCAGCGCTGTATAAGATCAAAATGAATTTCTCAAGCATATCTATTGATGAAGACTACTACACACTTGAAAAAGACATCGTAGCAAAAGATCATATTGAGTTCATATCGATTAATAAAATATTCGAAACAGCTTTGGCAGTTGCTCTTTGCATATCATCCACAACTAGCAACTTAATTGTGATATGTTCAATTTTTTGTGTTTCCAGTAGAACTCACGTACTGGATTTTTATATCATGTCCATTACAACCACGAACTTACTGATCACAGTTGTAGTCATTCCTTTTTCCATCGCTGCGAAATCAGATCTATTAGGAGTGTACAGCTTTTTGTTTTGCAGTATCAGTGGATACCTGCATGTCAGCTTATCAGCCGTTTACATGTACACCTTCATGTGGATGTCAGTGGATCGATATCTTGCCAGAAGGAAATCTTGCCGCTACGACGTTATCCAAACACGGACCAGATGCAAGTGCTGGATTCTCTTTTCGTGGGTCATGGCCACCTGTCTTTGCTGCCCTCCTCTAATAGGTGATTCCAAAGGACATTTTTACGCCGAGAGTTTTATATGCCTTCTAAACATCCGAAGCATGCTACCTTATTGTATAACATTAGGATGCTTGGTCCTAATACCTAGTATTTCGACTTTGTGTTTTACGTACTTTCACATATTTACCACACCAGATATGGGAGTGAAAGATGAGGTTGCAGGGTTTAACTCTGACCACATCGCTACATTTATGGTAACTGTTGGGTTTAACATACTTTGGACTCCGTGGGGAGTACTTAGAATATTGGAGCTTATTTCCAGTAAAATCTTGGCTAATCCAACATCAAGATTTTGGCTTTTATTTCTTGGCGAAATGCATACCTTATGGACGCCTATAGCTCTTTTAAGTTGGTATAGAAGATGCCAGACAGGATTAAGATTGATATTTAGATGCTGTATAAAATCTCAAACAACTGTTCCCTTGTAAAAAGTTTCAACTAAAGTGTGTTTAAGGGTTCCTTAAATTAGATGTTTTGTGATGCATAATAATTTGAATTATCAAATATTTTCATATAAAGATTTAGAGTGAACATTTAAATAATCATTACACATATCTATTAACAATAAATATGTAAAATATTTGAATCTAAAAAATTGTAGTTTAATCTTCACACACATGATATTTTGTTTATTTCTATGTTTATTTTATTTCAAAAGACATTTGTCTTTGAAATCTAGCAACATAAGTGAATGCCGACATTCAGCAGATTGATGAGTAGTAAGTGTTAAGTGCGAAATAACTATATTTATCAACAAAAAAAATTCTAAATTCACATTGTCAACATTTGCTGGTGTGAGAGATAATGATATTTATCAAGTATTTGGGACTTAAACCAATGCGACTATAAAAATGTTGACTTACACAGTAACATAAGCATTTGATGTTCAAAAAATGACATAAATTAATGTAAAATATCATCTTTATATTCTAAATATTATTAAGAAAATAGTATTGTTAAACATTATTTTTATATTCTAAATATTATGAAAAAATAATTTTGTAAAATAGTATCTTTTTATTCTAAGTTAGATGTTAAGCTTTGCTTGAGCTCGTTGATAAACCAGTTACACAATCATTCATGAAATATTTATACTGGTTGTTCTTATCTCTATTGTATTGTATTGGAATTGAAATATTGCATTAATTGAAACTAGAGACAATTTCACCTATCAAAGTTTACATTTTTGGCAATTTGCCAAAAACGATTTTATTTGAATTCGAACACAGGCTTGCTTAAAAAAGTTTAAATTTGTTACAGTTTTCAATACTAAATCATAGCAAACTTCAAGAAGGTTTTAATTTATGCTCCAAATTTATTGCGAATTTCAAATTATCACTCTCTCCAGGTGCCTTTTTCGAAGATTGAATGATCATATTGCTGAAGTGCTGCCATTCTGAAGAGAAAAGTTTGAAAAAATTTTATTGCGTACTATCGTTCAAACATGAGTAATAAGCATCTGTTAAATCTTTTCGTCTGTTTTTCAAATTTTCATTAAAAATTCAAAAAATAAGGAAACAAATTGCTCTGTTATGTAGGATTTCATTTTAGATTTTAGAATCATTGCACCAACTTGTTGTTTGCTGTAACTTTATTATCATTGTTTAAAAAAAGAAACATCATTTCGTAACAATTTCTTTATTAAAAGTACAAACTGTGGAAACATTAACTAAATTATTTATATTAACTTATGCTACTTCAGTTAAGAATATGAAATTACATATGTTGACATTTCGTAACATTATTCGGTAGCTTTTAACTTCAAATTTTCAAGTCTAGAATGAAAACAAACTTTAATGTTTGCCGTAATAATCATGCAACCACTTCTGTATATTTCTGGTTTCGAAGCTTCTGGCTGCGACAACCGATGGTGGATCTAGTGGATTATCGGCCCTAGAAATACATTCAAAAAATTAAAATTTATTAACTAATACAATGCAAGATAACAATTAAAATAATGGAATTCATTGCTTTCCGTCATAGCAGCAGCCAAAATTATAAAGTGTGCATTTATCGATTATAAAGTGTGTATTTATCTTTGTCTGGCTACGACTACAAATCGTGGATCCAGTGGATTATCGGCTCTAAGAACACATTAAAAAAATTAAAATTTAATAACTAATACAATGTAAGATAACAATTGAAATAACTGAATTGATTGCTTTCCGTCATATCAGCAGCCAAAATTTTAAGGCGTGTATTTATCGATTGTAAAGTGTGTATTTATCGCTTGTCTGGCTACGACTACAAATGGTGGATCCAGTGGATTATCGGCTCTAAAAATACATTAAAAAATTAAAATTTAATAACTAATACAATGTAAGATAACAATTGAAATAATGGAATTCATTGCTTTCCGTCATATCATCCGCCAAAATTTTAAAGTGCGCATTTATCGATTGTAAAGTGTGTATTTATCGATTGTCTGGCTACGACTACAGATGGTGGATCCAGTGGATTATCGGCCCTAGAAATACATTAAAATTTTTTTAATTTAATTACTAATACAATGCAAGAAAACAATTGAAATAATGGAATTCATTGCTTTCTGTTATAGCAGCAGCCAAAATTTTAAAGTGTGTATTTATCGATTGTCTGGCTAAGACTACAGATGGTGGATCCAGTGGATTATCGGCTCTAAAAACACATTAAAATAATTAAAATTTAATAACTAATACAATGTAAGATAACAATTGAAATAATGGAATTCATTGCTATCCGTCATAGCATTGGCTAAAATTTTAAAATGTGTATTTATAGATTGTGAATTGTGATTGAGAAATTATTAACATTGAACCTGTTATAACGCTCATCGCAATCTTCCATCCGTAACAAATCCTGCTCCTTTATTAATGACCTACATAAAATGTACGATAGTCAAACAAAAAGTAACTCTCCCACAGCCCATGCATAGAAACAAATCCTAATAATATGGAAAGGTTTATTACAGAAAATATAACAATATTTCAGTTACTTCCCAACATAAAAACTGTTGAAATAAAGTCACTTTTCTAACCGAGTGACAAATTTTTATTGTTAAGTATCATTGAAGCCTGCCGCCTGGAAATGAAGCCAACGTATTACTGTAGCTCTCTGTGAAACAGAAATGATCAGGCAGAAATTTCCTCAGGTGGAAGTGAAAGTCGCTGGGCAAAATATTTTACTTGATGTAACATTTTCAAAATTTTTTTAAGTTAAGTTTCTCCATCTCTAATTTGATGATAAGTATAGATAATTTGAAATTCGTTAAAATATTGGACAAAACAAGAAAAAAAAACGACAGTAAAATTATTGAGAAGCAAAAGATATTAATATTATGCGTTTGATGTAAAAATGCCAAAACATAGAGGTATTTTTTTAATTTTTTCTGTTTCGACAGTAAACATATTCGACAACATTTTTCTAAAATTAAACAAGTTGAAACTCATATAAATATTTTTCTATTTATTATTAAATCAATAAATTTACCTAAAAAAGTATATTTTTTTGTGATCACCATTACACAGATGTTAAACCTTTATTAACATAAAAAAAAAAATTCTTCTTGCAAATAACTTTTATAACTAACTTTCTCTTTTTTTTTAAAAAAAAAAGAGAAAGAATTTAAAATGGGAAGGAGAAAAAAAAGAAATATAATATTATTTTCAGCTAGTTTTATAAGATCTATAGTTGAAGGTCAAAAGAAGGTAAAAATCACCTGAGGTCAAGGTGATGGGCTCCACCGTCAACTAAAACTGTTACCAATGTGTCAGAAATATCCTGAAGAACCTGTAAAAAGTAGAAAATGATTGTTTCATTAATCATGGGATACTACATCAAGCTACTTTTCTTTTCTTTTTTCTGAACTTATAGGTGCTATGCACTTCATTTTTAATAACTTTTGACCAGTTTTCAAGCTCAGTGCCATATCATAGATGCATATTATATATTTAAAAATTCGACATTTCTGGTACTTTCATGAAATCGATGTAACAATCGATGAGAAGCTAAATCAAAATACGTTGCCTACAGTTTAGAGGAGAATTTTAAAATTTATTTGGAAAACAAAAAATTAATCCTTGTAAGAAATGAATTATTGTTTAATAAATTAATTACAACTCAAAAAAAGTGATAAATGTTATAGACAATGTTACAATACATACAAACAATACATACAATGCATATACAAGCAATGTTACATTGCTAAAAAAGAAAAAAAAGAGCCAATTTTTGTTACCCCTCCAGGAGCCCAGGGATCCAAATTTCCGTTGCTGAACACAATGTTTGAAGATGATGCAATATCTATTAGAAAAAAAGTTTGTTGTTAAGCTATAATTAACATAATATTGAAAAAATACATAATTTTACATTGCATAAATATTATCTTAATATCAGTATAAACCGTATGCAAGTTACAGTATAATAAAACTTCTCATTTATATCAGAAAGATTATGCACCCTTTTAAATCAGGTAAATTTCTTCCCATTGCACAAAAACCACTCGACTAGTAATTACTTCGCGCTTTTGTTGAGTTGATCTAGTTAAGCCAGAGAAAGTAGTTCACTAGACGGAGAAAGTGCAAAATCTCTTTATTCTGTTTTTAATTAGCTCTCGAATTTGGTACAACCTAAAGATAATTGTAGAAAATAGAAATAGTTACCCCAAAAAACCATAACGTATCGCATTTTATTCCACAGAAAAAGTTTGAAATTGGAAATAAGAAAAAAATTCCTAAAAACCTGCTTTTTATCTAAAATTATCTTCTCTAAAAATTTTAGTTTTTTTATTTAAAATGATTATTTCTAACGAAAATAAGATACATAAAGGCATCTTTTTGGCATGGGCTCCCCGAAGTTATATTTTTTGGAGAGGGGAAATTTCCATTTCGCGAAATGAATTTTCCTATTTTGATCGAATCATAAATTAGCGACTACAATTATTCTTACATATAAAGGGACATCAAAAGCTACTCTGAAAAGTATTTTTAGGTGATGAAGCAATAAGTTGCTACTTTTATATTTGAAGTGTTAGCAAAATTTATACCTAGATATTTTATTTAATAAATTTGATTTAAAAGGTTAAAATTTTGATATTAAATGCTCACCTAATCAATTTAACCATATGCATTAATTATCTGGCAATCATAAGTGTGGTGCTAAAGAAATTTATGATGGCAGTTAAGAAATTAAGTATCATTGGTGTCGTATAAAATCTTCAAATAAGTATATTAATCTACAAATCTTCAGCCTTTTTCTACACGTGGGCACACAACTATAATTCAGGAAATCGTGAGGGCAGCGCATGTGTTAGATAACGGTAAAATTCAATAGCAGGAGGAGAATAGCAGTTTATCTTAGTACTATAAAGTATTGAATATTTTCTGTTTTGGAATTTTGCTTTCTTAGCGAATTAAACTAACAACTGGTTGAACAATACATTCATAAATAGTTCACAGTTTGAAATATAATATGTTTGCAAATTTCCTTGATGGATGATACGAAAAGGTATTATTATAAGCTAATTTGTATATCTCTATTTCGGAAGAAACTGGTTCTTGCAGGTATTCGGAAATAAGAGCACCAAGAAGAGTGATTGGCAATGGCAGGGAGAGGATTAGATTTCAAGACAAAATTGTCAAATGGCTACATTAAACTATACTTACGCATACTTTTTCTCATAGCTATTTAAAAAAAGTCAAATAAACATGTAATAATTTCAATTGTGTTTTTAAAAATAAATTAAAGTGAGCGTATTAAATTTTGTAAGAAGGCCGAATGGCCAGACAATATTTGACGAATAGTTAAAAACTTTGGGAGGTCCCAGTGACCTCCCGCGATTCCCAATCCCGCCTCCCCCCTACTTTTGGGTTGCAAATGATTTTACTACACTAACTTGTTAGTTGTGCAAAGCGTGGAAGCTAATATGAACATATTTCTTATAGAATATGGATGTAAATCATTTATTAGTAATATATTCTGTTTATTATTTAAAAGTGGATGGCAATAGTTGGTGGATACTGGGAAAAACACATACCTTCTCCCCAGTAAAGCACATCAAGCCAATTTCTTCTAGGCAGTACATTCCACGCCTTCAGACAGTAATCATCTCGCATTGTGGAATTAAAAGGAAGAGCAGGAAACATGTCATTTATACCATTGGTATTTCCTTCTAAGTTAATTTCGGTGCATGCCTAGGATGAGAAAAAAAATTTATAAAACTATCTACTTTAAAGAAATAATTATCGTAAAGAAAGCTGTTCATGAAATACACAAACCCTTCTAAATTCACATTATTACAGAAATAATGTCGTGCTTTATTTTACAACATTTTACAACTCGTTTTAGACTTGCTAAATGCTATACTTAGTGCTGTATTTTGGCAAAGAATATTAACTCAAGTTTACTTCCATTTTTGAACAAAGATCTAACCTATGAGTACTGTTAGAGAACGAGAGATAACGGTAGATAGCAATTGTTTAGTAATTTTAGGAACTTTGAGGAAATATTATTTTCACTATTGGTCACGTAATAAAAACACTAAATAAAAATAAGCACAAATATAAACTATACAAACAAGTTCCATTCTGTCTTACTTTAAAAAAAGGGTTGAAAACAAAAATTTTCAAACACTGGGAATTGTTCCCAAAACTAAATTGTACAATTTATTATTTTTTTAAAAAATTATTTGAAATAACTCAAGAGACAAAGGTTGTTGAAAAAAGCACATAAGAAATGCGTTTTTTTTTCTTTTAAGAAAAACTAAAGGAGGTCTCACGAAAAATTTATAACAGACCTCTAACATCATATGTTCAATACTTATTTAGAAAATTGAAAATGTTCGTGATAACCTAGGACTCTATATTTGGCAATTACTGTACTATTTGTTTAGTTATCTCATAAGCGAGTGACCACATCAATAACATTATCGTCTGTTAGTAGAAAAATAGTTGTTCTTTTAGCATTTGAAGGCCATTTTAAATTTTAATAAGTGATTTGAGCAAATTTTGACTCCGATATTGGAACCCTGTCATTCTTAACAAAAGTCTGTTAGTAAATAAATGGTGACGGGGGTCATAAATAAATTGAATGTGTTTTGACTATGGAGAGTGATTTTAAAAATGGAAGAAAAAAATAGTTCGATTTTTAATCACCAGAGAATAAAATTACACTAAGTTTTTTTTCGAGTTAAAATAGATAAAACAGGAATGGAAAACGAATATTTCACATACATTTCGATATTGGCATCACATTTACAANAAATAGTTCGATTTTTAATCACCAGAGAATAAAATTACACTAAGTCTATTTTCGAGTTAAAATAGATAAAACAGGAATGGAAAACGAATATTTCACATACATTTCGATATTGGCATCACATTTACAATTGAATTTTAACTTACATTTTTAACAGCATTATAGCAGGCATATGTTTGTCCTCAGAAGAAGTGGTTATATGCAGATTTTCACAAAGGAACAAGGTTAATTAAAGTATTTCCCATTTCAATTAATTGCCAGTGAGGAAGAATTTTTTCAGAGATGAAGGACTAAGGTAGATATGATTATTTAATTGTTACATTAAATGCTAGCACCAAGTACAATTATGCAATGCAATATCAAAATACAAGTGAAATGTTAATTTTCTGTACTTACTCTTGCTATGCGTATTTTACCCTTGAAAATAGGTTTACTAAGCAGTTTAGCGAAAAATCGAACTCATTTTGTTTTCTTATAAAAATCAAATTCTAATTATCTAAATAGTATCTACTGCAAATTAGGTCGATTTTTGTTCAGCAGTTTCCTCCTTTTCAGACTTAAAAATTCTCTACTATGGCCACCTTTTATGCATTTATTTGAAAGGAAAAGTAGTGATGTATCCATTAAATTTAGTGACAGGGCTGTCATGCTATTAAAAATTGAGATTTTTATATATTTTGCATATTTGTATGATAAGTTACTTATTTCAACTTTTTTTTAAAAAAATAAATTGTATCATCCATTTTTGAAATTTTTTTTTATCTCTCACAATATTAACAACAGAAAGGAAATAGTTGTCAAGCCACTTTTTTCGAAATCTATCATGGAGCACTCACATTAGGCTGCTAAGAAATTTTTTTTTTCTACTTAGAAACCGTATACATCTACCTGGTAATCCCAAGCCTTACTATCAGATCCTAAGCCACATCCAGTAGGGTCAGCACAGTAAATATATTCTTGATATATATCGAAACATGGGACTGGTGGATTAGAGGCATTGTAATACAAAGCTGCAGCAGAATAAAGCCCATCAACTGGTCTTGTAGCATTCAGAAGACGGGAACACATTACCTTGAAAAAACATGACTTAATCAATATCTTAAAAATATACGAAGGGTTAACTTTTCCTTAAAGGGAAGTTTGAACCTGAACACTGAATAGATTGTATAGAATAGATTTAAATTTAGATTTTAGATAAAGGAAGAGAAAAAGTTTTTGCGTTATAACGGATTTTTTAATTTAATGTTTTGTAAGTATATTTTATTGATAATAACTTTTTACTCTATAATCCAGTTTTAAGCATTTATTGTAGAGTTTTTTGTCCTATTGTAGGTCTAGAGGCTAGAAAACAGGGCAAAATAAACAATTAAAAATTGAAATCCAAGTGCAATTAGGAGAAACTTAGGATATTTGCAGTTATCTTAATAATAAATAAGTCAATCAGGATTCATAAGTTTTTTTCGTAACAGAGAGAAATAGACTCTTCTTTTTCTTCTTTAACGAATTTTGCAGCTTGCCAATGCATGTATTAGATTTTTATGAACGGGACAGAGTGCATCACAATTCATTGACTTAAATTTTTAAGCAGATGTCAAGAAAAGTTGTTTTTTTTTTAACCAAATCAAACTTTCTACCAACTTTGTATCGAGATGCTCGAAATTTGTTTTTATTCTAATATTAAGCGTTGCAGACAGAAACTTTTTGAACATATTGCATTATTTGTTGACCCTTGGATCAGATAAATATGTTTTTTTATGTATGATTTCAAAGTTAAAGCAAAATAAGAGACTAAGAAGTGGTATTTAGTTAACGATGATTTGCAAGGTTCAGATTTTAAAAACTTAATTATACAAAAATATTTGCGCATGAGTCGTATTGGTTAAAGCAATAGAATGTAAAATAATTTACTTATAATAACAGTAATATTTAATTTCTCTTAAACGCTGTCTTAAGTTATAAGAGTGTTTTAAGTTATAAGATGTTTGAACCGTTGCTCTATGATTTGAACCTAAGTGTAATTTTAAGAAGGTTTCTCGGTAGAGTAATGATTGGGTTGGTAATCGTATTGTTGACTCGTTGCCGTCGTACTGTGATAATGTTCTAATAAATGAAGCGTAATTAGATAGAAAATAAACAATTGTATCTAAATATTTACTTTCACTGGAAATGCTGGAAAATTGCCCATGAATGTAGCCGGATAAGGATAATCCATCATAGCAGCAGACACAAATGAGTTTCGAATCCATCGTAAAAAATGATCGTAGTCTTTATTATCAGCTAAAGGTTTGCACAGATGAAATGCTCGAGAAATATCTCGAAGACCTGAAACAAATCTCGTGCATTTTATTCTTTGAAAAAAATCTATACACAACAATATCTAGACAAAAAGCTTTGCAATGTTATAATAAATGACACCTGAAAACTTAAATGATACTTTCCTTTATATGCTTCCCTCTCTAAAGGCCTGGCTTCTTAGGACAGGACGGCGTCAGCTGGAAATCAGCGCTAACCTCTGATAGGTCCATTTGTGAGTTTGATAGTATACGTCATCGAACGTTCATCTTGAACTACAATTGCCGTCCAACTCAACTGCAGTTGGATTACAACGTGACGTTAACCACAGAAGCAATGGCGGACAACATCCAACAGCACATTGAAATCAGCCAAGATTTTGATTTTGACATTAAACATAGCTTCTTCATTAAACATAGCACTCTTCATTTAACTCAGCTATAATGTGTTCTTTCTTGGACAAAGTCATTATTTGTTCTCTAAAACACTGGTCGACAATAACATAATCAATACAAATTCGAAATAAATATTTGTTTACGTTATTAACGCATGCGCAATGAGAGATAATGTCTGTGTTGAACCGACTGCTCACGCTGAGCTAACAAAAAAGTAATTTTTTGGCGTTAGCTCTACGTCAACTTTCTGCTGACGCCCAGATAAGGCGCTAGTTCTAAAAAACCAGGCCTTGAGCTAACAAACCAGTATTTTGTTGGCGTCAGCGCGAAGTTGACGTCCCCCTGACGCCCAGATAAGGCGCTTGTCCTAAGAAACCAGACCTTTAGAGAGACCTCTTCCTCAATTTAGACATAGATCTGAAGGGGCAGGAAATTTTCTCCAGATCCCTGTACCCAAGGTACTGCTCCCCAACTGACCACAAGACTTTCGATGTAACATATTTTACGAGCACGTATATCGCATGCACTCGGTGGATCATAGCGGAGTCGAGGATCGAACTTCGGCACCTCCCGACCGGAGTCCGATTCTCTAACCACTGGGCAACCACGGTTCGCTGAGATAAATGAGACCAATCACGACACGATTAGCCTAATAGTTGAAAAGTTATAAGCGTTTACTTTATACTAAGTACAATTCAAAAATAGTGCTTTTCGTTCAAAAAATTCCTTTAAATATTTGAAAAATCAGTCATTGAATCATGTTTGGTCTCATTTGCTTAAATGATAAAAAAAATACATAAGGAACAATATCTCTATTGTCTGTATAGCTGTCAATATAAAATGTGCAATTAAGTGCAAGTACAAAATTGTACTTTTTGCATATAAAACGCTTATTACATCTAAATTATTACTCTGTTCATTTAGCAATCGGTTTAATTCATTTAAGCAAGAAAAATTACAGCGGAAAATATATCTTACATGTTCAGATAGTTCACGGATAGCAATGTAAAGTGTACACACGTACGCGTACAAAGGCAATAGTTTCCGTACATTCTCTGTATTCTCATGTTTTCTCTGTTAACTTTTGAGCTATTTGTTCTATTGACTTGTGAAAAGTCTTATTCGATTGGGTGTGAAAAAAAATGCATACAAGTAATGTTTTACTTGTTTAGTTAGCAATATAAGGTGCATATATAGGTAAAAGTACAATTTTTACTTTTTTCGTCGAAAGAACACTTCAAACTTCTAAACTAATAGTCTAATCGTCTCAAGATTAGTCTCCTTCAATTCAGCGTTAAAAAATACATCGGAAACTGCGTTATACGATGAAGAGATTCTTTTCTTCCCACAAATCGCACCCATTTTCCTCAAGAAAGGGGAGAAGTACAGAGAAGAGTAACGAAGTTTTCAGGTATCGATAATAATAACATAAAAAAAAAACTTTTTACGAAGAAATATCTTGGGTATTAATTTTTCTGATGGAAGGGTCTTATTTTAATTTTACTGAACTACAAAACGCACATAAAGCAATATTTTTTTAATCAACGGTTTCGCTTTACATCATGCAAATATAACACAGTCTACCATAATTGATTTAATTTTTTACGAAGCAAATTTTTAAGTCTAAAATTTTGTTTAGATTTTAGGTTTTAAAATATGAATTTGAGGGGTCACAGTACCCTTGCAATAATTTTTTTAAATAAAGGTATAATCATTCATTTTGTGAATGCTTTACATGCTCATTTAACTTACAATCAATAATTTATCATCAAAAAATAGTTAAACTGTTTAATTTTTTTAAAATTTTAAAAATTATTGAAAGAATTCAAAATTTTTAAAATTTTAAGGCTTTTTTATTTTAACATATTTAAATTTTTTTTTCTCCTTAGTGCTTATAATATTCATCTTAGCAATTTTGTGCATTCATTTGTTGATAGATCAATTAGAATATTTTTTATAGATTATTTTGTGAAAAAGTTAAAAAAAAAAGGTTAAAAATTCCAGTTAGGTTTATAGAACATGCTGTAAAAATTGTAATACCTCATAAAATGCTTATTCCATGAACGGTTTAAATAAGTGCATTATACTTAAGATAAAAAAGCTTTCTTCAAAGCTTTATCTTAAATAGAAAAAATTCCTTGGGGATTTTTAATTAAGATTAAAACACAAAATTATAATCTATGAGAAGAAAAGAACTGTAAAGTTTGTCTGCTGAGGCTTTCTGTATTAGGGCAATCTAAAATCATTCATAACTTTTTTAAAAATGTAGATAAGGAGATGATTTTTTTTTTCAGTGCATTTGAAATAGTTTGAAGTTTTATTATAAGCAATAAATTTTTTTTCGATGCTTCAGCCATTTTTTCGGTACTGTGACCCCTTAATATAATCAGTATATAGTTACAAACGGAGTATGTCCGGCTACATAATCCAGTGCAAAGGAGTCACGAAGGTGATTTTTGCTCTCTGTAAATTTGGACAGAGGTGCTTCTATGGAAGTGGGAACACTAAGTTCACTTTCTAAGCTCACTTTCTAAAAGAACGTGTAACGTTAAAGTTTATCCAAAAATACACCAATAGAAATGCATTAAAATATCACCTGATGCTCCTTCTGCTGCCCACTTTTGTATTTGTCCAAATGCTGCTCGAACTTGGTTTTCACATCCAGGTTCTTTTTGAAAATCCTGAAAAAAGAATAAAAATATCTTTTAATACCTGTAAGTGACGTAGTGGAGGTATCGCTATTCTAATTGGTTATTAAAACGTGGCAATTGTTTACGTTAGCTACTGTTCTTTAAATTCTATTTCGAGCACGCCACGTCCGTCAAAATTCAGCCCGGGTAGCAGAGAACCATCAATTTTAAGTAAAAAATAATAAGTATATTTAATCTTTAAATTTCACTAAGCATTTGTAAAATTTAGGTAAAATTGAAACGCCGAATTCTAGCAAAAAATGGTTATTCAAATAAACTTAAAATTCAAGTAAAATTATGTATAAATAAATTCATTTTTTTGTGCGAATATTTTACCTACCACTTTTTACTAGGTAAGAATGAGTACGTTATTTTTACATATTATTTACGTTGAAAGTATACGTCAAAATTTATGGAAGTTGAAACGTCGAATTGCAGCAAAATATGGTAATCCAAAAATGGAAAATTTTTGTTAAATTTTACATAAACAAATTCGTTTCTTTTACGACTATTTTACGAACTACTTTTTTCTTGGTAAGAATGAGTAAGTTATTTTTACATAATATTTACGTCAACAATACGTCAAAATGTTCGTAAGTTGAAAGGCCAAATTATGCAAAAAAGTATTTATCCAAAAACAGAATATTTGTGAAAATAAATTCGAACCGAAATTTACCGAAATTTAAATGACAAATTTGTTTTACCAAAAAAAATTTTTTTTCAAAGGGTACCAACTTTGGTAACAGCTTGAAAGAAAATATCTCCTGATAATTTTCCAGCCACTTGGTATATGGGTGCACTTGCAGCAATTGCTCCGGTTATGATATTTGGGTATTTAAATTTCATGTAAGCAGCCAGCATTCCTCCATAACTATAATAAAACAAACAAAATAATTTTACAAATGGCTTATTTCCGATGCAAAGACAATTAGTTAAAACAATTAGTAAACGAATCTCATAACATAATGTAAATACTTAAAAAAAGAACATGTTTTTAAAATACACAAATTTCAGGGTTTTTTCATGACATAGTTGAAGATTTCATGAAAAGAACATGTTGACATTTCCATAATTTTAGTGATGCTCATAATATAATCAATGAGCTTAAAATGAAGCGACATTTTCAAAATCCTCGCAGTTCAAAGCTGTTCAGAACATTATGGATGAAATTAACAAAAGAACAGGCTTATTTCAAGCGTCATTTTCAAAATATTCATGTATCAATGTTGCTGATTACATAATTGATGAGAAACGAAATAAATATTTTCAAAGTATTTTTCATGACATGGTAGGTGAGACCAATGAAAAACCTGTACAAGGGTATTTTCAAACTACGCAAATTTGAAATTTGTTCTTAACAACCTGATTAAGGAATTTAGGTAAAGAACACATCAAGTAATATTTTCAATGTTAGCAAATTTCAGGGTTTAAGAGAACGCTATACCGAGAGGAAAAACTTCTCGTGGTAAATTCTGTTTCACCTTCATTGGTATTTTAGAGTGCTTTCAGATAAACCCTGAAGTTTTGAAGGCTGAAAAAAATGTTTTCCAAATTTAAAAATGCTAACAAATTATTGCAAGATAATTTTTCCACTGCGTAATCCTGAGTAATCCGCCCATAATTTGTTTGCATTTTGATATTTTGAAATTTTTTTTTCAGAATTTGAAACTTCATAGCTTACTCTAAGTTAACCTTATCTCACTTTTTGTATACTTTAATTTTAGTTACTTGTGTTAGTTAAAAGAAAATTTGACAAGAAGAATTTCGCCCGTTGTATAAATTTCAAGAGCATTCTAAGATCTGTTACAAGTCTTAATTCATGCAATCTGAGTTTTAAAATATGGGCATTTAAATAAATAAAAAAAACTGTTAGTAGCTTCTTGATGTTTCGGTGCGTTATAAAGTTCATTTTTACAAATTCGCAATTTTTTTTTTAATTTTTAATTTTATTTTCTTTATCAATTGCTTTATTTCTTACTCTCAGCTCTTCAATTATTTTACTTAGCTTATAAAAATCTCAAGAATATGTGTTTGAAAAAAAGATTTAAATTTTCCTCTGAAATATTTTAAAAATTATCGAAAAAAATAAATAAATAAATTGAAATAATAAGGATAAAATCATGGTAACTTCCTAGGACAAGTTATGTGAAATTTGTTTTAAATCACTAATAAAGTTCTACAAAAAACAGTACAGGATAGACAAAAATTAAAAAAGAACAAGCAAAAAAAAAAAAAAAAAAAAAAAANAAAAAAAAAAAAAAAAAAAAAAAAAAAAAAAAAAAAAAAAAAAAAAAATCTACCAACAAATTATGCTCCGTAATAATCTTTTTTTTTTTAAATGTAAAACTATTTTCGTTATCTTTATATAGTCCCTCGATATTGAAATTTTTTTAATCGTTGCCTATACAATTATTTTTTTTAAATCAAATTTTATCTGATGTTTATCACAAAGTGGCAGAATGTTTTTCATTATTCATACATCATTACAATAACAATTCTTTCTGTTATAGTGAATTTGATTTAATTTATTTAAATATTTCAATTGTGGTTTTGTTTTTTGTATCGTCTAGTATTTTTATTCTTTAATCTTGCTACTATACTTGCTTGCTATAATTAATCTACTTCGAGAATTGTTTTTTTTCCAGTTTTTAAAGAGTATTTTGTTAAAGAAAATTGACTGTTATTTTTTAATGTGTCAGTTACTGCGTGTGCTTCAGATAGGTTTAAAATTAATAGACCTTCATTAAGGTTGCCTCATCAGCAGTAACAGTATGTAAACAACTCAAAACTTAGAACAACGATGTGAACGGATTGATTTGAATTTAATTTGCATTATTTAATTATTTAATTCGTATCATTTAATCAATAATTAATCTGCACTTTAAAAAAAAAGAATTTGAAATGGCAATTCTTTTCAGAAATATAATGAATAGAAAAAAAGATATTCATCATTTTGGTGCTTTTTTTCTCTCTTTCTTTTAGGCTCTTTGATAATGATAAATAAGCTGATCGTAGATCAGATTTACAACGAACCTTCTACACTTATTGTAAACATATTATTTAGAAGGCATTGATGCAATTTTATAAATTAATTTTTTAACGAGGAATTTTTTTTTCTTATTTCAATGTTCTCAGAAACAGGTTCTTTTTTAAATTTAAATTCAAAATGTGTTTGAAAAATTATAGTATAGAACACTGGTTTGTAAATTAATATTTTACGAAGAGATACTCTTACAAATAAAAAATTATTTCAATTCATGTTTAAATTTCTTACAAATAAATGCATATTTTACCATACTAAAATCAGTTTTCCTACACTGCATTCTCTCTCTGATAAAAATAAAACTATTGCCCTACCGTTTCGTGCAATCTCAATAGATAGAAAAATTGCATAATATGACCATTAAGGAACAAAGATCTAGATATCTTCGGCTGTTATCAACATAAAATTTATGTAAATTATAAAGGTACTTGTTGTAAATTACTGATCTATCCTTCATTTACGATATTATTTACTAGTAATATTTATACACCATCTCTTCTTGATATTATTCTTTGTTATTATTTTCCAAACTGAAAGTCTTGTAACTATCAGTGGTTTTCCTATATATTATAAAGTAATCGCGTGATATTACCTTATTGTGCAGCATTTTATGATGAAGATATTTAGTTATCGGTTTGCTATCATTAAACAGCAAGATATATTTATTTTTTAACAAGTTATAATAAATTTAACGTAAAACTGTGAACGGCATAAATATATATAGTAATCGAAATTAAATCCAAAAGTAATATTAAGAATTAACAGTCAATTTAAAAAAGAAATTAGCATGGGGGAAATAATGCAAAATAATTATATTTAAAATTTTAGAGAGATTTATGCAATAGTGCGAGTTATTGTACTATTGCAGAAATATCTCTAGTGAAAAAAATATTTCATTAGTTTTTATTGTAACCAAAAATTAATTTAAAAAAGCACAAAAACACGTTTGTTTATGAAGTGAAAATTGAATTATCGAATAATCAATGATAGTCAAACATTACTAGATTTAAACTTTACCCATAAAAAATAAAATAAAACTTTGTAGAACCAAACCTGTGTCAATATAGTAAAGAAGTTCCGGACGTTCTAAATGAATAATTTTTAACTTTGGCGTAGCAATCTGCTTATGATTAAGAAACAAAATTGGCTGTGTAGCAATTGTGGGGTAGGCGAGAGAAGCGAGTTAGAGATAGAGTCGCCTAGTGCAACATGAAAAATATAATGGTTTTCGCTTTTATAATAATAAATGTTATAATAATAAATGGTATAATAATAAATGTTATAATAATAAATGTTATAATAATATTAAATGTTATAATAATAGATGCTATGTAACAAATAGTAATAAATGTTTCGAATAAGATTTTGCGATAGTAATTACAATATTAAGTAAACCCTTCTTAGCAAATTTAAGCTAAACCATCAACAATTTGTTAGCTTCCATAACTGCGTTTTCTATTCGAAAATGTTAAATTTTTGTTTTTAGGTAAACTGTAACATATAAAAGCACATTTTGAATTAAAAAAATTTATGAAAACTACTTTTTACAAATTCTTTTTCAGATAGTATGAAAGCAGAGTTTGCCTAGACAGTAACATCAGGTGATAGCAACCTTTTGTTTTGTTGAAAAAGAACATATTGTCAGTGATTCTAGTAATTAACTTTTATGATGACTCCGACGTTTCTTACTAACACGAAATTATGGCGTCGTTTATAATTTGACTGCCAAAGAAGTAAACGCATGTCTATAAGCGTATATATTAGGTTTGTGGTTTCTCATCTTTTAGGTCAGGTCACGAACTAGAATATTCATTAATAATTAAAGGTTAGTTATTCACACAGAAAAACTCGGCTTACTTACTTCTACAAAAGTAAAAAGAAAAATATGAAAAGTTTGCGACGGCCAATAAAGCTTTTCTTATTTTATCGAGAAAAATTTGTAGTTCCATTAAAGGGGGATTAATATTAAATACTTCTTTTTTCTACAGAAAATTTTTTCAATCGTTCAACTTACATGCTAAGCTGTGTTATATTAAAGACTAAGCCTGAAATTTTCAATAATATTTTCTACATTAATATAAAACGACTTGATATCTACAGCATGTAGACCAGCTAGCAATAGAGTATTTCAGTTTTCTTTTCCCATGAGAAATGGACCTTCAGCAAAAAGGAATTTAGATTTTAAGAGAACTTTTTAGGGAAAGATAATTTTATTTTTGTACCATGCAGCAAACTAGAATTTAAATTATATTTTCAAATATGAGAAAGCAAACGAAAATTTAAGTTACATTTTTAAATGTGTAAGTGAAGCTTTTCAGCAAACGAGATTTTTTCTTTCAATTTCAAAGGAGAAAGAGTGCCGTTTATCAAACGAGAATTTAGGTTGCATTTTCAAATGAGAAACATTTAGCAAACAAAACTGTAAATTACAATTTCAAATGAGAAAACAGATCATTTAGTGGAGGAGAATTTAAGTTTTATTTTCAATTGTTTTCGTGGATCTTTTAGTAAAAGAAAATTTAATTTATATTTTCAAATGAGAAAGCATACTATTAAGCAAATGAGAATTAAAGTTTTGCTTTCAAAGTAGAAAGCGGTCATTTTACCAAAAGAGGTCACAATTTAATTTAGAAATCAAATAGAAATACGCTCTTTAATTCTTAGTGTAAGACGGTACTCTTATGTTCTAAAGTTCTAAATTCTGAAGTGTGCTCAGAACAGCTTCGTAGTTGGAACAATTACTGACTGGGCACGACTGTCTCCGTAGAGTGAGTAAAATAAATAAAAAACAAAAAAATACGAAAAAAATTAAGTAACTTGATTAATTTGCGCTAACTTTTAATTATATTAAGGAATGAGAGATACAGAAACGTACTTCCTCTCTCTCTCTTTTTTTTCCCCCCTACACGTTTGGATTTTTGATCATCAAAACATAAGATTTAGACGCAATTGGGAAAATACCATTCTTAAGTATGGCCCCATAACGTTAATTTCATTTTTTGCAAGTTTAGTCATATATAGAGAATTTCTTTAGAAAAATCGAAAACTTTTTGCACACAATTATAAAATTCATTTATCCAAAGAAAGAGTTGTAAAAAATCCAAACCCATCGAAAAAAATGACTTAATCAGCAAAAGTATATTTTAGTGTCTGATTTCGTAACTTAATCAATAATTAGCCCTGATTAATTAGAATATATGAGGTGGTAAACTTTTGATCGATAAGATTGAAACTTAAAACGCTAAAATCCGGCCATTAGAAAAATCACTGAGGGTAACATTCAACTCTTTTGTGTGTATTTTTGCGTTCAACTGTATTGGTGAGCACGTGGCTACTAACAGGCTACCTTTTGATAGCTGAAATATCTTCTAGAAAATCATCAAAATTAAAAATCTTGGTATAAAAATACTAAGCGCTAACTAAGTGCTAAAAAAGTATCAGAATCTAACATAATTTCAGATTCAGAGAAAAAAATTCACAGTCTATTTACAAAAATATCTGTAGATTAATTTATAAACAGTTAAACAAAACTAACATTGCTTTTCTGTGGGAAAAAAGAACTTCTGAACTAGCGGAAAAATAAAATTACTAAAACTAATGCCTGCCAAATTAAGTGGAAAAATAATTATTGTTTTAGAACAGTCCCCAAAAAAAGGAACTATAAAACTTAATTGGTGAAATTATAAAAGATTCCTTTTCGAAATAATAATAAAGATAACAATCATGAGTTATTCACCTTCCACCAAAAGCAATTACTGGACAATCATCAGCATTCAATTTCTTCTTATAGCTTTTTAAGAAAAAAGCATAATCCGCGAGTGCTTGTTGAATGCTCAGAAGTCCAATGGATTTAGGCTGAAAGCTGTCTTGGCCAAAAGGAAGAGATTTTCCATAGTACCTCTGAAAACAACATTAGATTTACAAGTGATTTTAGAGAAGAAAATACTTTTCATTGTCACATGTACTTTATTATACAGGGTCACAAAACAAATGTTTTGAAAAATTAATTAAATAAATACCGAAGTCGTAAATTAAAGAAAGCGGGAATTGCGTTCTGTTTCGGAAACAATATCTTTATTAACATCAAATTCAAAATTAGTAGCAAAATTCAACAGCCAATGGAGCTGCTTTAATGACTGAGAAAAATAATAAAATTCATTTTTCGAAATTAACATAATTTTTTACACAACGTGGTGCTCTTTGAAAACAAAGGAACAAATATTTTAATCGCAATAAATGATCTGACATGTAGCAGAAAATATTGTTTTATTGTTTTTCCAGTCAGCAGCGATACACATACATAAACTTCAAAGCTAGTTTTGAAATTTAAGAATTTTTTTTTTTTTTTAAGGAATTGAAGGATTCATTTGTCTTCTAAGTAGAACTCAGTAAACTCTAAATCTTCTTCCTTTTCTTTTAACTGAATTTTTTTCATTGATTTTTCAAATCGCGGGTCATCTTTCGGGACATCATAAATACTTGGTTAGCCAAATGGTTCATATGGCCACTTCAAAGGATTATTTATTTACTAATGTATTAAATACGAAGAAGGATGATGCTCATAAAAATACATACACTCAGTAAGTTTTTGGATTATACTTCAAATGTTAATGCGTGCATGCTCCTTGGTCATTCAGCACGCATCCCAATGGGTTAACTGCAAGCAATGTAGTGTGGGTATCTCGATCCTGATTGGTTTTTGAAACGCGACATTTGCTTTTGTTAGCAACTGTTCTTTCTAATCTAATTATCTGTTAATCTGTTACTAATCTAATTATCTAATAATCAGTTACTGTTAATCTAGTTCCATTCATGTGGGTAGCACTTCATTAATTTTTGAATTTGTATCTTTGAAAATGCAATTTACTTAGGTACCTTTCAGTTAGCCGTGTGCAAGGAAATTCAATTATTTTTTTAATTTAATCTAATTTATTTTATTTAATTTTTTTATGTTTAAAAAATAAATAAAGTAAAAAAAATAGAAAAAAAGTTAGTGGAGGTCTACATTTTTTGGCGACTTTTCCCATGCGCCCAGTTATCCGAAAAGTAACTTTATTACTTTTTATTTAATGCCATCGACGTGAAACAGTTCACAATTCAAATTAATTTAACTTTCAAAGCAATATTATCTTTAGCATTTAAAAATAACCTTAATGTTATTAAATTTATCACTATATTATCATTATACTATCACTATATTATCACAGTATTTTTCTGAATTGACGTATGCATATGGGGGATAGGGATCTTAATTATTTTTGGTAATTTTAATCACAGTTTAAAAGGTAAGGAAATTTTATAGCAAAAAAAAAGGGTGGGGGGAAACGCTCAGTGAATGAGACAGTGCTATAGTTCTTTGATGACATTCTGTGCCTTGTAGTCAAGTTTGTCAGGGAAAATATTATCATCCATGGAAACAGACTTAATTTAATACTAGTACTAACTAAGCACCATTGCAAATGTGAAAATTTTTGATTGGATAAAGTATTCGTCATTCAATATATTAATTAAATATTTTGCAAGACATAATTTGATTTATCAAAATTATTATTCTTTAATGTTCATAGGGATTAATGATTGCATGTGCTGCATATCAATTTAAAAAACAAATTTAGCTTCGTATGGTATTAAGGATAAAAAATGGACATCGCTGTAAATACCAAAAAATATAAATCCCTCTTTTTACTTAAAAATGTTTTAGTTGCTAGGTCGCCAAGCTTAACAGATTGGGCAATGCTTGAAGAGGTAACTTTAGTTGTCCCATTTAGTCAATTTATAACAAAAGCTTTACGTGATCAAAAACGTTTATCATGATTTGTTTTAAAATTTAATTTTAATTCAAAAATGCGGTAAAGTTGTTTTTATACATAGATAAAAATATTTCATGTAAATTCTTACGTGTTCAACGAAAACCACTAGTGCTTGAAACTGTGGAGCAATTTTGAACATATATCCGGTATTTTCCCAAAATCCTACAATATCGCCTTCATTTCCAGCATAAAAGAAAATAGGCCCTCTTCCTCTGTCCCACCAAGTATCTAAAAAAAAGGAGAATAAATAAGATTTAATATTTGTGTTCGCGCTCACAGTAGTAGTGAAATAATTTTACGCCCACTAAAACATGAAACGTTTATGAACATTCATTCAAAGCTTTTATCCTACACTGTTGGAATTTTAATTCCAATATTTCTGTAAAATAACCGGCAGCAATCTATCCATCCAATTAACCATAAGACCCCATAACCTTTGTCAAATGAATCGTGGAATGTTGCTTAATTGAGTTTTTGATGGATTTTATTTATCTTGAGGGATGAAAAATAGACTATATGTGTTAAGCAGCTCTGTGGTGCTGCCATCTATGAGTGAATGAGAGTTCCGTATTTTAGTAGTCCAGTGTCACCAATTGGAGAGGGTAGGGCACTGAAGATTCTTCATGTGTTGAAGGAATTAAATAAATATTGTGGTATCAACGATGGAATTCGAACTCTCCGGTCAGAGAATTCGAATCCCAGGGTTATTTCTCCCTCCATATTTCTTTAATAATCCCAGCATTAGCTCCAGTTTAGCCGGTCATAAGATTAACATATTTGCCCTCCAGGTCCAGCTGCTCGAAACTAAGTGGCTTCATGAGGTGGGTCCAGTTGACACGGTTAAAATTACAGTTGCTTAGCCATGTTAGTTGAAAACAGTTAATAAATTATTTTTTTCCTCACAGTTAACAATGTAAATACCATCTTTTTTATGGTTATTTGAAAGTTTTGGTTGAATGCGGTAAAATCACAATTAAAGAAATTGTTATCGAGAAATTTCTATCAATGCAGAGTTCCAAATAATTCGAGATATCGATGTAATAACCATTAATATTTTTTTATAAAAGAAGTTTGCAAAATATAAATAACTAAATACGACACATAGAGAAAAAAATAACAAAGAATATATTACAAAAGTGCGTTATACTGGCATAGAAAGTCCAAAATGAATTATGCTATGATGCACGGTGTTCCATAATAAACGCTCTTAGTATATACTTTTAAAATCCTAGCCAAAAATGGAGAGAAAAAGGATTCACATTGGGGTTTGCAAATTAATAATTAAGGGGGCGAAAATAAAAATGCCATCGAAATCTGACGAAGCAATAAAGAGAATTGTTGTATAAATGTTCAAAGCGTGATGGGTTGCCGTTTGGTGTTATAATATCTGTTTTTCAAACCCTTGTTGTTTCCACCGATAATCAATCAGATCTTGATTTTCCATATACTCTCCTTCCTCAATAGTGATTTATCCTTATTCCAATAGCTTTCTAGTTTTTTCTCCTTTAAAAATTAATTTTCGCCTCCCATTGTGTATACTTTCTTACATTCATTTTCAGCAAAGATTCTTAAAAATATATGGAAATCTTTGTACATTAGTAAACCTGACACCTTGTATGCAATAGTAAATTTGATAAACCAGGTGTCACACTTGAGAATCGAAACAAGAAGGTTTAAATTTTATACGAATTTAAATGTTTGTTTTAACTTTGGATTTCTTCTGATTCAACACCTCTAAAGTCTAAATAATGATTGGGAATGCTTTTGAATGCTTTAATGTTTCTAAATTATGGAAAGAAAAAAAAACTTAGCATGCTCTAAAATTTTTTCACGTCAACCATAATAAAGCTCGTATGCATAGAAAAATATTCAAAAGACTTTTTTACATAATTATGCATATCAGAAATTTAATTTTTCTGATTTCAATTTTAATATAAGGTATCATATTTGTTTTATTGATATGAAAGTAAAGCTGGTGAAACTCGATTTATAATTATTATTTACAATTATACTTTGTGTAAGAAAGTACTTGAAAAATCAGCTATCTCACCTGCAACAATTTTATTATAAAAATCCATCGTACAGAATTTTTAAATTACACAGCTTATCTCAAAACGTTTACACTATTTATTCTATCTTACTCTCCGTATAGTTTATTAGACAACTACCAAGAGCCAATATTACGAATTTAATAGATTTTACGTATAACAATAATGCGTCTATTATTGACAAACTACTTAGTAATTTCTTTAAATTTTTTCTAGATAAATTTAAATATAATCGCCATAGCAATGATACTAAACTATTTCGATATTAGTTTTTTTTTTCAAAATAAATTCCAATCTAAACTTTTATGTATAAAAAAATACAAAAACAACGCAGTAAATATAAAGTCCACTTAAAATAAAAATAAAAATAAATAAGCAATTGTATGTTATCTATAAATAAGATGATTAATAAAAAAATAGATATTAATTCTTAAATAATAAATAACGTATCTTTTAATTCTTTTAATAATCCTTCACTGTATAAGTTAAATGATTTTAATTTTTGTTAATAACATATAATACAAATTTTCAGATGAAACTTACCGTTGTAAAGAAACCTTTGCTTGAAAGTTTGATTACTATTTGATTCGAAATTAAAATGATCTATTTGTTGGTCAAAATAATCTTCAACATAATTTGAGCAATTTGAGCTCGCAGCTAACAAACTAATTAGAAATAAAATATATAGAACAGCCATTTTCTAAATCTAGCTGATCTCAGTGACTTCACAGCATCACAACTACTTTATTCTTTTTTAGTATATGATAAATTTGGAAAAACAGTTCTTTTTGAAGAACACGTTTTAACCGCTCCGTTCCCAAAACATAACCATTGTAAGTAACTGTTCCAGAATAACGGATACTGACATATGGGACGAAAGCGATGTTGTTTGAAACAGAATATGAAAGATTATTCTTTATGATGACGATTTCAGTTTACTCCACCAACTATTTTTCATTAAAAAGCATACATCAGTTTTAACTATTCATGCCATACACCGATAAGAATTATCTAAAAGCGGAATTTATAAAAGTGTGCAACTGGCCTTATTTCGTTAGATATACTAATTCCATGATGCGTATTGTCGTTTAATACGTTAAGACGAGATCTGATGCCGTTTGATATACTAAGCGGATGTCCGATGTTATTTGATTTACTATACAGATTTTTGATGTCGTTTAAGGGAGTTAGACCAAAACTAGAAAGGAAAAAAATAAAATAATTTTGAAATTTTCTTCTTGACCAACAAGATAACAATATGAAAATTTGAAATAAAATTCAACAAATTGTTTATGCATTAAGAAAAAAATACTAATAATTGATACAAAATTCATATAAATAACAGTTTAAAAAATGTGTCAAATTATAGTACAAGTCTATTTATATAATTATAACATAATTCCTACTTTTCTAGTATAGAGCCTCTACACGAAATCGCAATAAAATTTTCCTAAAGAGCTAGGATCACATTTTTAAATCCAATGATAAAGTGTAAGTAAAAAACTGTCTGGAATCCCACTAATAGTTATTTTGAAGCAAATACTTTTCTTCAAAACTCTTTCGAATAATTCAAGCGGATAATAAAAATGATATACTAAATCATGGTTCCCAAATTTTCCAGTTGTGTACTCGGCAAACTTTGTAGAAAAAAGCTTTTAGGCCTAATTAACTACCAAATGTACAAGTGAAGGATTAAAATTACAATTATACACATATTATTCGTGATACGTACGTGTATACGCATGACGAATACAATGAACGAAACTGTGGATAATTAGTAAAAACTGAAAACAGAGTGCAAAACCGTGATTCATCTTTAAAAAATGGTTTTGTCATACGTACGTGTATACATATGACGAATACAATGAACAAAACTGTGGGTAATTAGGAAGAACTGAAAACAGAGTGCAAAACCGAGATGCATCTTGAAAAAATGGTTTTGTCATACGTACGTGTATACGTATGACGAATACAATGAAAAAAACTGTGGGTAATTAGTAAAAACTGAAAACAGAGGGCAAAACCGTGATCCATCTAGAAAAAATGGTTTTGTCATACGTACGTGTTTAGGTATGACGAATACAATGAACAAAACTGTGGGTAATTAGTAAAAACTGAAAACAGAGTGCAAAACCGTGATGCATCTTGAAAAAATGGTTTTGTCGTACGTACGTGTATACGTATGACGAATACAATGAACAAAAATATGGGTGATTAGTAAAAACTGAAAACAGAGTGCAAAACCGTGATCCATCTTGAAAAAATGGTATTAGACTACAAACAAACCTGGAATGTCAAAATCCATTTGTGAGCCGTGCCTCATCAACACCTCTTGGAAGAGAGAAGGTCTCTACGCTGACCAATTTAATAATCTGACTCAACGAACATAAACTGCGCAGTGGGAAATTTAGAAAGATGTCACAGCGTTCGGGCTACCAAACTGTGACGAGAGGAAAAATACAGAAGAGGATACTAAAAGATCGGAATTCTCGTCTATGGTAACTCACGTGCTCAGGTCTTCTCTCTTCAACGAGACGTTGACCCCATGGGTTGTACTAGCCGCTGTACTAGCGGGCTCCACCTTCTGTTCGCTGCTGGTCACCAATCCTAAAAATTCTTACAGCTTTCTCATAATTACTCCGTAAATCGTAATCTCAACTCGCTTCGCTCGCTAGCCAATTACCAAAACTATTGGTTTACGTGAAAAATATTGCCAAGGGGGTAATTATCTTTCATTTAGTGGCAGGCTGCAAAAGTGCCTTGGAAAAGTCAATTATTATTATTCCATTTTTAAATTGTGATGTCGTGATTGTTGTAATAAAGCCAAATTTGGCTTTTGTGTCATTAAACTTTTTTCTTAACAATTCACTCCTAAATATTAGCCAATGTGGTTTACCGTATATATTTTTAATTAAATAGTCTGCAGCTATTTGCTTTTTTCTTATTAATTTCTTATTATTTCTCCTATTACTATTTTTTTAATCAAGAAATTCCAACTGACAATAATACTTGAGGAAAACGAAAATACTAACTTCGTTTTTAAAATTTTAGAGGCCCTTAAAAATCTGGAAGTTATAGTTTCGAGCTTCTCAGGAATTATAATGCTTGAGGTAATATGCTAACTAAACACAACTTTCCTGATGAAAAAGGTAAAACCTTTTTATTTTTTTTTCTCGAGCGAAAGCTATTTGTTTTAAGCTTGGGGAAAGTTTTTTTCTAATCGAGCACAGATGGTTTTTTGACAGGGAAAATTTTACGAAAACTCCGTGAAAAGAGTAAAGATACATTATATCATAAATCAGGACTCGAATTTTCCTCTCTCCATCTCGCCATTAGCGATCAAATAGTTAAGGTTGGAGATAAAATTTCATGTTTTTGAGATTTAAATTAAAGTAGATGCACTTAAATTATTTTTCCTCAATCAAGAGGCGTGTAGCAGTGTTTAGAAATCAGTCAAAGGTTTTCTTTGATTTAAAACAAGAAAAAAGCACTCACCTACTTTTCACCTAAGAAATCATTGCTTCTGGAAACATTGAAACCATATTTTGATTTAATAATATTATTATTAGTGCATTTAATATAATTTGATTAAGTTTCCATATTCATTTATAGTTCTGTTCTGATAAAAAAAAATTAAAAAGAACTTTTTTAACTACTATGTTCCTTAACATTTTAAAAATTGTTCATATTTTTGATGAAAATAATATATTTATTTTTACTGGTGGGGAATACAAACAAATACAACAAAAGAAGAACAAAAAATATAAGACGAAGAAGAAAGGCCGTACTCATCGTCCTCGAAGCTTTCTAGCACGCCAATATCTTGCAGTGTCGGAGTCAAATACGTGAAGTGCTTGCTTGCCAGCGATGGATGTGCTTTCGATTCTTGAGTTCTTTAAAGTCTCATAGACGAAAATCAGGATGTTCATATATATGTAAACGATACAAGTGATTTTCCGTGCAGTCATGTCCTGTTAGGAGTCGGAAAAGGGCTACTGTATTTCGGCGAGGTTTATCTGGTATTATTTCTATCTCTGCCTCTCTCCAATTCTTATTTTTAATACTTTCTCGTAGCAAAGAAAGGGTTCCCATTTTCGTTATGTATTTTATACCGGATTTTATAGAGTAGTAAGGCAGCCTAAGGCAATTTTATTAAAGTAGTTGAGTACTTTTCCGAGCAAGGAAATCAGTCTGCTCGCTACCTGGAGTACAACGTAGACCATCCTTTTCGTGGTGTACTCCGGGCAACGCCTAATGTGGATGTAATCTACAACTTTTAGCTTGCGATCTCGTAGCTTATTTCCTCGAAATCGGACAGAGGAAGTGAAGTTGAATGTATTGCAATGAAAATAAAATATTGAAGAGAAATTTTTTTAGCTCGACTAAAGTCTTTAGAACTGAAAATTCATTCCCTGTTATAAATATAGATGAAAATTATGTGTTAAGGAGGACTTACTCATTCAGTTACTCTTTCAAAACGTTTTGGGCAGGAGGTTTAATTTTCCTTGAACATTTCCTTATTATCCCAAGGAGAAAATAAAAGAAACCATGTAACAGAAATTTTTCATAAAAACAAAATTTTTCTTGTTAAGTTCATTCAAAATTTTTACAAGAGGCTCTGAAACTGTCCCGGCTTTCCTGTATTTATTTAAAGTTTATTTTTTTAAACAGTGTAGCATATATGTTATGACACACTTTAATCGTGACACGAAAATTCCTGCATAGCAACGAAAGCCGTAGTCCAGACCTTATAGTTTAAGAAGCTCTGCTTTTTAACGTATCTTCGTAAGTAGCCAGTCATTTTCGAAACTGTTCCAAGAAAAGGTAACTATTAAAATATAACTGTTTAATTGAATAACAGTTATTTTTATTCTCTGTGCCTCGTGAACTGATAATAAACATCAAGTCACATAATTCTTACTGATAACTGATAGCAATGTCTAAACTTTGAATGATCGTCTCGGGTTGTTTTGATAACATTATTCAGAGTTAAATGATTTCTTATCAAAAGGTTTCTCCTGCATAAAGGGAAACATCTATCGATGATAAGTTTTTATTATTTACTAGCTGAATACCCGTTTTTTGTATGGGCTGAAAAAATATGCAAACATGCAGCAAATCAGTTTTGAACAATGTTACGAAATAATACACAAAACTGAAGCGTAATTAGATAATTCTATCTTTCATTGACAAAATGAACTTAGTTACAATGTTACGGTTCGTTATAGTGATGTGTTATGCGAAAATATTCTCTGAAATTGGAAGTTAAGAAAGAATAATCGAAAAATTTTAAGATCCAATATTATGAAACAAATTACACAGTCAATATGATCAGCATTAAAAAATAAAGAAAAAGAATAGAAAATAATGAATTTAAACATTTAAGCAACTGTATGTCAACAGTAAACATGCATGTAGTCATAATTGCGACGTCAAAAAGTGTCAATGTCAATAATAGTTTTTACATTTCATACACATAATCTGCGTAGGTCTGCCACGTTAAGTCAAGGTTTATAGCAAGAAAGGGCCAGGAACAGGTTACAAACTAGTGACAGAAAATTAATTAAAACTAATATAAAAATTGGCCCACTTTTCATTCAATGGGGTGTTTAAAATTCGTTAGAAAGAATCCGATTGAGAGTAGAAAAATTTTAGTAATTTTAAAATGCTTTAAACTTAAAATACACCATCACGATAGGTGGAAAGTGAGGGGACCTCAGAAAACTATTACTCAGACACCTGCTCACTAACCTGCGCAACTGCGATATCTTCACTAGCTTATTTCATCATCAGCATTTGCACGACAGCCCTTTGTGAGCCTGGGCCTTCCTCAGAAGCTTTTCCCATTCTGTCCTTCTCCCAGCAATTGTTTTCCCGTTCTTTGCTTTTAGGATGGCAAAATCCTCATCTACGCAGTCCTTCCATCTCTTTTTGGGCCTTCCTCTTGGCCTTTTATTGGAGGGGGTTGCATTAGAGACTCTCAATGCTGTTNAAAACTATTACTCAGACACCTGCTCACTAACCTGCGCAAATGCGATATCTTCACTAGCTTATTTCACCCATGTCTTTTTTAAAAAGACAGCTGTTTGAAGAAGAAATAAATTATTTTAGTGTAATTCAAAACCGTATACCTGGCAAATGTATACCGGGTAGTGGCACTTGACCTTTAAAAAAGATCAGTGTAGGGTATACCGGGCAAATATATACCGGGCAGTGACCCTTGACCTCACAAAAACATCAGTGTAGGGTATACCTGGCAAATGTATATCAGGCAGTGGCCCTCGACCTTAAAAAAAACATTAGTGTAGGGTATACCGGGAAACTGTATACCGAGCAATGGCACTTGACATTAAAAAGACCATTGCCCGGTATACATTTGCCCAGTATACCCTACACTGATGTTTTTATAAGGTCAAGGGCCACTGCCCGGTATACACTGCCGATAGTCCAAACACTGATGTTTCTTCTAATCTATCGTCAGTAAGTATTATTATTATTTTTTTGTCGTGTCTATGACATAGTCGAATCAAAAGTTTCCATGAGTCTTGATTACTGCTTCTACGATTTGCTTGATGTTATCGTCATAAAGGTCAATCAATGACGGCAAGACTCCTATTTCTCTCAGATTAGCACTCATTGCTGAACACTCAAAGATGTGGCATGGTGTCAGCTGTGTATCTGGGCAGTCTTCACAATTCCTATATACTTTCCTGCCCTCTGTGTCAATCTTCATGCCTCTGTGGTGATTGGTTCTCAGCCTGGCCAATAGTTTTTGTTGTGGATCTATCTGCATTTATATTACAAATCATGTGTTTCGCTGAAATTGATTTTTCTCTTAGTTTAGATTTAGCAATTGCATTCGCATCTTGGATGGAGACGTTACGGTCATTAATGTTGAGATTTCTGGCTTCCTTGGCTAAATCATCTGCATTTTCATTGCCTGCAATGTCAACGTATGATGATATCCACTGAAGAGTACAGGTTCTGCTTGTCCTGAAGATCATGAAGATTTGAAATGATTTCTTGGGTGATAGAAGAGTCCCCTTTTAAAATTGCTTGGAGGGCGGCCTTCGAGTCGCAGAAGATAACAAGGCCCTTTGCTGTTAGTAAGTATTAAAATATCGAATAAATGTAATTATATCCACGAATAAATTAATATCAAATCGGATGTAATAAATATTTCGGACATTCACCAAAACGACTATGTGATTGTTAACATTTACCGGTGAAAGTCAACAACCACCGATTTCGGTCAGTAGTTGGATAAAGAGAGTACGGCGACCGGGATCCGGGGGATCCGAGGGGATCCCGCGGGTGTACTCTTGAAGGGGGTTGGGGTGATCCATCNATAACCTCATCAGGACGTTTATTTCATATTTTGCATGAATAGCATCCGGCATTATATATAATGCCTAGGCAAAGTATGTAATACTTCTCATATTTCATACTTTGACTAAAAATGTCAGGCATTATATATAATGCCGGCATTTCATACTTTGCCGGTCACACATATAAAACAATATTTTATTTGTATAGATGACAATTGCATAAAATCTTTATAAAATCTCACCCAAAATCCACATGTAGAAAAAAAAACAACTAATTTTTTTTTTTNTATTTTTTTTTTTTTTTTGATAAATGAGTTTTTTTGAAATTTTCCTAGATGGAAGGAAAAGAAAAAACTTCCTTCAAAATTTTCTAAGAATAATTGTTCTCCAATATTTCCCCAAAATAAAAACAATTACCCTGCGTACTTTAATTTTCCGTAGTAAAAGATGAGATTTTGTAAATTTCCCAGTTTATGAGAGCTGTTTGCCCTTTATTCGTGATCAAGGGAACCCTTAGCACCGTGTAGAGTATATTTTGTCAACAAATTTACTACAATTTACATCAAATTACAAATTTTTACGTTTGATTCACTTATGTGACTGTACATGAAAACGTTTCACCCATGCGTGAATGGTTCGTCTTCATGTAGTTTCTAAACATTTACTCATTCATATATGGCAATCGGATGCAGTGTGAATCATTGTAAAAATGATTTAGAATACCCTCTAAGAACCCGAATGATGGTGGTTGGGGAGCGTTGTACGGAGACCAAGTGATTCATAGCACTACTTGCTTTGCTATCCAGTGGCGTACACAAGGGAGGGGTTTAGGGGTTTGAACACCCCCCTTGAGCTCAGACAAAGTGGCAAAAATAAAAATTTTAGTAGAAATTATGCGGGTATTATTTTTTAAGACTATTTCATTTGCCTTATGCCTACCTTTTTTTCCCACGGTATTTCTCAGAATACTGAAGGAAAAAAATTTACTATAATAGGGTTGTACTTTTGAAACCAAATTCACGTGATACTGTTATGGACTGGTTTCTTTCTGTTCTGCCAGTCGCGATAGTTTTCGAGACNATGCTCGCTTGGTATTCCTTACTTTATCTTTTACAGTTATAAAGTAACAAAAATTGAAATAAATATAAGCTCAAATTTACTAATACATTGTAATTTAGTTGTGTTATGAATAATTTTAAAAACTTCATAATCAAGCAACATGTAAATTTAGTTCAAAGTAAAGACTAAAATTCTGGGCTAGCCCCCCCCCCTGCATTTCTAGATCAACCCCAGTTGCCCATGACGTAAAAGCAGTATAGTTTAATATCACTTACTTAGATTCTAATAAAAATTACCACAAAACTGTGAATTTTGTCTTTATTACTTAACATTAATACCACGTGTAAACAGAGCGCGTTTGAAAACTATCATAAATATAAAATCTGTCGCCAAAATACTATGCAATACACAGCATGGGTTTTCCCCCAAAAAGTGAAGTCATTTTCAACCAATAGTGTGATCCGGCCGAAGTGAGGTTTAATCGCTCGTCTATCTAAATTATGGTTATGGTGAATTGTCTTCGGATCATAAATAATAAGACTTAAAAGGTCGTCAATAGCCTGCAGCTCATTGGTGAAAATTTAGTGCTGTGTTGACAACGAAACCGATGTTCAAGAAAAATTTATCAAATTCTCTTCTGTAGTAGAATGAAAGTACATTTCTCCTATGCTTGCCTACCAACAAATTTGCCTTTGAATTTTTTAATGGGTTCTTCCCAACTTCGTCTGTTTGGTCACGTGGTGTTGTAATGCCCGACCGAACGTGGTGTTGTAATGCCCGACTGACTACCATTGGTGTTGCCCTACACTGTGACGTTTTCCAACGTGGTGTTGTAATGTCCATTGTTAACATTGCAGACGCATAATTTAAACTGAATTTAATTTATTGTTCCTTTAAAAAAAATTTCTTTCTCCATAAACTTTTCACTTTATTTTGTAAATAGATATTCGCAAAGCAATTTTTTTCCTATTTCATAATAACTAAGTTTTTATTTCTTATTATTCTATAACCATCTTGTATCTTTCACATTTGTGTTTACTTTTATCCTTTCTTAAAAACACTTTAATATCTATTATTGTTGCTATGTTTTAAGGTAAATCTTGTAGTAAATAATTAATCTTCTGTATAAATTTATTTTAACGAACCTTTTTCTGCATGTTTTACTTTTCTGTTTTCTTATCCTTAATTATCGGGATTCGGGACCAATAACTGGAGGTAGGCAAATTTTTAATTATATTGTTTAATATTAATGATTATATATATATAGTGATATTGTGCTGTATCAATGATTATAAGAATAGATGCATCGTATAAACTTGTGAATCTGTTAAACTTGTCTTTAATGTTTGTTGAAAACAACAGTAAACTAACCTTTGTTTTGAATGTTTTCTTAATTTCAAATGCTTAAATTGAATTTTTTAATTCTTATTATCCCACACAAAATCAACAAATTCTACGTTACTCACAAAATGCTCTAAAAACATCTTAAAACCTTTAGTATTTTCATTCATAAACATAGTATCACTGTTGCAATTCTGTCTACTTTCGTTTACTTTCGCTCTATAATTCAAAATCGTCATTGAATTAAAATTTGTAACATATAACGGTGTTTCACTAAGTTTATACATAATGTTATTTGTACTTTAAAGAAATTAAAAATAGACAAAACAGAAGATTATGATTATCACACTATCGAAACACGTGTAGGTATTGGAATGTTTATTCCTACACCCCGGGAGTGTGACGTCACGTGGGAATCAACTCTTTTCTCGTCGGATACGATTTGCCTGAAATCGTTTACACGAAACGCGTGTAGAGAGAATATGCGAGTTACCAGTTAGAATACTTTTTGTTACGCATATGGCAACAGCTAATTTCATGTATTATTTACAAAACATTTCTGAACTTGGCCTTGGTTCTTGTTTATCAGTTTAAGTGAAATGTCGCGTATTTCGAAACTCTACAGTATAAATATGTTCTCTGACCAGAAATAAAAAAGCAAGCGATGGATCTATTAATTTATTACTCTCACCATTTTTTAGACTATTTTAATTGGCTGCCTCCTGGCAGTTTAGCTTTAAATGATATTTTTACTCCATCTACTGTTGTAAGTTAATATATATTTAAATTTTCATCTTGCTGTTATGATAATGCTTTATTATTTTCAGACAATTTTTTCCTCCAAATTGAACTCTCTAGTTTTTTAAATTCTTAGAAAAAAAGACATCAATATTTTTTATTATTAATTAGCAATTTGTAGTTAATAAATAGTAATTCATTATTTAATTTATAAAAATGTTTGATTGAGCTTTAAAAATTTGCTTAATGAAAAATTTATATTCTGGGTAAATGATTTAAAAAATGGTTTTATCGCATGTATTTTTAATTGTACTTTGGTTTAGAAACTCAAACCCTTATGTTCGCTTACAATATTGATAGGTTTTTACTTTAGTTGAAAGACTAGATTTTCTCTTCATTTTTAGCTTTTGCAGATTATCATATTAAGTGTGAATAAGCTCTAAAATGTATTGATATTTTATAGTTACACGCAAAACATTAATTTTTAAACTGAATTTACTAATTTGACTTAGTATGATTAAAATAGATTTCTCATATCAAAAGTGAATATCAATTTTTGTTCTTAATATTCAGTCTTTTTTATGTAAAAGTTTTCTACAGTATTTAAGCATAAGCCAATATTGAATTTTTCAGGACCTAGAATTGGGTTCATTTTGTCTTAATTCCTTAGAATAAAAATTCTTGAACATATATACTTTTTTTCTTTGTTTCCTTAAATTTAAAATCTAACTCTATTTCAATTGTTTGTTTTATTATTATCATATTCGTATAAACTTTTTTCTTCTATTTTTTTCTTCTTTTTATTTGCAGTCAACTTTGTTGGTTGTCTTGATATTTGTTGTTACTTTGGCAGTTTATGCTTCAAGGAGATGGAAAACAAAAGGTAATGATATGTGATTAACACATAAAGGTAATGATATGTGATTAACACATAAAGGTAATGATATGTGATTAACAAGTAAAGGTAATGATATGTGAACCACAGTCCTTGCCAAAATAATCAAGGTGAAGAAAAATGAAATTAATTTTTTTACAGCTGAGCAATTAGTTAATACTAAATGATACAGATGATACTAAATTTTAATATATGTGGTTCATTATTAAAGAATGAAAATTTATTGTATTAAATTTATAGTTTGTTGAGCTTTGTTTGAAATTATGTGTGAAAATTTTATTTTCTTCATATAAATCTTGATATCTAATACATAAGGGTTAATCAAATAGCTACCCCTTCCATTTTTTGAATCAGTTATTCCTTTAACCACAAGAATGGTAAAATTTTCTAAGACTATAGTGATATAGCAATGAAATTTCTTATTATTGCTTTGTTCAGACGCTAGTATATGGAGTGCAATACTTTAGTGGTTAAGTACAACAGAATTGTTTTCAGATAGCAAAAAGGAAGTAGTAAATTGAAAGAATATGAATGTTGCAAATAAAATTCTTGTGGGGCTGAATTTTGACAATATGTTATTCAAATAGGAAGAAGGAGGGGAAAAAAAATCCTTTTTCCAGTTAGAAATAATAAAAAAAACTTTTTAGAATTGTCTTGTGTTTACTGAAGTATTGACATAAAAGTGATTAGTATTATCAATTAATAAAGATTCTAGTGTTTACCAAAGCTAAAAATTTGTAGAATTTATTTATGATTATTTATTTAATGACTTAGCTGTTCTTATTTGTTCTAACCTAAATTGAAATGCATAAACAGCCACTATTCTTTTGTATTTTTCCATACCAGTTTTATCGAATGCCATTGTATTACAGAATTTATTAATTTTTCATATTAGTTTGCTTTTTAATTAAATTTTAATCTCATTTTTATAAATATTGATTTTTTCTTATATAATTTTTATTAATTTTCTTATTTCCCTATATACATTTTTCATTATTTAAATTTTATCGATAAAAAAAATCCACGAAAAACATGGTATGAACTTGATTACAAACAAATTATTTTTGCTTTTTTCTCTTCATCAAAACAAAGTTTTTGTTTATTTTCTTACTATATAGTGGAAACAGTTCGGGCTAAACTAATGGGACCATCCCGTGCTCGCTTTAGAAAACGAGACAAAGTGATGTTTTATGGAAGAAAAATGCTCAGAAAGGTAATAGTTAACATTAATTAATTAATGTTAATAGTTGACATTAATTATGTGTCAATTGAATTATTTTATGTATTTCTGTTTGTTATCTGCGTAACAACTTTCTCTGGAAATATGCAAAAATCTGAAATTCTCAGAAAAATTCCAACAACTATTAAAATTCTTGGAATATTAGCAATTTGCTGTATGTTATAATGACGCATAGGTTCATCGCAAATGTCTTTGAAGCAATTATTAATCTTAATAATTGCTTTGTGTAACTAATCAAAACTGTATATGTAACTGAAATTATTTTATAAAAACTTATAGAGTGGTGCCATGATTTATCTTTCTTTTCATTGATGTTATTTTTATACGAAATTTCAATTAATAATTCTGTTGCAGAATTCTGTCCAGAATTATTAATTCTGGTTTTTATTTTAGAAAAAAATTATTATTTTAAAGTTAATTGTAAGGTTAGACTCAAAATTTATTTCATACGTAAATGAATTTTTTATGAAGTGTTTTAGTTTTAATGCAATATATTAAATTTATGTTTTAAATAAATTTTAATGCATTCAAAGCACAGTTTTGCTCTGCTGAGACACTTTTCTTATATTAAGAGAAGCAAGCTAGTGTTTTTTCAGGCATTCTTGATTTTTTTGAGAGTGTAAATGGTTTTTAATAATAATATGATACTGAAATTAATAAAGGAATTGTAATTAGACTGTTTTATACATAGTCAAAAATCTAATATCAATATGTCAGTTTTTAAAAATAAAAACTGTTCTAATTTTTTGCAAATATGGAATTTAAATAATTATCAAAACTACTTATCAAAATTGTATTTTCAAGACAAATTAAAATTAGTGTTTTTACCTTGCTGATTAAATGTAAAATATTAGTAATAAGAAACAAATGACCTGTAAAAATAAGTCGGGCGTTAATGATATCATTCAGAATATCATTATTAATATTTGTTTGAATTAAAATGCATAATATTTGAGATTTTTTTGTGGTAAGTATTTGGCAAAAGTTTTTGAATTAATGGTTAAAACCCTCATAACCTTTCAATCCTGATGTGCTGTGAACTTTTGATTATCCACAGTCTGGTTACAAGACTGGTAATGATGATTGCTTATTCCTGATTTTAAAATGTTATTACCTATTTCGATAATAATATTCTTTCATAAATTATCTTTCTCTGTTATGGTTGTAATTTAATCTAAGATATTTGATCTTTTGCTTTATTTATTTTATCTGTTGTGTTAAAGTTAAATTTCTCTTGTGTTTGAGAATGATCTTAAAAAATGAAGTGATTAAATATCATTTAAAGTTTATGACTATTAAATTTTCAATGTAAATAAGCATAAATTATATTTAAGAAGGCATTGGTTGTAGCTTTAGCAATCATTGAGCAAAATAAATAAGCAAAGCAAACAGGCGAAAATTAAATTATTAGAAGTGTAAAAATGTATCTCTGAGTAGGAGAGGGTTAATACATTTCATTTGCTCAATTCACTTGAGTTGGCGTTTAATAATTCTACATCATTTATAAATTTTCCTCTGCAGTGGATATTCGACAAAAATGTGATATTAAATGTTAGTTCGAGTGTATGATTATTCAATGATAATTCCCAATGTAACTAATTGTTAAAATGTGGATTTTAATTTGATTTTATTCTTGTTATTGTATATTTAATGTGTTTTTTTTGAACATGTTAAATTCAGGTACAAGCTGCAGCTACTCAAGCAACAGGAAATAGACCTCGTCTTAAAAAGCGTCAACTTGTGCTAAAACTTGCTCGCAAGTATGTTTTAATTGCTATGTCCAATGCTATGCTATATTTAATTGCTATGTAAATTGTATTAACTTTTTCTGCATTAAATAAAAGGAATTATAGAATGATTAATATGATTTTGTAATGCATTTAAAATTTGTGTTTATCTGTAATTCATTTCGTTATCAACTTGAATTCTAAATAAAAACTATATAAATATTAAGACCATGACCCTCCATAAACAATGACTTTTACATTTTGATTGCATATTTGATAATTTTTATTAAAAATAAAAATATTTTAGTTTATTTTAATGTTTTTATTGTCAACTTGCATTCACATTAATAAATATTTTTAAATATTTCGTAAAATTTATTTTATGTTATTGAAAAGGTGTTTCTTTTATGTTTTTCTTTTTTAATTTTAAAATTTATGGAAAATTGTATCTAATTTTAATATTTTCCTTAGAATTCTTCCTTTGAAGGGAGAGCAGCCTTTAACATTAAAAGTGATGGAACCGTCTCAAGCCTTTTTGGAAGAGGCAATATCTGAACAGTCTGAACAAAGGTTACCTCCAGATGTCATGTATATGTTAAAAAGTATAAGGTATGTTAGAATATTTCTCTAACTGCATTTTAAGCTTTGAAATAATTCATTTTAAATTTAGATTTGGTTAGCATTGTTACTTAAGGTTTCTAAAAGGTGTTTTTCAAAGTTTTTTCTCTAAAGGAAATAAAAAAAGTTGCAGTTCAATTGTCTTAAACCCTAGGCAAAGATATAATTTAAACTGTAAAGAATTATCTAGGCTTTTGAATAAACCCATGGCCTAAATATTTTAAAAGTTCTTAAACTTTTTATTTTTAAATTCACCAATCCAATTTTTTAAAAATTATTAAAATCAATTAATTATTCCTAATTTTTGCAATTTTTTAGAATCTCAGATAATACAGTGTTGGAGTAAGCTTTTAAGTCTCTAAAAAATTAGGAAACAAAGGCTTTTCATTCTTACAAAACTGATTTTCTTCATTTTGACATTTTGTGCCATTTTCAGATAAACAGATACAGACAACAAAACTCAACCTAACATATTTTACTTTATTTTATACATGAATTTTATTTTAAATGTTTAAGTATAGTAAAGAATTTTAATATGTTATGAATATTTATCATACTTAAAAATTAATTTAATTTAAAAAGAGTATTTATATTTCACAATTTATCTTTGCTTCATTTAATATACTGTGGTTCATTTTAATGGTTGGTTTCGCTTTCTGAAATCGTATGTGCTGTAACAGCTGTAATTTGTGTGAGTTGATTTATTCTCATTCTATTGTAGGGTGTTTGGATCTTTTGAAAAGCCATTGTTTTTGCAACTGTGTAAACACATTGAAACTCTTCATGTGCCATCAGGTAATCTTCTTTTCTCAATTGGAGAGCCAGATGATAGCATATATGTTGTTCAGAGTGGAAAACTGGTAGTCTATCTTACTGAAAATGTGAGTACGTTATATGGGGCTTGAATAAAAAGATAACTGAGCACAAATTTGGTTTCAATAAGCATGTATATTTTTTTAATAGAATTATTTTAGAAATCACTTAACTCATTAATAATGTAATCGTCAAAATTATTATTTATTAAAATAGCAAAGAAATATTTTTTTCCCTAATTAGAAATAAGATTACTAAACTTCTTATTTTTCAATGAACCATTTGCTTTTTAAGTACCTTGTGTTGATAGTTATTTACAAATATTAGTGAAAAAAGGATAATTTTTTTGCTTGTGTTGTCTGCATTATATAGTGGGCAAAAAAAGATCAGAAGTGGTCAAATATCTTGAGAAATATGCATCAAATTGAAAAATTGAAAATAGACATATTCAATATTTTTTTAAAAGCTATCCAATGATATCTTGGAGAGCAATGTGGGAAGCAGTTTTGAAATTGAGTATGAACCCCTATCTTTTATTACTGGTTTTGGATTCTGTAGAAAAAAAATTGAGACCCTATTTGATCTATAAGTTTATGCATTTTACTTCACAGATGTCGCTGTAACTAAGAAAATTAAAATAGGGTGGGTACAAACTGTTTATAAAGGCGGATCTCATGACCCCCCCCCCCAAAAAAAAAACATGTTAGGAAATTTGTGTTTTTTTTCTTCTTTTTTGTTCTTTAAAAACAATATGGAAACATTTTTATTTAATTTTCTATTTGATAAGCTTGTTTGAGATAACACCATTTTAAACAATTTGTTCTCTATTATAGTTTACTCGTTTACAGCCCCACCTGTGAAGCAAAATGCTTAACCGAATTTCAGGTAGGGTTACTTTTTTTGGAAAACCCGAATCTACAAAAAATAAGGATTCATAATTAAGATTTCAAAGTCTTCTACCTCCCTAGGGGTGGGGTAGAAAATTTAGTTGGTATGATTGGGATAGCTTTGAAAAAAATATTGATTTGTGATTGCATTCTATTTTCCACTTCTTGATTCAATGTATATTTCTCGCAAGATATTTGACCGTTTCTAATATTTTTTTAGACCATGTATATGAAAAAGAAAATTCATGACTCTATACAATTCTCAGCAAATAATGAAAAATTTGAGCATTTTCATTCCTTGAAATGTATGCAATGATTGTTTGTCAGCAATATATAAATTCTTTTTACTGCTCTGATACTCATTATTTAATGATTAAATATTAAATAAAAAACATTTTTAAGTAATTATTTGTTATTTTCATATGGAAGCACTGTATACGGTCAATTCACAATAGTAGACAAAAATGTTGTAACAGTAAGATGTTAGATTAATTTACTTCTTTCTGTCTTATTTTAAACAATTATTTTAATTCAAAATACTTACCTAAAGTAGAGGTTGCTTTTGTCTGCAGAGTGCAGACAAGGACTAGAAGCTTTTGTAATTTGCAAACACAGAATTTTTAAATTTTTTTTATTGAAGTGTAATAGTTTTTGACATCATAAATAATACTAAATATTGATTTCAATATGTTAAATAGAGAAGTAAGAGAACATTGTAGTTATGTGTGTCTTATTCTTTTGAAAAAATTTGTGTCGGGATTCTTAAAAATAGCAGAACTTTTCTTTGATTAGGAGGAAGATAGCTTAGCAAGTGGTTGTCTACCCATAACTTTATGAATGTAAACATGAAATTGTGTTTACCTTTTTGTTTTCTTTATTGATAATAATGAAGCTTTCGATTTTATCATTTTTCAAATATTATTGCTCATTTCAACAATAAAAAAGTGTATTTCTCACAAAAGAGAGTAGTCAATTGATTATATTTATTGCATGTGTAAACTTAGCATTGCATGAGTAAAAAATTATGGAGAATGCTGGTAGCCATGCTATGTATTAGTTTTGTTATATTTTTTAAAATTCTTGCTTGGTTTTATTTATTTATTCAATCTTGCTTCCTTGAAGAGAGAGAATTCGTAAATTTCAGCCAATATATGAAAAAAAATATTTGATATGTAATTTGGTAATTGAATGCTGTACCCGAATAATAGATTAATAACTTTTTTGTTTACTTATAAACTGATTAGCAAATTGGTTATCTCATACAATTATTCTCCTATTCACTGGTATTTGTAGATTCACGAATATGCTGATTCAGTGATTCTTTTTTCTCTTCATTCTTTCATTCACTCTCTATATCAGGAATAATTTATAGTAATAATTACTGCTGTGACTTGCTATTTAAGAATAATATGACAATTTGCGACTGTTTAAAACCAGTGAAAAAATATAGTAAAGGGAGTCATATAAAATGAAAAAGTCACGGTAATAAAAAATAATGTTAACACTTCAATTCTATGTCAGCCACTAGGGCCTTCTTCTTCTTCCAAACATGTGACTTCTCTTATGCACCAAAAACAAGATTAATACTGATCTTATATTGTAGTAAATTGGCAAATTTCATGGATATATTAAATTTGAAATAATATTATACAAATTTCATAAGGTTGCTTATAGGCAATTTTTTTTTTTGTGAGTTTCATAATAAAATGTATTTTATTTTTACACCACCATCTTTAATTGTATATTTGTCTTTATGTCTATGATTGTTTGTTCAAACAAACCATCATAACCATCACTAAACCAAATTTAGTAGGTTTAGAAAGGGTTAAATGTCTTGCACCATAAAGTCAGTATTCTCTTAAGTCAGTATTCTCTTTTTCCATCTCTCTGTCCCTATATAAACCTAGAATGAACTCATGTAAAGAGATATTTTATTTAAAACAAAACAAATAAGAATCTGAGAGAAACAAAAGCTTTTGTTTTAATGTATGTATTTATTTAAACTTACTTTAAATATAGTTTTGTTCCATACATTTATGCCTTTTTTTATTCTACATATTTTAAAAGGATGGTAGTGAACTGGTGCTTAAAGAAGTTATTTCTGGAGAAAATATTACTAGTCTATTAAGTGTTATGGATGCTTTAACTGTAAGTTCCTTAATTTAGTTTTTCTGTTTTTTTTTATTATTTACAATAATAAGCAACTTTTTTGCTCCTTTATAAAAATATTTTTCCACTTTGTTAAACATGAGTTGAAAATTGAAAATATGTTTGTCAGTGTATTTATTTGTAATGTATTAGCTTTCATTTGTTTTAAGTTGATATCATGATTACTATCTCCCTTTTTATTTTAAACTGATCGCATTTATAGTTTAAGATATAATGTCCTATTTAGATTTTTTTCCATTGTACTCCACACTAAACTGAGCATGGACACATGCTTGTAAACTCAAGGGGCAAATATTACTGTACTTTTATTTTATGTTCACTTTGTTTATGTTTATTATTCTTTCACTTATCCATTGATTGCAGTTATAATTCAAAATTATTGTTTTAAAAGCTTGAAATTTCAGTATTCAACTATGTAATGTCTATGAATTTGAACATTATTTATCAAATTATTAATATTAGTGAAATAATTCATTCCAGTTATGCTGAAATTTAACAACAAAACTTGCACTTATTTTCTTCTTTTTAATTCTTCTTTTTAATATATTTTGTTTCAATATTTTGAAATTATCCTGTAAAAACTATGCATTAATTATTAAGATGTATGATGAATCGCTAAATATTTCACTTGTATTTCGTATTTTGCCTTAAAAAATTGCATTATTTAAAATGATGTAAAAAATTGTGTACCTTGAAAATCAAAACCTTTTTGACCATTCTTAAATAAATCAATGAAAAATAATAAATATTTACTAAGAGTTATTTTTGCATGACATTATCTTAAGATAAATGAATTTATTAGTTTTGTACACAAATTTTTCAATTCGCTTGAAAAGTTCTTAGTCATTCTATATTGTTAAAACCTCTTTCTTCATTCTCATGTTTTTAATTCATACTTTTTTGCTATTTCAAAAGTAATAGTTTAATAAAATGTTATGGAATAGTTATAATATTTAATAATAACATTTTTAAATATTTAAACAATTTTGAATAATTTATTGTTTGTTACTGTACTTTTATTATATTATTAATTTACTGAAACTGTGGGTGTCGAAAGGGTTAAGATAGGGAGAAGGATTAAATTATTTGATTTGCTGTTAAGTTGAGCAAAGTTCATGAATAGTTCTGTATTGTTTGCTTACTGTTTATAATCCTTTTTCAATAATCCTTTATCAAAATGCATCCTTATAATCCTTTTTCAAAATGCATAAAAAGTAAAATTAACATTAAGGGTGTCCAAACTTTGGATCGCCCACCTGACCAAACTATGGGGATTATATTTCCAAGTTTGCAGCTACCCCTTATATTTTTGAAATCAGAGGTCCCAATCCAACAAAAAAGGTATCTTTATTCAGAGAAAGTACATTTCTGTGTCTGATGTCATAACTTAAATTATTGTTTGCACTTATTAATTAGCATATTCAAGGCCCCCTGCGAACAATAAGGTTTTGGTCCCAGTAGGTGAAATTCTGATCATTAGATCAAAAATTATTCATGGTGTTTCATTTACTTTTTTGCCCATTGTACATTCTTTTTCAGATATCGTTCTCTCATTTTGAGATATTAATTTACTAATAATAGTTAAATTTTTTCATTTTTATTTATAGGGATGCATTGCTCCATATAAAACAGTGTCTGCCCGTGCTCTTGAGGATTGTTTTGTTTTGAGGTATAGTTAATTATTTTTTAAATCTTTTCCTATAGATTTTCTGCAGACTATATAAGAAACCTTTTTAATTAAGTGACCAAAGTTACTCTCAAAAGTTCAACTTTACAGTTATATTCTTAGATAAAATGTTTTATTTACAAGCCAAGCGGATGTTTGATGCATTGAAACTCGCAATTTCAATTTAATCATTTTTTTAAAAGTTTAATTTAATAAAATTGTTGTTCCTGTCTTAACTAGTAAATTTATGATAATGGATTTCTTTATTTAAATGTAAATATGTGCAGAGATATTTTAACAGTTTTACATTATAAAAATTTGATTTAAATTTAGAAGTTTTTCAATAAGGAAATACAGTCAAACATATAGTGCACATAACAGCATATAGTGAACCTTCAAGGGACCGAAATTTTGGTTCACTATAACCGGGAGTTCACCATATCCGTTCCGCAGGCAATTTATCGCACATTCCGCAGGCAATTTAACTAATCGTTCCCAAACTCCTCCCTTTTATTACACATTATTTAAATAAATGACTGAAAAATATTATTTAGTAGCGAAAAATGTGTTATTTTTCATTACTCTTCGTCTTGCTTACAAAAAAAATTTAGTAATCTTTAGCTGATGGGCGATCCTGACAGAAAATTCATATTGATCCCACTGACACCTTACAGGTGCACTATCTGCCAGGGTTGGAAATATCTGCTTGGTTTGTTTAGGGATGGGAAAGTGAGATAAAAGAAGCTTATCGCTAAATTCCCCTCTATAGATGGTTTTAAAAATCGGTACATATATTTACTTTAAAGTAAAAATTTCAAAATTATTACAAAAAAAATCAGTTGAAGACAGAAAAAAGTTCATTATATCCAACTTCCTCACTTTTTTGGTTCACTATATCCACAAAAAATAACATTATACGTGTATAGCAAAGGCACGGCACCTAACATTTCGTTCACTATATACGGGAGTTCACTATAAACCGTGTTCACTATAGCGGGGTTTAATTGTACTTAATCTGCTAGAAAAAAGGGAAGAGCAAAATAGAACTTGAACTATGTATTTTAGCGACTCATCACTATTTTTTATACATATTTCTTTATTTCTTGCATTAATTCTCATTAAAATAGACACACAAAAAATATTGTTCTAAATTCATAATGAATTGTTTCTCACTATTGTTTGAAAGCTGCTTAGTTTTATTTTTGCAAGGGTTGATGCACATCGTTTCAAAAGTAAATGTTTTTATTAATTGTATAAACTGATTTTTTTAATGTTAATTTTGATATATTTTATTTGATTACATTTTAGATTAAAAGTTGAAGCTTTTAAAAACTTGTTGGAAAAAAATCCTGAATCGCTAGTGCGTGTGGCTCAGATAATAATGGTTCGTTTGCAAAGGGTTACATTTACAGCTCTTCATAATTATTTAGGGTTGACGAAACAGCTAATAAAATCTGTAAGTAACATTTTCTTTAGTTACGTATCTTTATTTATTGATATAATGTAATTAGTTTCACAATATGTTTCATACTCTTAAGCAAACCCAAGAAAATTTAAAATTTAGTTTATAAATTTTAATAATTAAAAATGAAGAATTTTTGAAAAAAATACTTTTGATGTGTTTTATTTTATTAGTAATAAAAGTTTTAGATTCAAAATTAGAACATGGTAGTGAACTTTTTACACAAGAGACTTATTTTTTTTCCTCATGAAGTATTTTTTCAATAACAAAATGAAGTATATCGCAATATATTGTTCATAAATTTTTTTTTATTCATCCTCAGATTGTAACTTGTAAATATATTCATATTTACAAGTTATATTCATATTTTTTCATATTTTTTTCCTGCAAATTAATACTGAATAAATAAACTGACTCTTGAGACATTTCTAGAGATGACTGATATAATAAAAAACATTAAACTTGTCAGCTGAAACAATCAACCTAGAAATTATTTAAAATGTGCAAATTCAGATTCTTGAAGATTTAGACTCAGTATTTCTTTTTAGATCCATATAGATGTAAACAAAATGAAATCACTGAGTACAGTGTTAATTATTTTGTTCTATATTCAACAGCTTAAAACTAATTGAACATCTAGTGTTTTGTTTCTTCCCAATTGATATTGCATTATTTTATAGTCATTCTAAATTGTTAAAACCTTTTTCTTCATTCTCACGTTTTTAATTAATACTTTTTTGCTGTTTCAAAAGTAATATTTTAATAAAATGAAATGAAATAGTTATAATATTTAATAATAACATTTTTAAATATTAGAACAATTTTGAATAATTTATATTTCATTACTGTATTTTTATTAAATTATTAATTTACTGAAACAGGGGTTAAGATAGGGAGAAGGATTGAATTATTTGATTTGTTGTTAAGTTGAGCAAAGTTCACGAATAGTTCTGTATTGTTTGCTTTCTGTTTATAATCCTTTTTCAATTCTTATTAACAAGTGAACTAATATTTTGCATTTGAGCAAATTTATGTCAAACTTTTATAGTTAATACATAACTTTCTCATTAAATAAGAAAGGTCGGGTTGGGTTGTTAAGCATGAAATTTTGCTAGTGAAAAAATTTCTTTAAAGATTGTTATTGTTCCATTGGTCAAATGATTGTTATTGTTCCATTGGTCAAATGCTGCATACAGTATAAAAATTATGATTTCAATAATTGGTTACATTTTCTTACTTAATTGTGTAATGACATTTTACAGTCATCCACTGTAACAAGACGCAATACAGCCTGCTCACCAAAAAATAGCCCGTCCAGGTCAACATCTCGTCGCACCAGCACAATAATTAATGCAAATCCTCCTGATTTATCAACTACAGTTCCTTCAGGTAATTTATTTATCATATAATTAGGGCAATTTTGATTTAGTAAAAGTAATCTATAATAGTCGTAGTAGAGTATTTTTAAAACACTATTGTTTTTAATTGTTTTGAAAAGTGCATTTAACAATTTTTAAAAGTTATTAGATTTTACAATTTAATTTATAGCTTATTGTTGTGAAGCATCTTAGAAAGAAAATTTGATAAACAAAAGCTTATAATATTTGTCTATATTAATATGTTTTTGGTGCTTCAAGTTTTTTATTTAAGTGTTAACGTCCTGTAATTATTATAATTTCAGTTGCAGATCAAAATAAAAAGTATTGAAATGTAATTAGTCATTTATCAAATTTTGTTTTTGCTTTTTGTAAATGAAGTATTAATTATTTTTCAGATATTGATTCTTCAAACACATCAAATGCTGGTGTACAACATGGTGATGACAATCAAAATGCTATGACAACATCTGTATCCAATCATAGTGTAAGATAAAATAATTTGACAATAACTTAAAGAATAAGAAGTTTATAATATATGTCTAGTAACTAATGTAAGTAAAATTTTGAACTCAACGGTAGTACATGGCACTGAATGTCTTAATGAAATAACTAACTTTAATACAATTTTAATTTTAAGCTTTATTTTCAATTCTAGAAATTTTTATTGATAGCTTTTTTAGAGTTTTGTCAAAATTCTAAAAAAGCTCATGGCATAGAGACATGAGTTTTCCCTTAAAATGAGGTGTCCCAGGTTTGAATTCCAGCAATGACTGGTCGATACAGATCCGTAGCAAAAACTGTATTGGAGCATAGTGCTGATTTAAAATAACCTCAGTGGTAGACAGATCATGGGTTCTCCTTTCATTTGGGCTAACCATGGAGGTTTTGTGGTTTTACAATTATTAGGAATTATTTCCCAATTATTATGGTTTCACAATAGGATCCAATAAGGTATATATCTTAAAAGAATTTATTTAATGTGCTTATTAAGAGAAAGCATGAGCTTATATGCAGAAATATAAATAATACTTATCAAATAATTTTGGATATGGATAAGGTATCTAATGGTCTAAAACTTAGGTTTGCTAAAGATCCTCTAATGATGGGAAATAATGTCTTTTAGGTATCATCTGATGTAGATTTGTCTGAAAGTAAGCGTACACGCAAAAGAAAAGCCAGTTTTTACTTCCCTCCTGAGCAAATACCTATTCCAGCTGAAGAAGATTTGCACACACTTGCTGTCCAAGGATTTATTCAGCAGTTAGGCCTTGATGTAAGTAAAACCTAAATTTTTAAAAATATGTAATTCAGTAATTTCGCTTATGAGTTATAAGTGCATCAAACATTCCAAAAACTTGTAGATAGGACGCCAAATCAAGTTATGACGAGTCCCCTAGGATGGGTAATTTTTCAGAACAGGAAAAATAGGATGAGTACCATAGAATTATTTTGAGCTGGTAAAAATTTACTTAACTTTGAAATTAAAAATTTTTTTTTTTAACTTCTGTATCACCAAAAGGATAAAATAATTCTGTGAATGACATATTACTCATTTACTTTTCCTTGATGTAGGTGATGGATTAGTTGTATGTGATTAAAAGCCATAATTCTACAAATATAACTCTTTACCAGTTTTATCTATCGATAGAAGGAATGCTCATGAATGAGCATATTAATTCAATGGATAAAAGATGTTGAGAAATTATTATCTACCCAATATCACAGATCATCTGTATCTATGTTTTTGAAGAAAAGAAATCTTGTAGATTTCCTCCTTTTCTGTGTTTTAATTTTTCTAGCATTGTTTAATAATTCATTTATTTCACATAAAATTTTGTAACTAATGAAGATGTGGAATGTTTTTATATTTTAACTTTTTGGTTGAAATAGTATCTTTAAAAACTTGTACCATAAAATATGTACTCTTCACGTGTATTTTAAAATAGGAAACTGTACTGGTTTTAATCTGGACCCACTTTTGATAAGAAAGGGCCCAGAAATTTCAAAGATCTGATTCTGGAGCACCTATAGTTTTCAAAATTTAGTAGAATCATTATAAATATAATTTCTATATTTTATTTCGCCATGTTTTGTCTAATAACTGGACACAATTGCCTGAATAAACATCAAATGTGGTTCCTGATGCTTTTCATACCATGTGTGATCTCCATGAAGAAATTAACTTATCTCACCTGTTTTGATGCCCTGCTCATCCTCGGTCATCAATCTGGGAACGCTTCTGGGCTGCTTGCTTTTATTTATAGATTTATTGTTATCTTGTTGATATTCAACTGTCTTTTAATGTGCCATTGGGAAAAATATTTTATTTCTATTGTAGGAAGACACTTTCATCAAAGATTATGTGACTGTGAAAGAATTACCAGCAAATACTTATATCATCCGTGAAGAAAATGTAGAGGATGTAGCTCTTTTGTATGTCATTTCTGGATCTTTAAGTGTATCTCAAAAAACTGCTGATAAAAAAGAAGAGGTAAATTCTTAAGTTGTTTAATATGTTTTCAGGTGTTAATCTAGAATTTTTTTCTTGCAATAGTCCTCTTTTTTAAAATTTTATAAAAAAATTATGACAGACAAATGTCGAAGAGGAATTCTCAATAACTGCAAACATTCAATTTTTTTATCATCTGCAATATTCCCAATCAGAAACAAAATTTGTAAGCCATTAAATTTTAGAATTATTTTTATTTCACTCTTCTTCATCTACTGTAATATGTAAGAATAATTTGCTTTTTAATATGCTTTAAGCTTTTATTTAAATAAAGTGTAACATTTAAGAGCAGTATAAATTTTTTTATTTTATTATCAATTACATTGAATGTACTTTTTACTTCAAGAGGCTTAATAGAATTTCTCACTGTGTCATTTGAACACAGTTTGTTCACCACACTCACTCTATTTGCTTTTCACTCATGTTGACTCATTCTGAAACAATGTATAATGCCTGATAAGGTTAGGACTGAAACTCTACTAAAACAAAAATTAAAAATGAAATTCAAACTCTTAAGCTAAATTAAAGTTATGATAGTGTTAGCCTCTTAAAAGCAAAAGCACCAAACAGAAGCAGTAGATAGCTGTAATTTTTTATACCTCATAAATTTTAAAATTTTTATACTTAATAACTGAACCAAACATATGTATAAAAGAAGTAGAAATGCTAAAGGAAATTTTATCGTGAGTCCGATCCTGAAACCTTTTTTCAGTAAACAAGCCAGAGTCCATGTCAGGTTTTTGGACCCAGGCTGAGCCCATTTCATCTCTAATGTGTATAGGGATGGCAAACTGGACGATTTTTAGGATCTAAAATTGAGGGCAGTGAAAGTGAAAGAAAAAAAGTTTCATTATGAAATTGCTAATTTTCCATTCATACCAAAAATTCAAATAATGTTATTTTTAAATATAAACCTTAGTTTTTTTCAACAAACATAAACACATTAAATTGTGAATGAACCTTTAAATTGTTTGCTTTTTCATTTGAATTTATTAAAGTTTTATTTTTTAAAAAGCGAACAGAATATTATTATTATTTTAATATTATTATTATTTAGATTATTATTATTTCTAAAAGCCGTTGAGGACAGTATTTTTTCTACTCAAAAATGGAAGAAGACCTTGCATTCTTTCCTGTAATAATACATATTTTATTTAGTGTTGCATTTTTTTTTAAAAAAGAGCAAAGTAAAAAATAATCTGTTTTATTTATTTAAAACAAAAACTGTATGGATTTTGAATGATTTAAATGTTTTTTTCTTCTTTTTTTAGAACTTCTTGTTCATTGTCCACAGTGGTGAAATAATGGGGGCTTTAGCTGTTTTAAGTGGTGAACCTTCTCTCTTTACTATTCGTACCAGGCATTTTACACAAGTTGGAATTCTGAGCAAAAGAAACATTTATCAGTTAGTATTATGTAAAATTTTTTAAAATTTGTTTCTTTTTTAAACTTATACCTTTTTGCTGAATTGCTTTGTATTTTAGAATTTTAGGGCAGAAACCTCTTGCAGTCTTGCATTTAGCACAGAGTGTAATAAAGCGCCTGTCATCATTTGTGAGACAAATTGACTTTGCCCTTGATTGGATTAATGTTGAATCTGGTCGAGCTGTATATAGGTATTGATTGCCAATAATTTTTGAAGTCATACTTTTGATTTTTATTCCCTTCTATGCTTATATCCTTCAATATAGTTATTTAGACAAACATTTATGCTGTGAAACACTGCTTATATTAATTCCATATACACTATTTATTACCCTTATTTATTATTTATCAATTCTAATAAACTGTGAGATTTAACTGAATTTTTTTGATTTGTATTACAATATGGCGTTGAAGAAGTTATTCTTTAAATCTGAGTTTCATAAATGGAGTGAAAATTCGAAAATTGATTCTCTGATACAAAAATAGTTATAAATATAAATGATTTGTAGGATATGATTAGTTGATTGGCATTTCGGTTATCTGATCAGACAATGATTTGTGAGTTAATTCAGATTAGCACAAGATTCCATTGTGTTTTAAATATAAAATAAATTGATAAAAAAGTAAAAATCTTACAAGTTAAGCCTTTAATTTTTTATCAGGTTATTTTTAGGGGAAAGGGTGGTTAGATGAGTAGCTAAGATTCAAAGACTTCTTAGAGCTAAACTGTTTGCCCTAGAAAATGTCTCTGATTTATTCAAAATATTGATTGTTTAGTTGTGTACAATATATCTTTACTGAAAAGTTGTAGGTGTATTACTTTTTTTTTTACAAAAGATTTTTTTGTAGAAAATATTGAATTACTCGGTCTAACCTCACTAGTAAGGTAAGGTAAGACCAGGTACACATGTTAAGCTTATGAGAATTTTGAAGTTCTGAAATTTCAGATAAAAAGTTGAAGACATTTCTATTTTATAATTTATATGACAATTTAAGAAAATTATGCATGTAATTTACTTGTCATGTAGTCAGGTCATACCCAAGGGGAAGGGACAATTGTCCCGGGACTGCCGATGGGCTGACATAAGTTCCTTTCCAAAAAAATATATCTTGTTCATTAATTTGTTTTTTAAAAGAAAATTGCAGATAATTTCTTTTATCTATTTAAAAACTACAATTTTGTATAAAGGGTCTTCAAGAATTCTACAAAATATGAATTTAAAGTTTTTTGTGCTTTGAGGAAGGGGCCCACAATAAATTTTGTCTTGGGGCTCGTAAAACCTTTGTTCAGCCGTGCATGAAGATATCTTTTGTATCTGCTTAACGGAAACTTTTGCTAGCTCATCATCGACACGAATCAAAGAGAGCATGACCTGGTTGTACCCGGTCTTAGACATAAAGCAGAGGTTATCAAAATGAAATAGAAAAGTGCTACTATTGAACTAAATTCTTATTGTTTGTTGGGGTAAGAATCTTTTGTAAATGTTTAAAAATCTGAACTGAAACTCAATTTTTATATTTCTAATAACCAATAAATAAGGTAAGAGTTATAATCATATATTTTTTCATCACTATCATGCCACTAAAACTAGTTTTTCTTAACATGTATTAAAAATAACTTTAAAAAAATTGTAATGTTTTAATTAATATTACTGGTGTAAAAGAATTTTTTTTTGTAAAAAAATGCATGATAATTTAATAGTAAAAAAATATGATCACACATATATGGATATATATAATGATATAAATGTATATATACATGAAAAAATGACCATTTTCACTGAATTTTATGATAAAATGCTCCATTTTAGTGTAATAACTAAACAAAGTTTATTTTAGGACCTGCATTAGCTTTAAAATTCTAGTAAATTATTACTTCTTTATTTAATTTATTTTTTAAATAACCCAAAACCAAGTGTAGATAATTTTTTGAAATTAATAAATCAAGAATATAACATCTGTTTTTAAATCCTTGTAAAATTCTCATTATTTAGGCAAGATGATATTTCTGATAGCACCTACATAGTATTGAGTGGGCGTTTAAGATCAGTACTTAGAGGTTCAGATGGTAAAAAAGAGCTTGTTGGTGAATATGGACGAGGAGATCTTGTTGGCATTGTAAGTACATATCTCTTACTAAATATGTTTGAATTTTTTTGTGACTGAATTTAGTTTATAGTTTAAGTTGCGACTGATAACCCTTTTCTATATAGAAGTTGTATGTAAACTCTCAAAAATTTCAATTGAAAAGTGTGAAATTTCTTGTTATTTGATGAGAATTCAAAATTTCAATGAGAAAGGCTAAATTGTTTTTTAATAATTTTATCTACCAGGTTGAAGTTTTGACATCAACGAGAAGATCAACCACAGTTATGGCTGTGAGGTAAGCTCTTTTTATTTTTCATTTTATCCATTTACTTTTTTAAATGACTAAGGCAGTTGGCATTTGGGGAAGTTGGTGTTGAAATTTCTTCTCAATACACAATTTTTAATTTAATGACATATAAGAAAGCTGGTTTTTAGACAGGAAAAATAACAAATGAACAGACATCATTCGGTATCAGAAATGCTCAGTCTGTTAAAAAAAATTGTTCAGTTTTAAAAATATACTTTTTTTTAAAACTTGTCTTTGTTATAATCCTTTCTTTCTTTATAGAAATTCGGAGTTGGCAAAACTTCCTGATGGCCTCTTAAATGCAATAAAAATTAAGTATCCTGAGGTATGTATTTATGTGTTAGCCTACTTTTAGATGTTTTAAAAATGTATTTTTCCATTATTTAAGGTAAAAGGAGTTTTTAGCATTATTCAAACTAGTTTTTGTCAGCTAAAGCAATAATAAAAGTAAACACCTAGAAAGTAAAATTTTTTAACCTAAAGACCAAAATGGTAATTGATAAGCTCTTAAAAGTATCTGTGTGTATTATTTATAATTATCTTAAAATATTTATTTTTCTTATATGTATTACTTATTTAGCTATAATAGCCAGTGGATCTCTTTTATTTGATTTAAGCATTTTATTGTTATTCTTTATCTTGGTTTCTTTTTCAGGTTGTAACCAGGTTTATTCATTTATTAGGAAATCGCATTCTGGGATCATTACAAAAACGTATGCCATATGCTAGTAAGTCAAATAAGAACAATTATTCTCACACTATTTCTCAATTTCTAAAAAATTGTTTTTAAGTAAAACTTAAATTATTATTGATACATATTCTTCAATGGAAATGTAGCATAAAAGTTTAATGTAAATTTGTTCAAGTTTTGGGATGAATCAGAATTTACATAGAATGTATTTATATTTTTTCATAAAACAATGTAGAATTTCACTAATTGATTTGTAAAACTGAAAGGTTTTTATTTTAGAAAAGTTATTTCAATTCTAATGTTTCTTTTTAAGATGTAATTAATATGATTCTTACTCTTTGAAATACAAATTAAATCAAAAATAGTAATTATGAAGTTCTTTAATGCTTGATTGAAATCAGAATCTTATTATATAGTTCATTTTATCTGATTTTCTATATTATTTAGCTTTTAATTCTGCATTTTGGCTTTGTTACTCATTTTTCTATTTTCTTCATTTATAGCTTGAGCATAACATATTATCTAGTTATATGCAACTGATTATTATTTAAGCATTTCTCTGCTTTGTTGATTTATGTAAATTTTTTTTTAAAAGCAAAAAGCTTTTTTCCTTTTAAGATTTTTCTTGATTTATTCTCATTAATCTAAAACAGATAATTTTTGGGATAAATATAAGGTAATGATTTTTTTTAATATCAATATTGGGGAAGCAAAAATAAGGAGAAAAGTGTTTGTAATTGTATTAATACAATCAAATTTCAGTTCCTCAAATTTTACAGAAATTGGGGAAAAAATTTTGAAATTAAAAGTTTGAATTCTCAGCAAGCACTTTTTATCATTAAAAAGAAGGAAAAAAATAAAGTTATCTACCTTCTTCAAACTATTCTTTATTACAAAATTTATTTCACCTAAAAACAAAACAGAACTTGAAAAAAAAAATTCTCCATTTCTGTTTGTTTAAGAATATGTCATTTAGATTAATATTTCTCAACTTCTAGTCCATGGATTAATGTTAGAATTAATATAAGTTTTATTTATTTTGATTACATTTAGGTTGAAAATATATTGAGAGTGCATGAATGATCAGAAACAAACTAATCAAAAAATTGTTTAAGTCTCACACTTTTGCAAATGTTAAAATTAATGCCAATAGTTCAAATCACTAACCTTAGCAATCCATGATAAAACACTGAAATGGGTAGAGAAACACTGATTTAGACAATGACAGTTTTTTAAGTCCGAAATAGCCTTTACTTATCTTCTAGTTGTTTAAAACAGAGGCAAAATTTAATATACTGTTGCTAAATTTTATATATAATTTATAGCTTTTGCTTGTCCTCCTCTTGAGATCAACTATCACATTTGCAAATTATGCAAAGTGCTTTCAGCCAGATATTGTTTTCTTTCAATTAAATGCAATCTGTTGTTAGTAATAAGCAGATTTTTCATCATTTTGAAACATGATTGTGGAAGTTTTGGAAAGTAATATTGTTTGGGAAGAAATGAACTTGCCTTGAAGAATAGCAGAGAGTAAGCAAAGCCCATCAAGTATTAGTTCCCTTAAATGACGCATTCTATATTCTTTCACAAAGACTTCGATTCTTTCATTATATATTTCTTGCTTAACACAAAAGCAGGCACGAGGCCATGTGGAATATAAATAAACTAATTATGCATCGAAGTTGCCAGGTACAGAAAACAAAAATATATCATAGTTACTATAAATACATAAACAAATGATAAATCTAAGTCAGGTAAAAGACGTAGATGAGAAAAAATTCTATTTCAACAAATTCGATGTACTGTCTTTAATTAACTTAACGTTAATTAATATTTTAACTTGTGTGAAGAAACTTAGCTCAACTTTAATATACCATTTTGCTTATCAGCTAGTACTGACATCAAAGGTCACATGTATGGGTATCCGTAATCTTTTAATTCTTGAAGATAAAATAAATAAATAAAATAAAAAATTACTTTTTATGCATCAAAAAATTTTTTAAAACTTAAATTCATGAAATTTGATTTGATTGATGAAAGATATAAACCATCCAATCTTTTCATTGGGCCAATTGAGTTGAAATATTATTTTTGAAGCATGAAATTGGCTGTTATAGAAAAATTTATAAACTTCATAAAATACATATGTTATGAATTTTGCAGGAGTATAGTATCTATTATACATAATAGCATATCAAATCTTGAGATGGCACTTCGCTTGCTTGTGTGTATTTATCTAATTATTAAAATTAAAAATTGTGCATATTTTAAAATGTTAAAAAGACCAGATAGCTTGGTTGGTAGGGGGCTGGGTCCATATCCATGGAGTCGTGTGTTTGATCCTAGCCAGTCTAATACTCCCCATGTAATAAATGGTGATTGGTGCATGTTAAATCTGTCGGGTCACAAAGTCCTCCATGTTCCCATAGCAAATCAATACCTCTTAGGGTACTGATCCAGGAGTTTCCTTGTCTTCTGAATTGGTTCAAAATTACAAGACTACGGAGTTGAACTTTAGTAGTCGTAAATCCAAAAATTGGTTCGTCTGTTCAAGGGCGGATATATAATNGTAATTATGAAGTTCTTTAATGCTTGATTGAAATCAGAATCTTATTATATAGTTCGTTTTATCTCATTTTCTATATTATTTAGCTTTTAATTCTACATTTTGGCTTTGTTACTCATTTTTCTATTTTCTTTATTTATGGTTGAGCATTACATATTGTCTAGTTATATGCAACTGATTATTATTTAAACATTTCTCGGCTATGTTGATTTATGTAAAGTTTTTTTTAAGACCAAAGAGCTTTTTTTCTTTTAAGCTTTTTCTGGATTTATTATCATTATTCTAAAAAAGATAATTTTTGGGATAAATATAGGGTAAGAATTGTTTTTTAATATCAATATTAGGGAAGCAAAAATAAGGAGAATAGTGTTTTGAATTGTATTAATGTTATATACAATCAAATTTCAGTCTAAATTGGGGGAAAAGTTTTGAAATTAAAATTTTGAATTATCTACAAACACTTTTTTTCTTCATTAAAGCGAAGGAAAAAAGTAATATTATCTTATGTTCTTCAAACTATTCTTTATTACAAAATTTATTTCATATAAAAACGAAACAGAACTTGGAAAAAAAAAGTATGCTCCGTTTCCGTTTGTTTAAGAATATGTCATTTAGATTATTATTTCTAAACTTCTAGTCCATGGATTAATGTTAGAATTAATATAAATTTTATTTATTTTGATTACGTTTAGGTTGAAAATATATTGAGGGTGCATGAATAATCAGAAACAAACTAATAATTTTTTTTTTAAGTACCCCACTTTTGCAAATGTAAAAATTAATGCCAATAGTTCAAATCACTAACCTTAGCGGTCCATGATAAAACACTGAAATGGGTAGAGACACACTGATTTTGACTATAACAGTTTCTAAATCCGAAAAAAGCCTTTACTTATCTTCTAGCTGTTTAAAGCTCAGGCCAAATTTAATATACTGTGGCTAAATTTTACGTATAATTTATAGCTTTTGCTTGTCCTCCTCTTGAGATTAAATATCAAATTTAAGCTTGCAAATTAAGCAAAGTGCTTTCAGCAGGATATCGTTTTCTCCTAATTAAATGCACTCTGTAGTTAGTAATAAGCAGATTTTTTGTCATTTTGAAACATGATCTTGAAAGTTTTGGAAAGTAATATTGTTTGGGAAGATATGAACTTAATAAAAGTCTTGAAGAATAGCTGAGAGTAAGCAAATCCCATCAAGTTTCAGTTCCCTTAAATGACACATTCTAGATTCTTCCACAAAGATTTTGATTCTTTCACTATATACTTCATACTTAGCACAAAAACAGGCACAAGGCCATGTGGAATATAAATAAACTAATTATGCATCAAAGTTGCCAGGTACCGAAAACAAAATTCTATTACGGTTACAATAAAATACATTAACAAATGATAAATCTAAGTCAAATAAAAGACGTAGGCAAGAAAGAATATAATTTCAACAAATTGGCTGTAAGATATAGCACTGCATTTAATTTTAACTACGCGTTAATTAAAATTCTAACTTGTGTGGAGAAACTTGGCTCAACTTTAACATGCCATTTCGCTTATCAGCTGCTGCTGATGTCATTGGTCATATGTGTGGGTTTCCATGATCTTTTTGAAGTACAAGTACCCAATTGTTTCAAATATATCGAGCATCTTCCCCATCCATCCCCATCTTTAACTTACAACCTTGGAAAATAAAATTGTGCAGAGTAGCAGAAAGGCTTGAGGTTTGTAAATTTGTATTATGTTTGCTAAACTATTATTCATGCATGTTAACTGAATAATGGTTGAGAAGACATCTGAAGTGAGAGTTAAAGAATTCAAAAAGTTGACATAAAATATTAAAATTCAAAGAAGAAAAAAAAGAACTAAATTAAATTAAAAAAAATTAATTTTGATGCATCCAAAGTTTTTTTGAAACTTAAATTCATGAAATTTGATTTGAATGATAAAAGATATAAACTATCCTAGCTTTTTTTGTTGAGCCAAGTGAGTTGAAATATTACTTTTGTTGCATGAAATTAGCCGTTACAGAAAAATTTATAAACTTCATAAAATACATATGTTTTGAAATTTGCAGGAGTGTAGTATATTTTATACATAATCAGGATGCCTATCAGTTTTAAAATGTTCTTAATGGTGCTTATTTTTTATTTAAATTTTTAAAAGCCTTTAATGTTGCTTTTTTTTATTCAGGATTTGTAAAAAGGGCTTAATTTTCTATCTTTTAAAAGGAGATTTTTTCTCATATAGGTGACAAGGCTTTGACTATGGATTCTAGACCAACCGGATCAAACTTTGCTACAGTTGCTATTCTGTCAGTGTCAGATGAAGTTCCTTTAACATATTTTACTCTCGAACTCTATCACGCTTTAACTGCTGTTGGTAAATATTTATTTCTGTGGGCTATGTTTTTAAAATTTTATGCAAAATTGTTATAGTTGTTTCTTTATTTTTTTTTTAAAGTTAGNTTTTGTTTTTTTTTTTGTTTTTGTTAGTTTGAAATTATCTAACATAATAAAAGAAATTTGAAAAAAAAAAAGATATTTTTTCTTCCAAGCTTTAAATTTATTCTTGTTGCTAACAACCACAAGGAATAAAACAGTTTTAAATTTTTTTAAAATTAAATTAGCATGGATCTTATTATATCTTTGTTCTAAAAGAGTTAAATTTATTAATAGTTTTAACTCGTAATTTGTTCTGAATTTTTAGGGAGGTTTGTTTTATTTTTAATTTAATATCTATTTTTTTAAATTTAAAGTTTTTTTTCAAATCTGTCTTTTTTTATTATTAAATAAAGTTGCTGATGTTTTGTGTATCTTTTTTTTTTGATTTTAAAAGTTCAAGAAATAAATTCTAAAAATTCAAAATTTTTTTTCTTTAAGTTGCATTTGCACTGTTTTATTTATTTTAAAATTTAAATTATCTCTTAGGGCCAACAGTAAGACTTACTTCTGACATAGTTATGAAAACATTAGGCCCAACTGCTCTGTTAAGGTTTGTACTTTTTAAAATAAATGAATGCCATTTATATTGATATACTGTTGTTAAAATATTTTTTAAATGAGATGTCTTTAAAAAAAGATTAAATTTATAATTATTGTTTGATTAAGTAATGCTCACAAATTCTGTATTTAAAATTGATTTTATTTTAAGTTACTTTGAAGAACTTATTGGTCATTATGTGATGTTACGGTAGTTTTGAAATAGTTTCTCTGAAATAAAAATTTAAAAATAGGACTTTTTTGAAATTTCAATGTTTGAAATGTATTTTTCCAAATTTCTTAGTCTTAATTTTTTTTATTTAAAATTATATTGTGCAGAAGAATATAAAATTGTCCTACGTGTAAAACAATGATTTTGTAGAGTTTATGCTAAAGTTTTTATTATTATAAAATAAATAATGAAATAGCGAATAATTATTAAAAAATCATTTTGCATAAGAAATAACCTAATTTTATAATTGTGTTGGTGAATAAGCAAGATTTATAATTATGGGTCTTAAAAAACAGAAAGTTCAAGAGATTCTTTAACTTTATCATTCCTTTTTTTATGCTATCAATTTAAAATAAGTCAAAATCTTTGAAAAAATAATTGTGAAAAATATTTTTGTCTATCATTATTTATATCCTATGGATAAAAAGCACATATATACTTTTATCATGAAAAGAAACTTGGTAATTTTTTGCTTAAAATTTAAGATAGTTAAGTATACACAAATTTCTAGTTTTTACACAGCAAACTCATTTTTAACAATAATTTGGTAACTAATACTAATTGAAAAAAATAAAACAAAGCTACTGAAATTCAAAAAGCAAATAGAATGTTGTGCCTAACAAGAAGAAACAATATATAATGCAAGCAATTTGGAGAAAGAATGAGCTGTCCCTTACTGGGAGCTGTGAAAGACACGTGACTAGGTACCGGCCAATGACACATAACTGGATGCATTACTAAAGAAAAGAAAAAATCCGCAATAATTAATGTCTATATTTGAAATTCTGATAAAATATATAACTATTATGAAAGCATAATGCTAACTTTATCGCTAAAGCTCCCAAAAACACACAACAAAATAAAAACAGCAAATCACACAATAACCAGTCAGTATATTCCAGATGAAACACAATTCTAAGAAATGAAATAAACTCTTCAAAAATTTAACAAAGTACAAAACATCATAATCAGCAATAACTTACAAGCTTTATAATTAAGTTTTATAATTATGTACTTAGTTAAATTAGATTGAACTACTTGTTCCATATTTTACAGCAACTACCTTTCATATCCTAATTGTTTGCCTAAATTTTTTTTTTCAGATTCTCAATTGTTTCTGAAATTTGTCTGAAAATTTTTTTCAGAGAATGTAAACTTTTATGCTCAGTTTCATAACTTAAAAACATTGTTTGAAATAATTAGTATATTAAGTTATGACCCTTGAATCATTAAGATTTTATCATCAAAATTTGATCACAAGATGAAAAATCTGATTAGATCAAAAATATATGTTATTCTATGTTCTCATTCATGTTTTTATTTTTAGTGCTAATGAGTATAGACTCTGTAACTGGTTAGGACAACAAGAAGATCAGCACAAAGTAGTTTTGTATCAATGTGATACTTATTTTTCAACATGGACACAAAGATGTATAAGGCAGGCTGACTGTATTCTTATTGTAGCTTTAGCAGATCATGAACCTGAAATTGGTGATGTAAGTTTCCTTATTCTATATTCCAAAGTTTAAAATTAGATGTTGTTCTAAAATAAAAAAAAATAATCTAGTTTTTTCCCTTGAACTTTAAAATTAACTACTAAATAATTCATGAAGTTATAGTTTTGTCGAGTTTTCATACACTATGATAGTATTTTGAAAATTTCCTTTTTTAAAATCCTGGTTATTCTTAGTACATTCAAATATTAGTGAAGATACTTTTTTACAGTTCTTAATTAATTTAACTTGATTTCTAGCATTGATTTCCAGCAGTTAGCCTTAATTAAATATGGGCCTTTAATACTATTTATCAGAGTATAAATCTGCTTTATAAAAATTGTTTCTTTTTGGTCTATAACTTTAAATATTAAATAATGATGTTTAAAGTTGTGTTTCTTCACAGAATTCTTTATGATTTTGTGTTGAAACTACTACAAATAGCTTAATTTTTACAATTGCTGTTTATTTATGCTTATTTTCAGAAAAGATTGAAATTACATACCTATGATTTTAAATAATGAGGTTTCTAAAACATTACAAAAATGAGGTATAATTTTCAAGATCTTCACATTAGGAATATACACGAGGCTTATTAGTTAATTGCTATAAAAAAAAGGATTTAAATTAATTTTTCCATTTTAACTTAAAAACTTTGTTTGTATTTGGGCGAACTATTTTCTTAGTTTATAGCATGCATTTGTTATAAATATTTTATATACATTTTTTTGTATGTATACTTATCTAATCTCAAAACACCTTACAACAAACAAAAGACAATAAACAACAATGAACACATATTGGTATAAAGCTATTAAGCATATTAAAAGATGCTTATTAGCAGTTCTTAAATATAAAAAGTTTCATGAACATTTTCAGCTATTTATTTTTGAGTTTTCTATAGCTTTTTCACCAAAAGCATTAATAAACTTTGCTTCCTTTAATGTTATACAAAGTTCAGATTTTATTAGTTTTAGCCATTTAAAATCAAATTTTTCTTCCTCTTTTTGCAATCAAGCATTTTTTTTTCAAAATTGCTGTAATTATTTTTTTATTTCATAGATGGAAAAAGAATTGGAGCACTTTGCTATCAGGACTCAAAAAGAGCTTGTTTTGTTGCACAGAGATGATAGAATTAAGCCTCGAAATACTGTTATGTGGCTCAATATGAGATCCTGGTGCTCTTCTCATCATCATATAAGGTGTAGCAAGAGGATGTTCTCAAAAAAGTCTTTTGCCAAAACGGTAATGCATTTTTCCATCAATTGTAACCAATTTTCAGTACTGATTTAAGGAATAATTGACAATTATTTGGCCTCTTTAGCCCTTTCTCCAAATTTTTGGTCAAATATTGGGCAAAGTATTTTTTGACAAAATTTTTTTTAGGAATTAGAATAGATTTAATAAAGAATAAACTAAAATCTTATTTTTTACTATATATTTTTTCATATAGTTTTGTTTGGTTTTAAAACATGTTAATTTATGTTCTAAAAGACAAATGGTAAGCAAAATTGGATGAATTAAAACTAGATTACTTTATACTGAACCATGAGTTTTGTACTGTCAATTTTTATTCAGGCAAGTAAATATCATTGTTTTTTCAACACTGTTTGTTTCAAGAATTGAGAATTTTTTTGTTATTTTATTTCCCCCTTTTTTATAGTGAAGTATTTAGGCAGTGCATTTCTAATAGACTTAATTCTTTTACTGTCACTTTTTTCCTGTATGGTAAGACAGGTAACCGGTAACACAGAAAACAGTGATTCTCAACATTAAACTTATATTTCAGAAATTAGAAAATTTTTTTTAATTCTCTTTTGCTTTTTTTATTAACTTTTCTTTTATTGCCGTTTTTATTATGAGACAAAACTTAAGAAACCTTTGTAATGAATGCTATTCTTTAATGGTCACCTTTTTCTAAAAATACGGCAAGGGGGAAAATGAAGTTGAGATTTTTAGCATTACATTTTTCTTCAAAAATTGAGAACAATTTTTGTTTTATTTTCTATCTAGCTTTTTCTTTTTCAAAAAATATTTTTTTTTACTCTTTTTTTTATTATGAGTTCTTATGAGACTTTTTTTTTTCTGCACTTGAAAATATGGTAATTAGAAAACTGAGATGTTAAAATGTAAAATTTTCTTTCAAAAATTGAGATTGATTATTTTTTTGTTTTGATTTTGTATATAATCTCTTTTTATGGGCGTTAGTATGATAGGGTGGCATTTTTGAAAGCGTTGCTGATAAACTATATCTTTTTTCACGTTTTATGGATGCTTTTGTTCCGGGAACTATTATTCTTAGCATTAAAGTTTTGTTTTGAGAATTAAAAGGATTTTTTTTCTATTCCTATTTTTCTTTTTCTCAACTTTACAATGTTTTTTTCGTTTAATTGCAGTTATTTGGTTTTTTATTTATCTTAATTATTTCTACTTACCTTAATATCTAATTATCTTAATAATCTTAAATACTTATATTGTAGCTTTTTTTTCATCTCATATAGCAAAAATTTGATTATTTTTGGTAAATTACTGAACTTATTTCTATGAAAAAATATTTATTAATGATTTAAAAAAAATTGCTATTTAGACCTCCAAATATTCGGTATTGGGTGAATTTTTTAGGCTCAATATTTGGTATTTGGCTACTTGGCCAAATCACTATTTTTTCCATCCCTACTTTTCTGTACATTATTGAAAAACACGTTCATATTTCGGTAATGTTATGGATTTAAAGTTAACTGCAAGAAACCCTCCTGCCCTGGGCAGGTGCTTGGAAAGAGGATTCAGACCTCAGCAATAAGCTAGTGATTCCAACATCCGTTAAAAATTGGTTAAATAGCGGGTGTTTGTACGTATGTTGATAATGTATTTTAAATAAAAAGAATTTTTGTTTTTTAATATCTGGGAGGACACAAACAGTGATGATATTCAAGCCTTTCTAGAACCAGTGCACTAAGAATTTTTTTCTGGATGTTTTTTGCAGAAAGAAAAATAATACTTAAATATAAATAATGCACTAATTTATTTCAGTGTTTCATTAATTTTTCGGAAAGAAAACTAATGTTATAGAATATAAAAAATGCACTAATTTATTTCAATGTTGTATCAATCATAATTTATTCTATTTTTTATCCGGTGTGTTATGTTTCTCAAATATCTTTAATTAGCTTTTTATTTTTCACTGGCATTTCTTTGTATATTTTCACAAAAAATAAAAAATTTGTAGTGTAATAGTGATTATTAAATTTTTCCCCCAAGGCACCTTAGTGATCCTTTTACCCTTTTTTTATTTGTTTATTTTTTTATGTCAGAGTTATTTAATATTTCTGTTTCATACCTGTATATGTGTAAGTAATTTCAGTTCAGTTTTTTGCAGTGCAACCACTTATTATTGAATCAGTTGATCAATAATCCATCAGAATAACTTTTTTGTAATAAGTGATTTTAATATTTTAATCCTAGTCTCTTAGAGTTAATCCACGGCTCAAATTATTTAGAGGTAATATAACCAACATAGCTGCTAACTTATACTATTCTCGCTAAAGTTTTTTGATAATGGTAGTTGAAAAACAAAGTATAAATATTGAAGTTATTAGTAAATTCTTTAAATTCTGTTAGTCGTTTGCTTATATGAGACATAATTTTTTGGGTTCTTATAGATGTTTTTTAAATTTTTTATGTTGTAGTGGTTAAAATAGTTTTAAATTAAATTTTTCAAACCCAGAGTAAACATAAAACTGGTTACCACTGGAAAGTATCTTTCGTAGAAAAAATTAAACTTGGCAGATATGAGTCAAAATAATGAATTATCTATATTCTTTTTGTTAAGTTTGATTATGTGAGATTTAATTTTTCAAATAATTTCCACATTTTTGGATAATGAGAAATTTTAAGAACCATGGTTTTACTAATTCATGTTAACTGTATCTTATTGTTGCTTTTACATCAATAATTGTAAAACTTTAAAGGAAGCTAATATAATTTAAATAATCTTAACAATCTGTAAAGATAATTTCCTATATATACTCTTATACCCTTTATGATAAAGTCATCATTAAAACAAATTGTAAAAATAATCAGGTGTCATTTGCATTTTATTTTTAGTAATTTTGTATATTTTGTTAGAAATTAGCTATGTTTAATTATTTTGCAGTGTGAATTGTACAATAAGCAAATGCAAGCTCCTCCTAACATTCATTCTGATTTTGCAAGACTTGCTCGCTTCCTGACAGGTACTTCATTTGGACTTGTGCTTGGTGGTGGTGGTGCAAGGTAAATCAATATACTTGAAAATTGTGACTCGTGGTTTTAATTGTTACTTAACCCGCTGGCGGTTAAGCAAATGGGTAAATTTGGGAGAATGTTTCTCCCCTATACACTATTCAACTATCTATTAACATGGAAAAACCGGTTTTGCTATGCAGAGAAGACTGCAGGTTAAAATGCGACTTTTTCCGTGCAGAACCGTCAGTGGGTTAAAGTTTAATTTGGTTTATTCTCAGTATTAATGTGCATGCTTCAGTTTTTAAAAGCTTTAAAATCCCTAGGTGAATGAAAAATATCCTTCTATTACTTGAACCAATATTTACTATTGCAAATATGACATTTGTACTTTTACAAATATGGTCAAAAATATTGATTTTTTAAAATTTATACTGGATCTTCATCAGTGTCTAAACACAGAATCTGTTCAAACCTGCATTCTGTGTTCAGACACTGAAGGTTCTATATTATGAACAGAAACGATAAATAGTTTGTGTATGGTTAATACGTTTATAAGTTTGGTATTATTTGTACTTTTTTCATGTTATTTAGCTTTATTGATCTATAGCACAAAGCTCAACCTTCTTCTCATGGATTATCTTTGTGCAATCCTAATAATCTGTGTTGTGAAAAGTGTTTTTGGGAAGATGTATAACCGTGTGGCATAAAGTTGTACCTAGAAATAAAACCTAGAAATTAATCTTGTTTTGATAAACTCGTTTTCTTCATTCATGTATGGTATGTCACAAGCAGAGTGTCCAAATTTTTCTAACCTTTGGGCCACACTAACTGCTCTGCTATGTTCCTAAGGTCAAAACCTTACCATTGGATGCATTATTAATGGACCTAAAGCATTAATTGAGTAAAATTGTTAATTTTTTATGGATTTTAGTCTGTTTTAAACGTTTCTAAAAACATTTTGATTCTCAGCTAACCAGATTGGTGATGCTGCCTGACTAATTTTGGTCCGTAGGTGAAAGTTTGAAGATCTCCTGATAGAGCTGTTGCCCTTTTTCATAAGCTATAATATATGAACTAGATTTTGTTTGTTATTTCATTAAAAAAAATAAGTGTGCTATATTATAATTTCATCCTTTTGCTTTTTTTGACAATTTATTGGTTTATTTATGATAATGTAAAATAAACTGTTGTATAATTTTTATTTTTTAAAAAACTTAATCAAATATCAGTTTTTATTTTTTAAATATTAAAGAGTTTTTACCCCAAATTTAAACTCACCTTCAACTTGCTAATAAATTAGTGAATATTTCAAAGTTTAAGCTTTTATAACCGAAATATATCATGTGATTAAGACCATCCAAAGGCTATTTACTTATGGTTGTCAATGGTATTACGGATCATCCTGCTTAAGAAACATTTCATTTAGAGTGTTTAAACTTTATTTCCTATCAATATACTCAGCTTTGTTTGACGAAAGTTGATTAAGAACTTTATGCTCATAAATTGATCAAAATTTAATTTATTCTTCATTGAATTTTTTAAACAATGTTATCCATTGCAGAGGTGCTGCTCATGTCGGAACTATTAAAGCTCTTCGAGAGGCTGGTATACCGATTGATATGGTGGGTGGAGTGAGTATTGGAGCATTCATGGGAGCTTTATGGTGTCAAGAAAATGACATCACCATTATGACACAAAAAGCAAGAGAATGGTCTCAAGTAATTCAGTTTTTTATAAGTATATATATTAGTAAAAGCCAGTACATTTCTAACTATGATAAATAATTCAGCATATTTCATGCATTTTTGAATTAATATTTATCAGCTATATATAATTAACTGTTAAATATTTTATAGAACTACTAAAAAGTGATAAATTTTTTTAAAAAATATGAAATGCACCTTTTTTTACTAGTTATGACTTTTGAGAATTCGGTACTTGCACATGAAGAAAAAAAAATTACGAATACTCACACATGTGACCTATGATGTCAGTGCCAACTAATCTTTATCATCAAAAGGGCGTATTAAAGTTTAGCTAAGTTTCTCTACATAAGTTAGAATGTAATTAATGATAAGTTAATTAAATATAGTACCGTATTGCACATTGAATTTAGTGAAATATAGTTCTTTGTCGTCTACATCTTTTACTTAACTTAGATTTATTATTTGTTTATGTATCTTATAGTATCTATGATATATTTTTGTTTTGTATGGCAACTCGATGCATAATTAGTTTATTTATGTTCTGCATGGCTCCCTGCCTGTCTTTGTGTTAAGTAAGAAATATATGGTAAAATAATAAAAATTTTTTTTGAAGAATCTTTGTGTAAAAACATGGAATTTTTCACTTAAGAGAATTGATACTATAACAGCTTGGTTTACTTGAAATACGATGGAAGGAATAGTTGCTAATGTAAACAAATGCTACATTTCAATAATCAATCAGGATCGCGATAACCACACTACGTCACTTGCAGGTATTCTATTCCTTAAATTGTTACTTGATGAAACTTGTTACAATCTTATACTATTAATTTTTACCAATTAAATGCCAGATTAAGAGAGAATTATCCAATTAACTTGAAATTTGTAAGTTCACTACTAAAGAGCATATAAAGACTGAGAAATCATAAATATTTGAGTGAAATTTTTTTAGTGTGTTTTTAACAATATTCAATTGTTGGAATAATTGAATTGGCAGAAGCACTTTTTACTGACTGTGTATTAGGATGTTGTTGTCATATGGTTATGATTACTTTAGCTGCATTCATTTTTATATCTTGAACGAGAATAGAATGATGTCCACTTAGAAGCTGAAAAACTGAAAAATATTCATTTGGAAATGCATTAATAGTTTGCACTTTTAGTTAAGCTTAAAATTATATATTGTCAAGATATTCTATATATTCTTCAGGAATAGTTTATAAAATATATTATTCAGAGCACCATTCATGAGTTCAGGACAATTTTGCAGAATTGTTACAAGCTTTTTTAGTTCTTTAGGCTGATCTAATTTCACCCTTTCTTGTTCGACTTGGTAATAGAGCTTTCATTTATTTTTATTATTTGAACTTGTTCCTGGATCTTTTGTTGTTGCTTCATTTGCTTTAATATTCTTCATTATTTTTCCTAAACAACTGTTATAGTTTCAATTGAATTAAATTCCCACAGCATAACTCAAATTATCGCAAGAAATCTAAAAATAGAATTCTTAAAATGCCAATGTCCCAAAATTGGAACGGTTAATTTTAAAATAATATTTTAACTTCAAAATTTTAAAATAAAATTCTGAACTTGATGCCAGGCAGGTGATTTTATTATCGTTTTAAAATTTCGTAAGGCTTGTAGTCGTCTTTTAAAAATCCGATTTTCGGTTAAATATTATAACAAGAGGAAGAAAAATTAGCAAATTATACCAAATTTCTGAAATTAATAAAAAAATAAATAATTATGAAAGTGGAAGCAAACTAAAATAAAAAACTCTTCATAATGTTGATTTTAAATTTGTGTGAAAAATATTTGCTCATAGGACTTTATTTGCTCATTAAATAACTCAAAATCCATGTTCCATTATTGGTACATTAGCTTGCAAACCATTAATCCAATGTAATTACATAACAAAAGTCATTATTTTTTTTATTTTATTAAGAGTGTAGTTTGATTGCGAGGGTAGGTAATATCAACTGTCGTTAATTCAGACTGTCGGATTTTAATAATAAAAATGCACTGTCAGATTTTAATGTGTAGTATTTTTAAGAATATTCAAGTAAGATATAAAGACTCAGTGTCACAATAAGAAATATTTGTATGTAAGACAGACTCTAAAGTCAATCATTTTACAAATCTCCCTATTTATCTCCTTCAACTACTTTACTCCTCTAATTAAGCAACATATATGACCAATTTTATGAGCATAAAACAAACTGTGAAGCTTCATAAAATTGAAATTTAAGGACCTTAAAAATTTAACACTTATCTGAATCCGTGCACATTTTAAAGTAATACTTTGTTAAGGTTAGTTATGTATCTTTTAAAAGAGAATTGTTGACAGTGATTATTTTACTTTGATCGCATGCATAAATGTACCACAAATAGACTTTTTTAAAAATTTAGTTTTCTTTGTGGTTTTTTTTTTAAAATTTGAAATTAGTTAACTTTCGAGTTTTTTTAATATCAGAAGATTGGTTACTGAATAGTAATATGCGGTATTATATTTTGCGATAAATATTTTAGCCAAATTTTCTGATCCCAAAATTGTTAGAAAATTAGTGTAATCGTGTAAGAATGGATTAAGTTTTTATAAATATGAACTAATATTAAATTTAATAAATTGGACTCTTATAAAAATGAAAATTAATATTTTTGCAAATGTTAATATAATATTGTTACACATGAATACTTGTATTAATAATTGTTTTCATGGTTGATTTTTTAATAAAAAATTATAGATGAGTTTAAAATTTTTTTAAGGAAAATTGTCGAAAGCCAAATTTTTTCTTCTTTTACTATTATATTGAATAGCTAATCCGTTAAGTGATACAAAAGCATAACCATTAAAATGATGATCGCAAATAAAATTTTATTTTTTAAAGTAATTAATTGGGTACCAAAAGTTATGTGCTTAGGATTTTTTTTGCCACTTCTTTTTTGTGCAGTGTATTATTTTGATTAATTCACACTTTTTTTTTAAAAAAAAGAGAAAGCATTATAAATTTTATTAATTTTAATACTGCTTGAACTGAAATTATTATCTCTAGATTTTATGTTAGGAAGCATTTTTATTTTAATATTTTTAATCTAGCATATAAAATAAAAAAATCTGTTTTTTTTTTTTTTTTTTTTTTTTTTTTTTTTTTTTTTTTTTTTTTTTTTTTTTTTTTTTTTTTTTTTTTTTTTTTTTTTTTTNTTTAATCAATCTTAATTACTTAGTAGAATAGTCGTTTAGTGATTCCAAACTTATAAATTAATATATTGTTTATATCTATTTTCTGAAGCTTTTATAAGATTAATTGAAAAACTAATTTTTAATCATAAGTTTTTTTTTTAAAATTATTTTTATTTAATTTTTTTTGCGAATGAATCACATGGTTGTAAAGATAAGTCAGCTAGAAGCTAATTTTGTCATAAACTAATCTTGAGAGACTAGCTAATTTTGCCGTAATTTTATATCGTTTTAAGCCTCTACGAAATTCACTAATTGCAATGATTAAAATATTTAAATTTTTTTTTTTTTTAAGAAGCTGATTTATTTCTGTATTTTTATTGCAACTACGAAAATTAATCTTTAATATTATAGTTTTATGATAATATTATGTTTATCAATACATAAATATTATTTATTTTATTAAGTCTATAGGTTTTTGAGCTAAATAGGTTAATATTTGAGTTTTTAAAAAAATTATATGATAATATTTTTAAGATGTTCTGTCATTACTATTTAGATTATATCACTTGTTGAAAATAAATATTTAATATATTTTGCTTCATAAAACTAATGGTAGTAAATAATTATAGAATCAATAATCATTAGTTTGTTAATTTTTAAATGTAATGAATTTTGCAGTTATTTTCATACTTCTTATGTTATTTTTTAATGTAACAAACTCACTGTAGAAATTTGAAATTTTTTTTTGTATAGGTGCATGGTTTAATAAAACTATACATTCAGTGTTTGGGGAGCGGCAGATTGAAGACCTGTGGTTACCCTATTTCACTGTAACTACAGATATAACTGATAGCTCAATGCGAGTTCATACTCATGGTGAGTTATAATTTTTTTAATTGTAAAATGGTTAAAGATTTTTTTTATTATTATTGTGAGTGTGGTGTTCAATGCCTGGCATGCAATTTTGAAATTTTGGTGGCAATGGGCTTTGTGTAATGTTGATATGCTATCAGTTCCTATCTATTTACTTAAAACAAGAATTTACTGAGATGAAATCATGTTATTGATAGTTAAATAGGGAATATGTTAAAGATATTTATTTTATCTTACTTTTCCTGCCATTTTTAAGCTAAAGAACTTCTCTTGATTAAGTTTTAATTTTATTTTTGTCAATTATTATATTTACATAAATCAGGCTGATACTCTGTAATTGTGTGAATCAAAGATTAAAATCATCATCTTTTTAATTTTATTTAGTATAAATGTTTCCATTTAAAATTAAAATAATTTTTTTTTGTAAATTTGTCTGAACCTATTATGGTTTTTTAAAAGAAATTTTTGCTTACCTATTAGTGCCAAATTTTCTGGTTATACATTCATTTCATAGTAATTATTTAAAAAAAATTTTAATTGTTGGATTTATTTTATGCTAAAAATAATTAAAATTTTTTTAATTAATCTAAATACCGGTTAAAGTTTTTTGCCTTTAATTGATTTTGAAAACTTAAATTCAGGGCCAAATTTAAAAGTGTAATATTTTTGATCAATGCAGGACTGGTGATTGGTGATGTGATTTATAGTTTATGTTAGTGTTTTAATGTTCTGTGATTTTTGACATCTAGAAACTTCTGCAATTAATGTGAAGAAATATTCTAAACAATATATAAGTAATTATAATGAAAACAGTATTTAAATATGTTTAGTGCATAGATGTATTCTATGTCCTTATATTTTATAAAAATAGTTAATTCACCTTTAAATCTTGTCTCAATTTTCAGTTTTTTTAAAATGTTTAATTGCACTGTTTGTTTGCATTTCTCTCATATAGATAACAAAAAGTTTTCAACATTTTATGCACATGCAGATTTCCTCATAATTAATAAAAATTGTTTATTCCTCTTTATATAACTATAATTACCTAATTAATTTAATTATCTCAATTGTTTGCTTTTTACCCTTGTAAATAAAAGAAGCTACAAGCATTTTATACACATGCACTCTTTTTGTAGATCTTATTATTTTTTTCTTTCCTTTGCCTACCCTCCCTTTTTCCTATATCATCATTATAATATAAATGACCTCACTTACCTAATCATATTTGTAGTTTTGAAGCATTCTTTAGTTATTATGTGTTTGTTTTCATATTCTTTGCATTCAACCTTTACTCACCTCTTTGGCTTGAAATTAAACATTCTTCAACGAAAAGTGTGATGCAGTTATAATAGATTGTATTCATTTTATGAGATTTTGCTGTTTCACAATTTGTAAGGTACTGTTGAACCTCTTTTTAGAGATGAGATAACATTTATAACAACTATTGTTTCTTTATTAAAATATTTTTGGTAACATTTCAGGCAAATCTAATTGAGAAAAATTGCTTTCTTTTAATGAGAGATCAAACATGATTAAAGGCTAAAATTTCTTTATTTAGCAATAAAGTTTTCTCAAATTAATATTGTCTTATCATTTACATTGAAGTTAAAGGTTGACATGATAAGAGTGAGAATTAAATTCTAAAAAGTTTAAATATTTTCAAGAAAACTACGTTTTTTTAAAAAAATAAAAAAAAAAAAATTAATTTAGACTTTTAAATGCTTACAAATAAATACTTATTATAAAATATTGTATGTTATGAGTTTTTTTTTAATATTTTGAAATTGTTTTTTAATTGAATAGCTGAAATTGAAAAGTTGTCGCACAACATCTATAAAAAAAATTTCTTTTGTAAATAATAAGACAACTGGAATTATATCACGTCATGTTAATGTCAGACTGTTTTCTAGATTTTAAATTCACCTTTATTTAGGTCCATTATAATTTTTTTTATGTTTTAAAATTAATTTTTTCCCCTCAAATCTCAATTACAAATACTTAATTTTATAACAAAACATTTCTGCTTTTGGCTAAAATGAAAATAATATGCATTCATAAAATTATTTTAAAAAGATGCATTTATAAAGAAGATCATTAAAAGATTTCCTGTAATTTGTGTTCAAATGGTAGTGGTTTCTAATGAGAGGTTCAACTGAAACTATAAGAGACACCCAAAGGAAAATAGAACATTAGTGGTTACATCAGAGAAACTCTAGCAAAAGCAGCACAACCATTCTGGGTTATAAATGATGAGAGGAGGTATGAATCACAGATTGCATGTAACTGATTAGCTAGTTTTCATGAAAGCATTTAAAGTGAATGTAAAGTTATACTGACCCAGGCATCCAGAACAGGAGAGCACTACAGTAATATGAATTTTAGTGCCTGAAGATCACCTTAAGAAATTATTGTTTAAAAGGTGGCTGTTTGTAGAGAACACAGTCCAAGATAAGAGGCTGTGTGAACATTGAACACATGATGCAAAAGTTTTTGTGAAGGGAGGACAGCAAGCAAACACTGTGATCTCCAATAAATACATAGTTGTTATTGAAAAATGATACAAGGTAATAGAAGAATTATGACTTTTAACTTTAGTGAAACACTTGTTTGAGAAATGGAACAGTGTGATCACCTTTTGCTACTAAAACCCATTCCCTAAACCTTGTTCTGTTCTAAATGCATCCATCCATTGAATGTCTTTGCATTCAATTTAATTGCTTTTATATGGAATAGTTAATCAGGTATACACAATCTATGATGTCACTCCGACTTTCCCCTTTATGACCTTGCATGGGGCATTGTTATCTCTACTGTATCTTTGAAATTATCGCTCATGTTCATTTTTCATTTGAGCAAACCTTGTATTTTAAATTTTTTTAATAGTATTGAAGTTAAATATAATTTTTAAGAACATTTTTATCAAATTTTATTGGTATTCAAGAGAGAAATAGGTTTTTTTTATCGCTGGCTGAAGATTTCCTCCTGTTTTTATGCTCATGTTTAGTTCTTATAATCCTCATTCTGTTACATTAATATTTATGTTCTATTATTTTTTTAGAAATAAATTATCCAATCCAATTTGTTTGTCAAAATATCCAATTTGTTTGCAGTTTAATCTGTTCTGATTTAAAGTGCAAATATTTCAATGTTCCTTCATGTATAAAAACAATTTCTATAAATTCATTCTGATTTTTGATCCATGTATGCAACAATTTTTCTTTAAAAAAATTGTAGTTTTAAAAATTCTTACTTTTTGATTCGTTTGAAAGTTCTGAATCAGATCATTTTGTTTATATGCATTTGTTTTTATTGTTTTATTACCTTTCCGAGTAATAGTAATATTATTGGTTTAAGATATATTGTTGTAATGCCAACCTTGGGAGATTTTTATAGTTTCCTTTTAATCATAAAAAGTTTTGTATTATTTAAATATAAAATTCTGATAGTTGACATAAAATTTCTTTTGTATTCTAAGGTTTTTTTTAAAAAATATTTATGAGTCTCTAGAAGTGAATTCTGTATATCCATTGTGCTGATCATTAATTTAATGAACTCAAAAATAAATGCATAAAAGATCCTCTTTCAAGAATTTATTTTAAAAATATCTTGATTCAAAAACACCTATTACAGGGTGGACACAAAATGGGGAAAAGTGTATAAATTAAGTTAAATACCCAAAAATTTGGGGAGAATTTTGAGTTTAAGGTATCAAAAAGTCTGAAATTTTTTTCAAAAAAAATTTTTCTTTCAGTATTTTTCTATCTTGGAAATAATTTTATCTTTTAACTTTAATGGCAAGTATAAGAGTTATGTAATGTAATGTATAAGAACTAGGCATAAATGAAAAATTAATAATAAAATGTATGTCCCTGACTATAAAAATCAATGAAATTCAATGAAAATCAGCCTAAAAAAAATCAGAGGAAAGTTAAGGAATTTTTTTTTATTGAGTGTTTTATGATCACCCTGTATTTCTCTTTCTTGTTCAAGGATTATTGTGCTTTTGCTTAAAAAAATTTCTCTAATTGTGGAAACAATAATACTGTCACAAAGCTTTTCATTTAGTATTGGGTAATTCTTTACTCTTTTTTTGGGAGGGATNGGGGGGGGGGGGATTTAAATCTTATCATTTTACAAATGTGAGTGACATAAAATTTTAAGTTGCTATTTTGAAAAGTTTGTCTGTTGTGTTTAATATGTGATAATTTTTATTTCATCATTGTTATTGGTAATTATCTTGTCCCTAGCTTCTTGTATGTATGATGGCAAATAGAATATCTTCCTTTTGATTCATTTCATGTTAGATACTTCCAATTTATTTGTATGAGTCTCATTTTTATCGATATTTTGATTCCTATTACTCTTAATAAGAATATGGATGTAATAATATTTTGGAAAATGTTGTTCCAAATTGTTGAGTCGATGGTGTTTTTAATTAATTCATTTGGAAATCAGATTTACACTTGGAGCTCTTCTTGTGACTCACATTTTTGTTTTTATCTCCAAGTAAATACAAATATAAGGAGTGAAACAGATAAATGAACTAATCCTGAGGATGTTATCGTCTCAAAACTACTCTAGCATCAGTAAAGTGATATTCAAGTGCCATCATGAAGAGATGTACAGTGTGCAAAAAAACCCACCTTAAATAACTTAGAATCTAATATTCAGATTTTCACATACTAAGACTCAATCTTAATGGTTTTAAGGGAGTTACTTCAAGTATGCTAATTAATTTGTGCAGTCAATATTTGAAGTTGCAAAATCAGATTAAAAAACGTACTTTCTCTCAATAAATATACCTTTTATTTGAAGGATTTGATTTTTGGCCCCCAAAATATAGAGAATAGCTGTAATCTGGGAAATATGGTGTCAATAATTTAGTCAGGAGAGCTGCGTTAAGTTTGGACCCCTTAATGTTAATTTTTCTTTTTGCATATTTTGCCACATTGTGAGAATTTTTTACGTGAATTGACAAATTTTTGTACGTAATCGTAGAATTTGTCTGTCCAAAAATTATTCTATGTAAAAAATCATTTTTAATAATTATTTATTATTATTTTAGTTGACAATCGTCAAAAATTTTTGAATTGTAAGCTTAAGAAGTCCTTAATATATGGTGAAATATACAAAAAGTAAAATTACCATTAAAAGGTTCAAACTTAGGATTTCTGTCCTGACCAAACTATTGGGATTATATTTCCCTGATTGTGGTTACTCCCTATATTTTGAGTGTCAGGAATCTTAATCTGTTGTAAAAAAGGTCTGTTTATTCAGATAAAGTACGTTTTTGTGTATGATTTCGTAAAATTAAATATTGTCTGCATTAATTAATTAGCATATTTAAGGTCATCCTTTGAACCATCATGAGAGTCATAGCATGTGAAGATCCAATTATTAGATCAAAAGTTTCCCGTGTGTTTTTTTATTCTTTTTTTGCATACTGCATTCAATGTATCTATCGAAGTACAGAATAAACACTCAGGGTTAGTAAAGTTTCTAACACAATGGAGATGCTCTTCCTGGCAGTTATGACCCATCAGAAGGTAGAAGATTGTCAGATAGACAATTTGCCACTGTAGACTGCTGGGAATTATTTAGAGATTTTTAACTCTCTAATAATTTTACTTTATTCTGAATTAATGATTCATAATTTTTATGCATCAATTGCGTGATGCACTGCTCTATAGAATGGAATGAAAATATGCAAAATCTCGTTTGAAGTAGCATTGATACCCTTTTTGCAAGACCGTCTTGCTTTTTCCTGAAATTACCTCAGCAGCTTGCCAATTATCGATTTTACTCCTGCAGGTATTGCAGACTCTGGGAGATATCGATGCACTAGTTTTAGCCTGTTTTATAGCTTGGGAATTAAAAATAGAATCACTCTATCCAATCTATTTTGAGAAAACAACTATTTACTATAGCAAGTATTTCTGGGTAAATCGGACAGTCCTTACTTTTACATTAAAAGTTGTGCTGAAGTATAATGTTTACTGTTCATCCATTAAAGCATAGCATCAATTGTTGTTAATTTTATTTCCTGAGTACTAGTTTTCTCTAGCTCAATTTCGAATTCTCCTAGTGTTTTCAGACTTGATCACCTGCAATTAGGAATGCTTGTGACTCATGTAGAAGGAAGGAATTTAAATAGTTTGTGAATCTAAATATAGAAACATTTGGAGATTTTTGATCAAGCTGAAATATTTTTGTGCAGGGTGTAACGTAACAGTGTGACAACTGAGCTAAAAGCATCAATTCCTCGAGAGGTAATGCTAAAATGATGTTGCTTGAGAGACACACACGAGAAGTGATGTTCTTTTTTTGTGGAGTTGAAAAGAGAGTTTTTTTCTAAGGAGAAATATTTTTTTGGGTAATATTTGGTGATTGTTCGTGTGAATGTTTAAATAAATTATTTGGTATAACTCACGTCTTATTTCTGGTTGTTGTGACACAACAAGGGTATTGATATAGCAATATTTTGTCCTATTAACTTTGAAGAGGATATATATATATTTTAGATACGTCATCTAACAAGGGAAACTGGGGAAGTGTGACTCGCCACTTTTGAAATAAACTAGTGGGATGTATGCCTTATGAGGAATAATTTTAGGGGGAAACAGTTGTTTCGACCCATAGAAGGTCTTGGGAGAGATAAAAAATAATTTAATATGTAGAAAAATCGGTATTTTATCACTTCAATGCAGACTATTAGTTATTGTAATTGTCTCATACTACAATTGATTTGTAATTAATTGGTTAATTAATTATTAATTAATTAATTGATTTGCAATTACATACTCCAATTAATTTGGAAAATTTTTTGAAAAACATTTTTAGAAAATTTGATGTAAATTTTTTTTTAAAATTAACCTAACAGGTTTTTCTGAAAAACTACAGATATATAAAATTTTCGAAATCGATTTTGACAATAAATATGCATTATATAGTATGTGAAAGTACCACAAAATTGATTGGAGTATGAGATAATTACAATGTATTTTAAAAATTTTAGATGTATTTTAAAAGTCTACCAATTCTCTCTTATATAATAGTCTGCTTTGTATTGAAATTAAATGTATTTTTTTCTATTTAATTGAATATTTTGACTGTGACCCAAACAATTGACCCAATTTGATTTAAATTCCTACTTTGTTAAAAACTTGGGTATTTATTTCATTGGATTGATTATTTTTTTCATTATTAAAAAATAGTATATTTCCATTTTCAGTAAACACAAATACAACAGTTGCTATTTTAATAATAAATTAAAATTTATTTGAAGATACTAAACATTGATATTAGATGTCATATAAGAATGGTAATAATGGAATATAATCTTCATATTATAACATACCTTAAAATTATTATAATAAATCATAATAAATTAAACTAAAGAATAATGTAAGATTTTTTTAGCAAAAAGAGTGTGCATCTATTGAGGTATTAACTGTAATTTATATTTACTATGATAATAAAAGTATTGCTTTTCTAACAATTGTTTATGTTTTTCTAAAATTGTACATTTACATAACAAACTGTATTTAAATAAAAAATAGTTTTTCTTAAGTAATTTTGCTTTTTTAAAATTCTGATTATTAATTTTAACGTTTCTTGTATCTAAACTTGTGCATATTTATTCAAGTAAAATATAAGTTTGTTCCTAACTATTACATTAATTGTTTTTCAAAAATACTTTTTGTATTTTATCATTTAGAAATTGACTACACATTTATCAAAATTGAATATTTAAAAATATATGTATTGTAAGTCTATTTCCTGTTAATAGAAATTTTTGTTTTTAAAAAAGTTACTTTATAAATTCACAAATGTTTTAAATTTCATTATAATATAATACTAAATGCCTAGACATATTTTATCTAAAATAGCATGGATATAGTTGAAATTCTGATTTTCACATCAGAGTATTTGAGTATATGCAAGTAAGCTTACTTTTTTGCATGTTTTCATTTACATAAAAGCAATAGACATTTCATTTTTATTGTATTTATGTTTTATTTGTTTCTTTTAATATTTATTCATCTCTTCAATTTGGTTTTGTTAATAGTTTTTTTCGAGCTGATTTAAAAATATGAAAAATAATTATTGTGGTTTTGAGAGAATCAATTGTTGCTACTAAATTTCATCCTTTTGGGTGTGTTTAGTTCTTTTATGCTGAATATTATTAATTTCAATTTTTTTCTTGATTCCAAACTTTTTTTAAATACTCAATTCTTGCTATTTCTTACTATTGCATGGAGCTTTTGTTAATCCTTTTGTTCTCATGGTTGATTTGTCCTGTTTTTTTTATACTCTCTTTCTCTCTCTTCTTCAATTAATTCATTTGTTGCTATGAAACTATGAAATGTAATTTGAAGTTACTTTTTTAATGCAGTCAAACTTGGTTATAGTGAGAACATAAAGACTGAGGTAACTTGCTTGTTTAATCGGGGTGCTCGTTATGCTTGAGTCGGTCAAAGTCAACAAAATAAAGACTATAATGCGAATAAATGAATTGAAAAATGCCTAAAAATAGCTTATAATATTTATTTCTTTTTGTATGCTGAAACGAAAGAATTGGTTGGTTTTAACCTAATCAGCATTGTTTGACTTATACACATGATTTTCTGATTATCAAAGATACGTGTCCAAGTAAAAAACAAAATGCAGATTTGACACTTGATTTTTATCAAAAATGGAACAGGTGCATATAGGCTGGCCCATGATTGATGGTTGGTGGAATATATTCTTTGGTTCACATAACAATATTTTCTGTTAGTCATCGCAATGATCACGATTTTTTATACATCTGTTGCTTAGCTATAGCTTCAAGGTTTAACTGATTATGTAATTTATAGCACAGTAGACTAAACATTCTTACTGTTTATAACTTGCGTACCTAAAATGTTTGAAAAATTTGAACTAAGTAGAACTTATAAACTCTTTCAAAATTAAGTAAATATTGATAAACAGTCGGATGCTCTTCTTTTCATCTGTTTTTATAAAATAATTTTTAAATAGTTTATAAACATTTTTCGTTAAATTAAATTTATGTTCATGGCAACAACAAAGATTTCTTTTACCTTTAAACTAACCTTTTTTTAAAAAATATTTCTGTATAACAGCCAAATTTTCATTGAATCAGCTCTCGCAATAAACAAGTTTGACTGTATTTGTAATTTTAAAAAAAAAACTTATTAAATGTTTAGTGATCTTCAGCCAGTGATGTTTAGCGCTTTCTGTGATTTACAGGGTCACTATGGCGCTACATTAGATCAAGTATGTCTCTCTCTGGTTATATGCCTCCAATGTGTGATCCCCTCGATGGGCACTTACTCCTTGATGGAGGATATGTCAATAATCTTCCAGGTTAGTGTTGCTTAGTTTTGATATCAATGTGATTTTTTTGAACTTATGTATAAACAGGCTGTCTATGGCGTTACGTTCGGGCCAGTATGTCTGTCACTATGCTGATACCACCGCTTTGTGATCCTAAAGATGGCAATCTTCTTGTTGATGGCTGCTATCTGAACAATTTGCCAGGTATTTATTAGTTTCTTATGGAATTGTTTTGAGTCCTACTGTGGACTCAAAGTAAACTGAATCTCGGGTACCAAAAATGCATCTCATGAAAGATGAAAAATAGAGAGACATTTTATAGTGACAGATTATACTGACATCAATATTTTTGTTAGAATTTTAAAGCATAAATTAAGCATTTCATTAATGATATATTAATTAATATTTCGTATACGTTTTTTAAAATGTAATTTTTAAATTGCTTCTTATATTTAATTTGCTAATTCCATTCACTAAATTTTAAACCTGGTTTCATTATTATCAGTAAATTAAAATATTTTGTTTCATTTTTTCAAGTTTAATTATCTTTTTTTTTTCTTTTTTTGTAATTATTTTGTGAATTTGCAGTCAAGATTGAAGAAATAATTATTTGTGAACAATGCAATAGGCAAAACAAAGTAAAACAGCTCACTTCTTTGAAAATTCTTGAAGTACTGATTACATTTTATTTGTTGCTTTTATTTGTTAAGTTTGTGATTTTTTAAGTCTTTTCTGCAAGAGCTAAGAAAGTTGATCAACTTAAAAGTCTTTTTTAAAAATAAAAGTTGTTACTCCTTTTCTTTAAGATAGTGCATAAACTCTATGACTAAATACTGAAATATTATATGTATAATATTTCAGTATTTAGTCATTGTGTTTATAAATTGATTTTATAAAAAATTAAAAATATTAGTAAAGTGTAGTAGTATCTTAGCAATAGAGCTTTATACTGTTCAATAATGTATACAATTTTTTTTAAAAAAAATATCCATTTCGATGAATAAAAATAAAATTATAATTTAATGTAAAATTATTTTTTTGTTTTTTTTTAATTTCTGTATATATATTTTATGATGGAAAAAACTTGTTAGGACTTTTTTGGAATGCTCTCGGCTCTAGAAGAAGATATGTATTGATAAGATTTTTGTTAATCATTTATTCCCAAAAATCATAATGCATTTCATTTCATGTTAAAAATTAATAGGAAGGATTTTTATCATTAATTTTTTGTTAATCTTTTTAAGCTGATGTCATGAGAGACATGGGAGCTGAAACAATAATTGCCATTGATGTTGGAAGCCAGGATGAAATAGATCTTACAAATTATGGTGATACTTTAAGCGGATGGTGGTTACTTTGGAAAAAATGGAATCCATGGGCCACGCCTGTTAAAGTGAGATTTTTTTCACTTGTAATTTTAAAATAAAAATAATATGTAAGTTTTATAAGGAAAGACTGAGGAAATGCACTTTATCATGTATACTAGTTAAAATTGATCTAATTTACACTTTTTTATACGCATAGTTTAAATTGGATGCAGTTTATCATAGATAGTTTTAATAAATTACCTTTATTTCATCCACAAATTTAATGATAGTCTTGATTTTTAAATTTTATGCAGTTTTTAAGTATCATAATCATGTTTAAGTTTTTAATTTATAATTTCATTAATGTGATGTTTAACCTTTTAATCTTTTGTGTTATATTTGTTTAAATGTTTTTTTTTCTTTTAATTTTATATTAACTGTAGTAAATTCTAATATATCTAGTTTAATTTGAAATTATTTCTCTGTAAATACTTTATTGTTTAGTAAGTACATTCTTTATTTGCGTGTATGTTATTGATTCAATGACTATAAATTTTATTTCATTTTTGTATTTCTCATAAGTTGAGCTGTTTATTTTAGGTTCCTAGTCTTCAAGAGATTCAATCTCGTCTTGCCTATGTAACTTGTGTCAAGCAACTTGACCAACTGAAGAGAAGTGATTATTGCACCTACATCAGACCACCCATAGATAGTTATAAAACTTTACAGTTTGGTAGTTTTGATGAAATAATGGTGAGAATCAAAAATAATGAACTTTTGAAGTTTTTTAAAAGTATTTTTTTCTTACTATTTTAAATACATTTGAACATTTCATTTCTTTTTATTCATTGAATATTAAGTTCTACTGCTAATTTGTCTCTAGGAAGTTGGATATAATCATGGAAAGACATTATTTCCAAATATGAAGATGGGTCATAAATCACTGCACAATTTACTTCAAATTAACACCTACCAGGTATTTACTATATTTGTTGACATGAATGATTTTATTTTATTTTTAATTTCATTGTTTATGATTATTGATCACAAACTTAGGTTTAATTAGGACTTCTTGTCATTCAAGGAAAACTCTAAAATGGAATTTAAATTACAATTTTAGGCAGAATCATACGCTGTATTTTGAACAAGCTTATGCGGACTACCAAAACAGTATTACATATTAGTATATATGCTTAATTTTCTTAAAAATAGTGGTGGATCAAAAAGATTATAAATTAAGTTTCTATATGCAAGGAATATATAGAAATCATAAATTTTACTTCCACTTTAAATATAGAAATACCATTTTACGCCAAATGCGTAAAAGTTGGCAGGTATGTAAATGAGACAAAAATATCCTAAATAGGACAGTGATATATATTTTCTTAAATTACTGATAATAATTCAATTTCTACACGAAAAATTTGTTTAGAAGTGCAGTCATAGTGCTTGATCCTTTTTCGACAAATATATTCAATTAAAGGTCTAGTTAGACCTAAATACGACAAACTAATATGAAATTGTGTCACATTTAGGCGCACTGACCTTGGTAGTTTTTTTTGTGAAAATGCTTTAATAATGACTATGCTTATTTAATATGTGTTTTTACTTTTATTTCTTATGATCTTCCTACTAACTTTATAAACACAACTATTTTTAATAGTTGTTTTGGAATACAAAGAAAGTTTTGGTGTATTTTTCAAAGAATAAATTGGTAATTAAAAAATAAATGAAATGAAGAGAAAAAATTGATTTTAAAATAAAACTTTCAGGGAAATAAAAGAATAGAAATTTAAAAAAAATTTTAAATGTGCATTTTTTTTATTTGCAAAAATGTCATTTTTTTTAATACGTGTCTTTGATTCAGATTTGTAAATTTCTTCATAAAATATTTTTTTAGAAAAATCTGAGGAATGCTTCATTTACTGATCTTGCTGAAATGGTTTGCAAAATTAAAAAGCCAAAATATGTTTTCCATGGTATGTATATTTTGTTGAATTTAGAAAAGATCATTTAACCTATAAGTTTTACATAATAATTAAATTTTCGTTTTTTCATATTTTTTTAAAGCTTTTATTTACTTGTTTTAAAATCATGTTTAAAATAAATATGCTAAAAACGGTTATCTGCAAAATAATGTTTTTTTAATTATAATTATCATTGTTGTGTAATTATCATGTTTTATTTGATTTTGATGTTTTTATTTTCTGAACATAATGATATACTTTTATCTTATTACTCTTCCAAAAAAACTTCTGTACTTGATTACTTATAGGAATTTATCATTTCTTGAAGTAACATTTATAAAATCTTGACTCACATGATACAAGTTTGTGTTCATATTTTTCTTGTAAGCACACTTCTCTGTGTTTTAAATATGTAGTGACAATTATAGTTTTTCCGTGTGTTTATCAATTTGCTAATATTCAAAAATTTTATTGATTTGAAAGATTTATGTAAACTTCAGATGCCTTTGAAAGTTGTATTTTCATGGTTCATATAAAGTTCCTGAATAGGTATTGGAAGTTTTTTCCTCCAGTCTTCAAGGTATTAAAAACTCTGAAAAATGTTAAATTTCTTTGAAAAGTTGAGTTGATTTTGGATCATCAATTCCATAATCTACCTTAAAATTTTTTCACATCAGTAGATATGTCCCCTTAATTAGATCCTTTCTTTGACTTTTTACTGGAGGTCCGAAAAATGAATGATAGATTTTGAAAATCAATGAAGAAAAAAACATAACACGATAAAAATGTATACTTTGCAGCATTATGCTTTGGTAATAAGAGATTTTTTCATCCCACCAAATAGCACCTCTAGTTAAACTTCCTGTCAATAGGGGGTGCTGCAGTGTAGAAATTAGGTTAAACAATTTTGAAATATTTTTTTAAGGACAATAAAATATGCATACACAACTAGATTTATCAATTTCTGAACTAAAAGGTATTCGCGATCGCAACGAACTATAGGGGGCGTTGTTGTATGAGACGCATACCTGCGATTTCTATATGAACCGTCATTCAGTTACTCTGGAGACGTCTTTAATGTAGCGTGTAGCATTGTAACGTTCNATCAATGAAGAAAAAAACATAACGCGATAAAAATGTATACTTTGCAGCACTATGCTTTGGTAATAAGAGATTTTTTAATCCCATCAAATAGCACCTCTAGTTAAACTTCCTGTCAATAGGGGCCGCTGCAGAATAGAAATTAGATTAAACAATTCTGAAATTACTGGAGGTCCGAAAAATGAATGATGGATTTTGAAAATCAATGAAGAAAAAAACATAACACGATAAAAATGTATGCTTTGCAGCATTATGTTTGGGTAATAAGAGATTTTTTTCATCCCACCAAATCGCACCTCTAGTTAAACTTCCTGTCAATAGGGGGTGCTGCAGTGTAGAAATTAGGTTAAACAATTTTGAAATATTTTTTTAAAGACAATAAAATATGCATACACAACTAGATTTATCAATTTCTGAACTAAAAGGTATTATAAAAAGCTGTCAATAATTATCTTTGAAAAGTCCTTGAATTTTGTTTTTACTTTTGCTTATGAACCATGACTTAAGATTATAGATGCTTGTTTATCCTTTTTTTTAAAATTGGGATCACAGCCTTCATCACACAATTCTTTTATTGCATATTCTGGTTTAAATTTTTGATTTTTACTTCTAAAGCATAAAAACTTTGAAAATTAGAACTTAGTATATTTTTGACATACTATTATTTTTGATTTGAGCTTTTATAAGTATCTTTTATCAATGAACTACAAGTCGTGCACATTTTATTTTTATACATATATTCAGTGGTCAGAGGTAGCATGCTACTAGTAGCAAAACTACTGTATTAGTTACTTTTTTTGTAGTTTTTAGTGTTATGCGCTGCTTTTTAAAAAAGTCGTGTAGTGAGTAAGGCGATACAAAGAAACTGTAGCTTGTAGTGATTCATGATAGCTACCTTTAACATTAGTTAAGTGAAGAAATAAGGTTAAAATACAACTAATTTTTCAAATTTGATTGATAAAAATCATCATTTATCTATGAATGGACAGAATAATAATGCCCCTGAAGCCAAGCGTTCATAAGAATTGCATATTACTAATTTGAAAGCTGGCCATAATGAATACTAGCAATTATCACTTTGGCTACACCTTCTATAGCAAAAGTACATTTATAAAACATTGATGAGATTTCAATGGAACGTAATATATTTTCTTTGTAATTTTTGATGTACATCATTATTTAAAGTAAATGAAACAGCATTAAGAACTTAACAAAAATGCACATATTTGATAATCTCTTCACACTGTTTAAATTAAATATACGTTGTTGAGAAAGGCATAAAAATTTGAAGATTATGAGAACAAATTCGTAAAAAATGGTTCAAAATAATGAAATGGCTGAATGGAATGAAAACATGAATAAATATTTCTTAATAATTCTTCTTGTTAAAATAAGCCAACTTTTTATTCAAAATTGTTTTAAACATGGGGGAAAATTAAATTCCTCAGCAAAATTTGTCTCCTAAAAGTAGTAAAATAGGGACTACATTTTAGAAGTAGTTTGTAGTCACTACATTTAAAAAAAAAAAGTAGTACCAGCTGTAGTTAATTACAGCTATAGTAAAGTAGTTGAAGTTAACTACAAAAATAATTAAATTGCTAGTTTAGTTTTTCTGACTACTGCATATACCAATCTATATATTTGTGAAATATACTGCATTTTTTTATTGCTACAATACTTAATATTTATGTTCTTGATTACAAATGCAAAGTGTGACCTTTAAAATATACTGTCAATAAATAATTTAAAATATTAATACAAATAGTAAAACTTTTATATATATTTAATCAATATAAATAAATTTTATACTTATCATCATGTCCTTTTTTCCACTTAATTAATATTTAAATTCTGAAATTAGAATCAGATTTGGAAGATGATGTGATTCATGTGTACAACTCTGAGCCTGAGCCCAGCTATCTTGGTGAGACTGATAAGGTAAAGTGTCTGAATTTGTGTCACCTTATACATGGAATTAAATCTTTATGTTCTTCAAATAATTAACGAATTATATCTAGTATTTATTAGATCCTTTTAGCATCAATGATTAATTATTTCTTGTAACTGTTATGGAAAATTTTATGAAACACTTTAATATTCTATGATTTTAGAAAAACAATTTCAAAAACTTGGGGTCCTTTTCTTTCATCTAATTGGTATCATGTTGACATTCTGTTGCATATATTGAGACTTATGGCATAATACTTACTAGCATAAAAAATCATGACACCATTTTTAAGTGCATTCTAATTATATAGACATTCCTTGTGAATTAGAAACATTTGTCTCCCTTTAGTTTTGTTAATCTTTGTAGAATTTAAACAATATTTTAGGATCGGAAGGATTTTTTTTTTTAAATATGAAAATAAAAACTTATGCTGAAGTTAACTTGCATTTTTCCCAAGTCGTTGCTAAGCTATGTTAAATTTTAGTATGTTAGAATTGGCTATATTTTCTAAATCAGTTTATCAAACTCTTGTAAATCATTTTAAATGTGTACAATTTTGAGGAATGATTTTGTTTATATTTAGATGTTAAATTCATTTTAGATACTGAATTGCTCTTATTTGTTAAAAGTATAGCATAAAAATATTCGAGATATAGCAACCTGCACTATTTAGTCGCACCAGCTGCTATGTGTTATAACTATAGATTAAGTAATAGCCAATACAGTTTTGATTGCTTTGAATAGCCCTTATGTTAATTTTTTTAAACTATTCAATAATTAAGTTGGCAAGGTCCATTTGTTGTTAATATTACATTAAAATATATTAAATTGCTAAAAGTTAGCAAAATGTTATGGAATGATTGAAAAAAACTTTATGAAAGGAATACAAAACATGAAAAAGCATACTGAAGTAAATACCTAATTGTTAACTTAAAGATTAAAAGTATAATGTAACTAAACATAAAATTAAAACAAATAGAAATTTTGCGAATTTTCTGATAAGATAACATTAATTTAATATTTGTCATCATCCAATTTTTCTCTTATTTTGTTCTAAAATAGATTCATATAATACTAATAAATAAAAAATTGATACTTACAGGATGAAGATACAGAGGATTACAGGTCTTCAAAGCATAATAAAATGGAATCTCTGTCAGATGTGGAATTCTTCTCTTGAAATTTGTGCTCAGTTAAATAAAAGAGAGATGGGCATATTTTATTATTCTGTAAATATGAGATTACACATGAACGGACTTGTTTTTGTTTTCATTCAAACTGCCATATTTATGTTATTTGCTCATATTTGCGATGATGGGTACTTTTCTCATATCATAAAATTATTGTAAAACACGTTTCATTAAGTTATTTCAAAGAATTTATGTAGAAAAGGGATCACTTTGTGAGATTTATTTTTCAAACCTGTTTCCTTTTTGTGATATTTATACAATGTATATAATAATAAAAGAGCTTTATTACATTTTCTTTGAAAATTTCTTGTGTCTTTATATTTTTGAGATAAAATTTATCAAATATTTTCAAGTAACAGTGAATCAAATTTTTCTTATGTCAACCAATTTGAACGTGTGTGAAGAATGATTATTTTCGATGATTTTTCTGAAGTTATTAAGTATCTTAATGCTCCATGTAACTCCAAATGCGAGTTAGGTCTATCAAAAAGTTCTCCATGAAGGCAAATTTCTCCTAATACTTGATCCCTTGTCTTCTGGATTAAGTTCAAAATTACAAGGCTATGGAGTTTAACATTGGTAGTCGTAAACTCTAAGTTGAGCCGATTGTTCAAAGACTTTTATAAAATAAAATAAAATGATGCTTAGTAAATTTTAGTTATAGTTTCTAATTGAAATTACGAAAAAATAATCCAATGGAAAAAAAAGTACATTAATTGTTTAGAAAAACCGAAAAAAAATCGCTGTACTTTTATTGACGTAAAGGATGCTTAATTAATTTTGGTAATAGTTACTAATTGAAGTAAAAAAAATAAATTATCAATTAAAATAGTCAAATAGATGGAGAACTGGCACTTAAATCATTTAAGACAACATAAAAAAAATCCAAACTGTTATTGACGTCAGTAATGCTCAATTATTTTTGGTTCTGATTGACACAAAAAATAAGCTACGAACTAAAAAACAAAATTAATGGTACTAATTCGTTTAGATGAAGTATGAAAAATCGCCCTACGATGTTTGACACTTATGTTGGTAATGGGCCCTTTTGGTATTATGGGATGGGGCTATGGGATATACTGTGGAAAGTATAAGTATAGGAGAAATTTGTTTGATTATGGTAAATTTTGACTATCATTTGAGTTGGTCTCAAGTAAAATTATCATGAGTTGGTCAAAAGATTCTGAGTACAGTTAATTAATTATGATGGGATGAACAACCAAAAACATGTATTTTTTCTTTAACTATGTAAGGACAAAAAAATTTTAAAAATTAATTAAAATAACTATAACTGAAATCAATTTTAGCTTAATTAATTTAATTTTTATGTCTTTCAATTTTGTAAATTTTTTCGTAGTGTTGTTCAGTACTGATTTATTCATTGGATATTTTTTTCTGATTTATTCATTGGAGTATTAAGTTAGTAATATAATATTCTCCGAATTTCTTTTTTTAAAACAGTCTGAAATAGATCTGTAACTTTTTCTCTGTGATTACAATCAAGTTTTGCCTTGTTCAGACTTTTAATTTTTTGGCCCTATTTCTGCTAACCAAAAATATTTTAGTTTTCTCGAAGAATTGTTACCCTAGCGATTTTTAAAGTTCTTTTACTTTTGAAAGCATTGAAAAATGATGCTTTGGTGAAATATATTCTTTTGGTAGTAAAATGTTTTGCGTTATTGAAACAAAAGTAATTAAGCTAAAAGTAAGACCTATAATTCAAAGCAATTGTGCCTCTTCAGTTTATATATTTTGTAATTGAAATATTTTGGTAACTAAATGTTCTGAAAAAAAGAGAATGTAGAAATCTTTTATTTATTTATTTATTTATTTTTTATCTATTTTTTTTTATAAGAATACTATTTCTATTCTCCAATTATTTCTGTGTTTTAAAATACTGCGACACATTTCGAACAGGCCTAACTTGGTCGGGTAGGAAACTTGCTTAGTTAACAAAGCCAACTGTATAATATAGCACTTTCAGCATTCGGATTTGGCACTTAAGTGTTTTTTTTTAGTAGTTTAGTAAGAAAGTGTAGCCTGTTGGTTTGTTTAAAATTGTTTAAACAAACCAACAGTTTGTTTAAATTTTTATATTTGTATTTTTTTATTCTAAAATTCCTTTCCTGAAATGTAGCAATAATAAATTATTTGATATGCTGTAACAGCAAAATTTTATCAAATGAAATTTATTCTGTGTTTGAGTATTAAACAACTAATATTTTTTTAAGATTATATTACACAATTAGTGAAAGGGCTAAGCCTTCATTTAGGAAATTATTTGAAGGGCCTTTTTTCCAACAAGACTATGGAATAAATCAAAATTCTAAAAAAAAAGTTCTTTATTCTTATGGTAAAAAATAATTGTTTCTGAAATGATGTAAAGCAATGATGACTGCACTTTCTTTTCAAAGGTTATATGGCTGAACTAGCATCTCTTGTAATTCTTACGTTTGAAACACACTAATTGTTTTTAAACGTATGCTCATTCAAATCAAATGAAAATAGAAAAATCACTCTCTGACTCGCCTGTATCACTACTTAAATTTAATCTCCATTTTTGGTTTTCTTTAACTATTCTATTTTATACTAACATAAAACAAGTGAACTTGGCATAAAATTTTTCTAGGAAAATTAATCTGAAATCATTCTTCGAAGAATATGTTATAATAATTAATCAACTCTGGAAAAATAGTGCGCCGAGTTATATAGAACTTGTAGTCCCAGTTTTCTCTGTAAATAATTTTCAAAATGGTGGATCTTAAGAATTCTCGCATTCAAGAAAAAATAATTATTCTCAGTCTAACTTTATTATTTTTTTAGTCATTTTTCCATTCGTAGGAAATAAAAAAGAAATATTACCCGGGCATCGAACATAGAATAAACATTCTATTTTTCTACTCCTACCGTCAGTAAAATGTTTCTACCGTAAATTACTTTTGAAATTAATTCGCAGTGAATGTAATTAATCTTTTTTTCATGAAAACAACAAAAGTTCCTCCCAAATTTTAAGAGAAAAAAATGTAGACTGACGCAGAAAAAAAAATTAAAATTTTTTTTTTTTTGGTATCATGTAGAAAAAAAAAAAAAAACTAGCAAATGAACACGTCAAAGACTAGAAAAAAATTAATTATTCTTTCTTTTCTCTCTTTCTCGGGACCCTCGGAATTACATTCTCTTTGGAACGTATGAACTACAGAAGGGATCAGGAGCGTTAGGGCGGCATATATATAAACATAAAAAAAAAAATTCTGTTCCATGGGTCGAGAAGGAATGAATGATGCGATAAAACGGAGCAGTGAAATAAATTATGAAGAGGAAAATGAGGGAAAAAAAGGAAAGTTTTCAAATGAGTTTTCATCCGGATATTCATTAACATGGTATTCACTCATTACATCTTGAGATAGGGCCCTCCCTAGAGCTATAGAACATGGAATAAAACAAACGGAAAAATTCTGCCTTTTTGTTTCGGATATGTTCCTAACCCCTCCTCCGTCTTCCGAAGCTATAATTTTCTTATTAGTTCTTCCTAGCGCGCATATTCGGGAACTGCTTGAGAAAAAAAAAAGCAAATTAATTTTTTTTTACTACGCGTTATTTTGAAGGCTACCAGTGTATCTAATTGAACTGGTTTCTTTGTCATTTAATTATGCAAAATGAAAAGGGAAAGAACTAGCCTAGGGCTTAAGTAAACTTAAAACCGCACAAACTCAGTCGATGTGCTGTACTCACTATTTTAGCAAGTAAATTTAGATACGAAAAACCTTTTGTTAAACTATCCTTTTTGTCGTTCAAGACATTGATTTCTGATAGATTTACACTAATATTTAATTATTGACTTAAAAACCATTCATACATTATAAAATTTAATTCTAACTGCAAATGCAGAGCATATTGTAAGTCTAGTAGGGACAAAAAATACGAAAAACTAAATCTCTAAAAATTAATAAATGGATAAAAGCAGTTTTTACGGTGAAAAAAAAAAACGACAATAAACTATTGAAAACCTGTTTTGGATACACATTAGACACTTGTCCTTTATTATAATGTTATCAATTTTTGAGCGTTTTCACACGTCATACAACAGAGTACAACACACACAGAGAAACATCCATGCCCAGAGCAGGATTCAAGCCCGCAACAATTGGATTCGCAACCAGGCACACTGACTGCTAGGCTACCTGGCTGGCTATTAGTTTTGTTAGCTTTTCTTCTTTGCTTGTAATCACGACGCAATTGTCGCCGTAGAAAAACGTTTGAAAGGTCTGAGCCACTACTTTCAAATGGGTTAGTGGATTAACTAGATGATAACCAAGAGTTGCACTTAAGAGGAAGGCATTAGAATAGATTACAGAAACAGCTCTCTGATTTTGTTAAATTTCAAGATTATTCTTTTGTCTGTGCTCCCCCAATAAAACTCAAAAATTTTGCGTGTGCTCTCACGATTTTAGTGTCGATGATCGTTCTCTTGATATCCGATTCATAAAAAGCTTTCTTGATGTCTACAGTTACCCTATGTCTTTAAAATCGGAATCTATTAATGAGTGCAGGTTTCATTTAAGTTAAATTAGGTTCTTTTTCTACACAACCCTTTATAGAAGAATAGTTCTTCTCTTCTGCAGATATATCAAAAACTGGTCTTACTTTAATCGAAGATTGATCTTTTAAAATGGGTCAATCCGGTAATAAGCGTTCATTTTTTATACATGTTAAAAGTAAAATTTCTTCAATGATTCCCTCAGTCAGTCAATCATTAAACATGTAAAGACAGTAAAATGTTTGACTTTGCAACTTCATCGCTGAATTTCCCTATAACTGTCTATCCTAATCTGTTATTCTTAGCTATTAATCCCTTCGCCACGGTTTTAACAACTAACTGGACATATTCGCTTGTTTATATTTCGATGGAATGGTTCTCATATAAACAATAGTTCTCGCTAATTGCGATATCCCTTTGGTATATATCAAATCTCTTCAATTCATTTATAATATTGATTGATTTAACTTTGAAATTGGCACACACATTTTATGTTGATCAAGTACATCCTATTTGAGATTAAAGCTATTATTTACATTTGCCAGATTGATTCAATACTTTTTTGTGATTCTCTTTTTTCCCCAAAGCACCAAATTATCCATGAATTATGGTTTCCTCGCCAACACACTGTAAATTAATTACTACAGCAAAATATTTGCTAAGATTTTTTGGCTACCAGTGTTAATAATAACTGTCACCGAATTTGTTTTATACTTAACCTTAATTCGCACAATTAAAGTTCGTAGAGGAACTTCTTTAGTACAAAACTATTACTCAAAATAGAATTTTCGTCATCTGTTCTCCTTGAAATTTGACCTTCAGATTTATCTTCTTCATTTTTACTGTAAAAACATATTAGTGAAGCATATTTTTTACCACAAATATATAACAGAATTTGACTCTGCACTATTTTGATAAATAACCTGTTTTTAAACATCTAAAACATAAACTCTTTCTTCTTAAGGACAGTTTGCTTTTACGTCTAAAGTAACTTTAGCAGTAACTGAACAATCAGATGATATAAGATATTTATGATAAAATACACAGGATAAATCTTGAAAGTTATTTAAATCAGAGCTTGAAATTCGGATAATAAAGTTTAAATATAATAAAATGTAAAATTTGTATTGTTAATTGGTTCTGAAAAAAAAATTCAAAAATCTAAATTTTTGAAAGCTTAATTCATAGAAACTGTTCAATTGATTTCAATCAACTTTTAGATTTCATTACTTAAAATTACAAAATTTAAAATTAGATAATAAGTTGCATACTTGGAAAATTTAAGAATGAAAAAAAAATCCTTATTATTTTATTTTATTTATTTATTTATTATTATTATTTAAATTTTTGTGTATGGAGTAATTTTTTAATAAATGAGTTTGATTGAGTACAAAAATATTTCTATTAGCTGACATAGTTCCAAAGGTAGACGAAAATGAACTTAGCATTATTTACTCAAACTTCCGTGCTCTCTCCTGATTTAAACTATTGAGTTTACGTTTTTAACTTTCGACTTCTACATATTTTGCGGAATAAAGAAAATAATCCATTGAAAAAAAGTGTTTAATTAATTCTAAGAACGTACGTTTTTCTATCATTGTAATTTTAAACATCGTTTGCACTGATTAATTAGCTTATGAGAAAATTATTATGAGAAAAAATATTTATTCAAATGTCAATTCAAAATTTAAGTATTTTTATATGAAGATAAGGTTTTTACATGATTTATTACATAACGCTAAGTTGCATAGAGAAAAGCCAGGTGCAATTAATCAATCTGCATTTGTTATAAAATTATATGTACTTGAAAAGAAGTAAATGCTTTTAAAAGTTGAAAATGTGATTTTGATTTTAACTATTTTAATCTTAAATATTTTAATTTTTATTTATATAATTATAGTTTAAAACTGAATCCGTGAAAGCTACGACCTATAGGGGCGTTGTTATGTGAGATGAATGACTGCTAGCAGAACTACATAATCATCAGTTGCACTGGAGATTTCTTCAGTGTAACATGGTAAGGTTCCTTCTTAATTGTGGCTTATTAAATAAAAAAAGGAAACTTTTTTGATATTCTTTCGAATACAAGTGAAAACAAAATGGAATCTCTCTCTTTTTTAAGGGAAAAAACATCCAAAACACATCGGAAAATATTTGTAAAAAATCTTTTTATTAGAGTTAAAAACTTGTGCCTGAGAAATTGTTATACTAAATTTAATGATCTAATATGAAAGGTCTATTTATACTTTACATTCCATACTTCTCTGAATCATATTACTTCAAACATTAAAATATGCAAAAAGTATACAGAAACACATAATGTTATACCATTTAATATTGCAAAAGAAGTGTTTTGATAACAAAACGATTCTAAAAATTCCTCATATTGAAATTGAATTGAATATTGAGAAAAAATTTTCATATTGTTTCTATATTTTAGTCTTAAAGTTCTTAATCAGACGACAAAAACCATTCTGTAGAGAACTATCATCAAATTAGAATAAAAAAATTTTTTTACAAGTAAAATTTTTATTATAAAAATCATAATACTTACTTGCTTTATAAATCCGGAGAATTTCAAATGAATTGTTCTCCGTTTGAAAATTTTATTCTTAAATAATATATACATAGATTATCCCTTCATTACTTTTAGATGACATACCACCACACAATAAAATTTTATTATCGTAAGATCTCGATATGAATTTCAATATGTAACTTAAAAACAGAATAGCTGAATTTTATTTGAAACTATTCATTCAAAATTAAAAAATACTTAAAAAGAACACGAATAAAATTTATTAATAATAAACACAAATGATACTATTTCAAGTAATTCGGATGATTCTTTAATGTTGTTTTCCGAATTATATAGATACAGAAATATATACTATTATATAAAGAAGAGGAATATTCTATAACTATTACAGTTCTGCACGTTCTGAAATCCAATTTCTTCATTGGAATGAGGTTAGCAATGTTGACTTCACTTTAATTTGTAATGAATTGAAAAAAAAAAGTATTTTATCGTAATACACATATATGTAACAGTATGCGATCATGAAATCGGAAATTATCTGTTGCAAGTTTGTTGATAATAGAAAAATTATTGAGAAATTGTTCTTCAAATGTTGGGCGCACTCTGTTTCTGAAAGATTTATCGATGTTCTGGGTCGTTTATTCAAGTTCTTCTGCCTTTTCCTTAGGGAAATTTTACTTCTTATTTGCTGCTGAAAAAAAGGCGTCCTACTCTACTAATGATTCTGATAGAACTAAATTAAAACTTAATAAATTAAAGCCTGAAATTATCCTCCCCGCTAGAGTGCGTATTAACTGATCGCATACTGTTACATATATGTAACAGTATGCGATCATGAAATCGGAAATTAACTGTTGCAAGTTTGTTGATAATAGAAAAATTGTTGAGAAATTGTTCTTCAAATGTTGGGCGCATTCTGTTTCTGAAAGATTTATCGATGTTCTGGGTCGTTTATTCAAGTTCTTCTGCCTTTTCCTTAGGGAAATTTTACTTCTTATTTGCTGCTGAAAAAAAGGCGTCCNACAACAACAACTAAAACACGTTATAACCCAAGAAGTTTCTGTGTACAAAATAAACAACAACTAAATTCCATTCGTTTAGCATTGCGTCATATGTTGTTCCTACTAAATCGAAGTAGTTGTGTTTTTTTCATGTTATACCCAATTGTTATTACTGTTATTTTGGATTTTTCTATTTCAGATAATTTTTACTACTTTCACGTGATTTTCTATTCGTATTTATCGTTTTTAACTAAAAAAAATTTTTTTTGGAGATCGTCTGCGCTCATTATTCTTTTTTTAACTATGTCAATTTTTAAAAAGTTATGCTGAGTGAATTTTGGAATTTTATAAGACACTATTTTCATTAAATATGGAAATGGGAAACGAAAGGTTAGTAAATATATATTAGTTCTTTGATAATAAAGTATTGAAGTTTGCATTCATTTTTTTTTTTTTTTTTTTTTTTTTTTTTTTTTTTTTTTTTTTTTTTTTTTTTTTTTTTTTNAATTCTCTTCAACTAAAGAGGATTGATAGGTGCAAATGGCGCTTAACGAAATTCCGATTTCACTTTGCGCAAGCTGTAAAGTTAAAAATAATAAGCTTAATTTTTTCACTAAATTTGTTTAAAATAACTTAAAATATTTGTTCATTTTATCATACTTCACTCTATTTTTTTTAAGGAAATGTGATATTGCTGCATTACTCTTGATAAAGTGAAAATTGAATTTTACAATTTATATCTCATTTGTATTTCGATGTAATGGTAAAAATAAATTTACAACTTAAGGAAAAATGATTTCTATCATCTGTTTCAATTATAAAATTTTATTTTACTTTTATTGAAATTTACAAAGTCATCTTTTGAAAATTACGAAATCTATGGTTCATTTTTGCATTTTTATTTTATCTACTTATTAAAACTTTTCATTTCTGGAATAATCCTTTTTCTATAATCATAATATTACTACTTTGTGGTTCATTGAACTGCTAATGTTAGGTACAATTAAAAAATATGATATAAGTATACACAAACCTGAAAAATATTCTAAATATGTTTTTTACTTAGCTATTTTAGTAATTAGATGAGGACGATGCATTTAGCGCTTCGTAATGTGCAGTAATTGTGCATTGCCAAAGCATTCCTTATTATCTAATAACCAAACCAAACTTTCAATCTCAGAAAGAGGGAAAAAAAATTGACTCAAGTCATGAAATAATTCGAATATTCCTCTAAAGATAGTATTTTTTTACTCTCAAATAAATAAAACAGTTTCAAATAATTGTAGAAATTTCTATATTTTTCGTATTTTTCATTAACAAATTCTTTTCAGCAAATTCAATAGTTACAGGAAAAAACAAAGCATTTAAAAATCATTTCCTAGTTTTACTAAACATTTTATAAACTATCGCAGAAGAATAATTTGTAACTAAGAAATTTATGACCACGAAATTTTAAATTTTTTTATTGCACATTGTTTTCTTGATATGAAATAAAATTGAAAATGAGAATTAGAACACTAAATTTCGGAGAAATGATTCAAAAATAGATAATAATTTGCATCTAAATAATCGTTTACGATTTACCGTTATGAATTAAGTTAAAAATGAACGTTTAAATATGCATGACTAGGAGGCTCTACAAATTCACTCACTAATCCTCATGATTTCAAAGCAATTAATTTTTCTTAATGATGATAAATAAATTGTTATATTAATTTTAAAGTTTTTTTAATTGAAAGATCAGAAAATAATTTTTATCATAGATTAAGCCCTCGATTTTATACGAACGAAATATAAACCTAATCATTTCACTCGATTATCAATCGAACTTCATCCTAAAGCTTGTTTTTTTTTTCCAATTCATATTTAATTTTTGGTTAAAATAAAAGCTTCTAAAATGCTTATGGCCCAAAAGATCATTCAACGGTTGTTCGGAAAGTTAAATCTTGATTTTATTTACAATTCAAAATAATTATTATTTTTTTTTAATTACCTTTTTTGACTACACACTGTTTTACGTAATAACTATTATGAAAAGTAAATTTAATTTATATCCTGTTTAACAATTATAAAACAGTAATTAAATTAAAAAAAAATAAGAACATGTTTATTCATTTTATGCTTTTCCAAAGGTAAAAGGATTTTAAATTGTTTATTAAGGATTATATCGTGTAAATTTTCTGTCCAATAAAACTGCAATAAAATTCAAAAAAAAAGAAAGAAAGAAATTACTAATAATAATTAAATTTATTTTAATATATTTTTATTATTTGTTTGCGTACCAGGTGGTTTTACATTATGAGATCAAACAAAACAAGTTTGAAGAAAATCTTCGCATTTATTCGGAATTTTCAACTTTATTGCCTGAACTGCATCCTGAGGACCATTCCGAATAACTTTTTATCAACTGATCAGATCTTCACGTTTTAAACTTAATCTTAATGATTCGAGGCGGTGACGGGAATGGTTCAAATACGCTAATTAATTACTGCAGACGATATTTTAAGCTACGAAATCAGACACAAAAACGTACTTTCTCTGAATAAACATACCTGATTTTTTAGCGTGGTAGCCCCAATTTTGGAAATGTAGTCCGCATAGTTTGGTCTGGGGAGAGGTCCAAAGTTTGGACCTCTTAATGCTAGTTTTACTTTTTGAATATTTCACCATATCTTGAGAACTTCTTAAACGAATTTAAAAATTTTTGCACACAATGATAAAATTCGTTTATTTAAAAATAATTCCATGCAAAAAATAAATTTTAGTAAATTTTAATATTTTTCATTATTTTATTCAATAATAGTCGAAAATTTTTCTAATTGTAAAGTATAAATATTTCTTACATCATTTTAAAGTATTTAATTTTACACGGCAAAATACAAAGTTTGAGCAAAATCGGTTGAATAATTCCTGAAAAATTGAATTTTAAAAAAGTCGTATATTTAAAATTTGATTTCTTAGGAACTAATTCACTCAAATTTTGTATTTTGCCATGTAAAATTACATACTTTAAAACAGTGTAAAATTTTTTATTTTTTGTCGTTTTTTAATTTTAAAATTGTAATTTTTTCGACTATGATAAAATGAAAAGAAAAAGTAAATATTTAAAAAATTTTTTTCACATGGAATTATCTTTGGATAAACGAATTTTATAATAGTATGCAAAAATTGTTCAATTCGCTTTAAAAGTTCTCGAGATATGACGAAATGCACAAAAAGTAAAATTAACATTATGGGGACTAAACTTAGAATCGCTCTCATGATGAGGACCATATTTCCCATATTTTCGGCTACCTCCAATATTTTGGGAGTCAGAAATCCAAATCCGTTGAAAAAGGGTATGTTTATTCAGAGAAAGTATGTTTTTGTGTCTGATTTCGTAACTTAAAATGTTTGCATTAGTTAATTAGCATATTTGAGGTCAGTCCCTCAAATTATTAGGATTGAGTCCTATAACTTGAGGATCCGATCATTAGATCAAAAGTTATTCAGGGTGGTCAATTTTTTTTTGCTGCATTGTAATTTGTAGAGCGATATAATAAAAGAGTATGCCCTAAACTTATACTTAACTTTACAAATATGAAATTTTAAAAAGTTTCAGTTGGTTATTTTACTGATGACAATTCGTATACATATATTTATATGCAATAATTGAATCCAGATTTACTTATAATAACTGTCTCTTATTTTACAGCTCTGTGTATTTTCCACCAATTATAAAGAATACCATAAGACTAAATGTGGAACTTAAGTCGCCAAAAACAGATAATTACTACAACGTTGTAAATTACAAAAACATAATTGAAAATATTGTAGGAAAAGAAAACATAGAAATGTATGGCTTAGAAAAGTCGAATTCTTCTAACTCTTTTAAGCAATCTGACGATTATCTCGAAGATACTTACATCGATAATTCAGAAGTTCTACGTGACACATACCCACATGGTGTCAAGCCAGAAATTGACGGTTTTTTCATAAATAAAGGGAAGCTAAAATTAAAATGTGATTCTGAAAAAAGCGTGGACAATAAAAAGGTTGAAAAACTGTTAATTAAACGGGAAAATGTGAATAAGTTGAAAAAGTCCAAACAAAGCAGAAAGCGTGAATGGAAGGTGTTGAAAACAGCTGGAAGCGTAAATGTTCCGTGCCAATCAAAATTGAAAAAGAAGGATAAAACTGTGAACAAAAGCTTTCGAAAAGTAGTGCTTCAGCCATCTACAAGTGTATTAAGTAAGCCTGTTATATCTCCATATTTTATGCACCATAGACTTTCACCAGTTGCAGTAATACCGAAACTTCGACTTAATTTTTAGAAATAGTTTTTTTTTTTCTTTTCTTTTTGAAAGTTCTATGAGTTTCCAAAACATTTTATTAGAATAATTGTTATTCTTTTACGTCATACGCTGAGTATATCCAAATTATTTTTAAGTGGATTTAATTGAAATTTAAGTCAGTAAAGCAATTCTTAATTACGAACTTGTGTTGTATTTTGTTTTCTGAATTTTTATTGTTTAACGCTTGTTTGTGATAACAATTAATATCTATACGAAGGTAATAAAGAATGAAGTATTTCACAGAGTTATTCTATGGCCATTCCAAATATTTTAAAACAAACTACTTCTTTTAAGTAAAAATTACCTTGATTATAGTGTCATAATTTTATTCAAAATTCAAGTCATGAGTAGATTAATATTCTTTCCCTGCTCATCCGTTTTAAGCTTTGTCTGCATTGCATTTTTGATATATGCATATTGCATATGCATTTTGATATGATATGATA